TTTTTCTTCCCTAACTTACTAAGCTAATAATTCGCCTTATAGATATTTCTTAGAACTTTATAAGAGTATTACCTTAACTGCAAAGTTTCTATTCTCTTTATATTACTTATTATAAAATATATAAGAGAGAAACTATAATAAGACAAAAACCTATATAAAATATACTAGAGTATAAAACGTAACTTAATAATAAAATAATAAATTAAAAGTATAAATAGTAAAATATAAATAGTATATAGTATATAAAAGCTTAATTAATTAAATACTTATAAAGAATTATTCTCTAAGTCTATAGAAAAACCAGCTTTTTTATATAATTTCCGCAAGTTATATATAAAAGGCTATAGCCTTTATTATATAACCTAAATCTTAAAACCGCCAAAATAATATAATTTTTAACGAGTACGGCCTGCTATATTATACTATATAGAGAGAGATATCCGGAGCTCTTAAAGTTCTTTAGAGTTAAAAGATAATATATTACTAAAGATATTGAATTTATTTATATTTAGAAAATATATTAAGTTACTAGTTTGAGTATAATATCTAGTAGGCTATAATATTAGTTATCTAACTACTATAAGTAATAGTAGATATCTCTTTAATTTATAACTCTATTTCTTAAGTATTTAGTTAATCTTATTAATAATAACTAATCTAACCAAGTTACCGGAATCTTTAATACTTAATTAGAAAGTAGCTACTCTAATAAAATAGTAGAAATAATCTAGTAGCTTAACTATTTCGAAAGTACAGCAAAAACTCGCTATAACGATCCTCGATTTAGCGATATCCTTGACAGTACGATTGAGCCGTAAGGTCCCACTGTTTTTTGGCCCTATACTTACGATATACCCCCCACAACGATTATCGTAAGGATTTATGGTCCAGAGATTATTTTTTTGGTATAATATCGTTCTAATTATCGAACCCAATGGATCAATTCCTCTCTTTCATAGGACCTTCTACCCCCCAAACCCCGGTAATTCGGAGTCGCAGACCATCGATCTCACTGGTTCACAGCCTGCAGTATTTACCACTAATTCTACAGGCCCTCGGCAGCCTAAAAAGCATCGAGGAGCTATCACTGGAGAGATTCTTTATATATCTTTAATTTTTACTGTCTTTATGTGGGTGCACGTGATTCTTGATACAACGATACCTCAGTGTATCGTTAGAAAAAGACGCTAAAATCGATATCGTTATAGCGAGTTTTTGCTGTATTAAAGTCTAGCTCTTTTTTTCTTGCCTAGTATTCGGCTTTCCTTATAAGAAAATCTTATAAAAAAATAAGAAATATATTCTTTTATTTCTCGAATCTGATTTTACTAGTTTCTTTTAAGATTCTAGTTAAAATATTTTTAAAGCAGTTATCTTTTTAATATTTCTTATTAAAATATCGGATTTTCTAAGTAAAATCCGGCTAATTTATCTTATAATTCTCTAGTTAATAGAGTTAATTCCGTTAATAGTCCGGTAGAATATTATATTTTACTAGCTATTTTCTTTCCAGAATTATATTATAAGAGCCGAAATTAGTAATAAGCAAATATTATTAAATTTGAAAGTACTAATTAATAGCTAGATCTATAATAGCTAGATATTAAATAGCTTTACTAAATTATTTATTAAAACCTTATAAAGAAATAAGGGTTTTAAGTTTATATAAGGGTATTTATAATACTTTTATTAGGGGGCAAATATACTTTTAATTAATTAAAATATATATATTTGCTCTAATATCTACTAAATACTAAAAGATTATAGTTTTACCTTTCTAGTATATTTAATAATTAATAAGGAACTAGTTTCTACTAATTAGCTAAATAAGATCTATAAGTTCTTAATAGAGTTTTTACTTTAGAAGGGCTATTTTTATATCTAGGACTAGACTTTTCCCGGCTTATTAATATTATATTTCTTATTAGATAGTAAATAGAAATCGGTATTCTTATTATTTACCCCTAAATTATTAGCTCTCTCTAAATAATTCTCTTTAATAGATATAATCTTATTAAAGTTAGAATAGATACTTTTTATATATCTAAGCTTTCTATAGCTATAATAATAAAGACTTTCCGGCCGGTCTAGTCTCTTCTCAAATTCTCGGTAAACTGCCTCCTTTAGCTATAAAAATACCGGCTACTAAGATTAATCCGTCAGATATAGGGTTACTATAGCTTCTTAAATTCCGGTAGGCTTTCTAGCCTAAAATAGTATTTAATAGCAAGTGGTTTCTACTAGTTATTTCTTTTAGAATTACTGATTTTTAATTAAAAGAAGTCTATTCTCTTATTTTATATACTACTTAATAAAGTTTCTAGAAGTATTAAACTTCTTATTACCTAAGCTCTTAAATAGCTCGAGATTTATTTTATCTATTAAATTATTATATTAATTATCTGGTAACTTCTCTAGTTTTATTATTAAATAAGTAAATTCTATTTAGAATACCGGAAATAGCTTATCTCTTTATTTTAGATACCGGTATATCTCTTTTACTTCTTAGTACTTTATCTCTTTACTTTTACTATAAGCTTACTAGAGGATCTTAAAGATCTATTTAATAGTTAAAATCTATTTAACTAATTCAGATTCTAGTTAGTTATAGATAAAGTTATAGGTATTTCCGGTAACTAGTTATATTATATAAGTAATTTTTAGTAGTTTGCTATTAAATTCAGAGAAATTCTATATTAGTTTATTTCTTATATTAAATATCTAATTATTAATCTGGTAATTATTCTTATTTATAAATAGAGTAAAATTCTTAATTCTAATAAGCTATAGTTAATTACTATAAATTAAAAGCAGAAGAAAGCCTTAGTATTAGCTTCTAAATAGTTCTTCTAACGGGAATTTATAATATTCCTAAATATCTACTTACTTGAATTTTTACTTTATTACTTCTTCTTATACTAGTCTTTCCCTTATATAAAGTTAACCGGTAATTGCTTCTAGCTTATTAACTTTCTTAGTAAATTAGTTAATATATAAGTAGAATTTCTAGTAATATTCCGCTTATTTATTAGCTATAAAGTAGTATTTATTAATAAGGTTATTCCGTATAAATAATCTTTATTAGGCCTTATCTATTTTTAGAATATTTATACTAATTTTAAATTTTAAGTTAGCTAGCTATTTCTTAATATCTTCTTCCGAAATAGTATTATAATAGCTTTTCTGGTAGTATAGATTTATAATATTAAAGTCCGGCTTCTCTATTTTATTATACTAGAGCCTCTTATCTAATATACCTATAGTAGTAGTACTTGGCCCCGGGCCGTCTATAGTAGCTTTAGAAAGAGTATTAGCTATAGAGATAAATACTAAATAAGTTCTTCTTATTTAATATTAGTAAACTATAACTAATTATTATCTTATCTAGTTTTAAGTTAGTAGACTAAAACTAACTATTATCTTTTCTTATTTTAAATTAGTGAACTACTACTAATTCTTCCTATACTAGGGGAGAGGGCCGGTTCTTTTACTCTCGTTAGTATTAAGGGAATATTATCTACTCTAGTTAAGGGTTAGGCTCCGAGATTAACTAGATTATAGAGGATAATATCTTTCTTCTTTTATATTAGTAGAGAATCGATTATTAGAAGGGGAATATTATCTGCTCTAGTTAAGGGTCATGCTTCGAGATTAACTAGATTATAGAGAACGTTATACTTCTAGTTAAGCTCTCTAGTTTTTTATAGTTCGAAAAGGTTATTAAACGTTAAAAGCGGTATTCTGTTTTCGCTTTCCAAGAATAAATACGGATCCTTTACTAGCAGTATTATATTACCTCTATAGGCCAAGTCGAGTAAGCTTAGTATTATATAATAGCGGAATTAATATAATAGTCAAAGGCTTAAAGTTCAAAGAATCTTATATTATTGGAAAATACTAAGCTATAGAACAAAGTAGGGAAAATGCCTCGACCTTTAGTATTATTCCGTCCAAGTAATTCCGGCTTAGCTTCGTTTTGTGCCTGTTTCCGATATCCTGTCCTTGGCAGATCATGCCCTTATGCCAGCCGTTACAAGGACATTATATAAGATATTTAATTAATTATATAGGAATTAGTAAGGGATAATAATAGCGAAATAAAAATTAGTGAGAAAATGCTAAAAATGCTACTAAATGAATAATTTTAGTAATACTATATAGTTTTAAAGTAATACATAGCTATTAAAGGGTTGAGAATACTATAAAGTATTAGTATTTAATAGGAATTATGATTTTATTAAGGCGTTAATTAAATATTAAGATTTTTGGGTTGGGCGGTTGAGTAGTTTGAGCGGTTGGCTAGTGGATACTTCTAACTGGAGTCGCTAATCCATATGAGGAAAGATTGGCACTTTGGGGACCCCCTTCCCAGGCTTCGCGGGCCCCTTTAAAGGCTCGAAGTTGCCCCGAACACTCCAACATTGCACGACCACAGGAATGATTTGTGAGAGGAAAATAAAACCCTACCAATTCTATAAGGTAAAGGAGTCTTTCGTTAAACAACAGTCATGCATTGTCGATTCCAAAGAGCTTAATTATGAGGAGAACGCCATCATATCGCGGACGTGGGCCCTCCTTCATGAAATGTAACATCAACAGCCACGGCAGATTCCAACCAGCGCAAGCACTACTACACTTTACAGTCGTATTCAGTACTGAGGTAATGGTTCTCTTGCATCACTCGAGATTGGAGTACAACTTGGCTAATCATACAGTTATCAGATGCCCCATTTTCGGCGCCGCCATGCAGCTGTGTCATTCACGCGTGGGAAACCAGGAAAATCCCAAACCCCTCTTATCGTGATGAAAAACGTAACCTCACATTCCGACTGTGTCGGTATTTTGGTAGCTTCGGGCCAATTAGCCTTCGGTCCGCCCCGAACTCAGGCTGCTGTGTACCCCTGTGCTCCCAAATGAGCTGTACAGGGCCAGTACCTGGTCGGGAACCCAATCCAGGAACCCAACCTCCGACAGTGGAGGGAGGGATGGCACGAGGCACTATCCCACAATCTGTTCCTCAATTGCTTTTCTTCATGATTCCTCTTCCTCGCCGTTTGGGGCTCCAAGTGAAGCAGGCTTGAGATGTCATCTCCAACCAAGGGCGAAACCCCAGAGCAAGGCGGCACTCACAAAGCAGCATCGCCTGCTTCACAACCGGAGCATGGCGAAGACACGATTGAGGCGGCCGACGGGGATGATGAAGACGCGGGATACTGCACAGACGAAGCCAGCAGCATCTCAACCTCGCTCTCTTCCAGCGTACGAGACTTCGCCTTCGAGAATGGAAGAAGATACCACAAATTCCGTGAAGGGACCTATCAATTTCCTAACGATGAGCCAGAGCAGGCTCGTGAGGATATGAAGCACGCGATGATTGTCAATATTTGCGACGGAAGACTGCATTATGCGCCTCTTGAAAATCTGCAACAGGTTTTGGATCTTGGGACCGGGACGGGAATTTGGTGCATAGACAGCGAGTTCTCTTGCTCGGATGATGCTTCGCAGCTAACGTTTGGACAGTGGGAGACGAATATCCGGGTGCCTCAATACTAGGGATCGATCGTACGCGGATTCCCCTCTCTTGTCTCAGAATATCCACCGAGGTCTGGTACTAATATGATAGACAGTAAGCCCGATACAACCTAACTGGGTTCCGCCGAATGTCAAATTCATGGTCGATGATTTCGAGAGTCCGTGGCTTCAAGGGGAGAACCATTTTGATTTCGTTCACGCTCGAGCGATAGCGCCTATCACAAAAGATCTGCCCAAAGTGCTTTCGGAGGCCTATCGGTATGCTTGAACCTAACAAATGCCACATTGCCTCCTTCTCCCTGACACATACACAGTACCATAAAACCTGGCGGGTGGATTGAGTTTCAAGAGCAACAGTTCCACGCACTCTGTGACGATGGCACCATGCCAGAAAATTATCTACTCAATGAATGGTGGGAACATTTGGGGAAGGGTTTAGCAGTATTCGGGCGAGATCTCGCGGCCGTGTTGAAGACGGCACAGCACTTAACAGATGCCGGCTTCATCAATGTTGAAGAAAGGGTGGTCAAACTTCCAATTGGTCCGTGGGCCAAGGACAAGAAGTTGAGAACGGTCGGGCTCTATTCCCGGGCCTCGATCGAAGATGGACTTGAGGGTCTCAGCTTAGGCCCAATGGCAAGAGGTAAGCTTTTCTAAATTTAGCTTTGTTTCTCAACTTTTGCGCTTTGTCTGTCTTCGGAAATCCACTTTTATCTCAAAAATTATCGGTAGATATGACGCTGACATACCAGCGAAGGACTTGGCTGGTCACCAGACGAAGTTCGTGTTTACCTGGTCGGTGTGCGGAAGGCACTGATGGATAGGTCGATTCATTCCTACATGACATTTCATGTGATTTACGGACAGAAGCCACCCAGCTGAACTGCTCGACGGAAAGTGGACATGGCTTGCAGAGGAATGTTTTCCTCTATCTTTCCTCAGAGTCTTTTGGGTGGCCTTGTGCTTTGAGATATCAAAAAAATGTACAGGGGAAAGCAGGGAGATCACTGGAAAGCTCAAAGATGAGAAGTCGAAGGAGCGGATCGAATTGTGTGGGTGAAGATGAGGATGAGCCGAGTTTTTGGAGATATGTGGTTGGAAATGTTTGCCCGACAGCCAATAAAGTATGTGCCTCGAGGTGGTTCACATCATTCCAGTGCATGGAGTTGATCGAGGTACTTGGACATGTTGAGAACCGGACGAATTTGTGTCTCCAACTTTAGGTTAAAATTGCTAATATGCGGTGAAGTAAATCCTTCGAGAACTGTTCTGAAGTCAAGACACCCAGCCCCCGAAAATCCCGGCCATATATCCGCGTCCTCATTGACTTAGAGGAGGTTATCAGCCGCAAATTTGCAGGCGGTGCTGTATTTTTGTTCTGGTAGTTAGTGCAACAATATCCTGTAGATTCAAACAGAAAGCGGCATGCTTCCTATGTGTTTCCTGCAACTGGGCTGCGAGGCGGTGTTTATTCGTGAAACTGCGGCAACACTGCAATTTTAGTGCAAGAGAACTGTGTCAATCGTGAAATCGACCAATGAGTTGTCCTGATGTTGGGTAGTACAGCAAGCCTACCGAGGTATCTCTTAGTGAAGTTTGCCAATTTGCAGTACTGCTATCGATTTCCCTCCCAGCTCGACCATGGCTTTAAAGCCATCACTAATAACTTACTTTACTAACAAGGGTCTAGTATCTTGAAATATTTTAAAGCAGAAATCGTGACTTAAATTTGGGGTCAAGATTAGTGATGCGTTCCCACGAAGGAGACGAGTGGTTGAAGCCTGTAAATATGGTGGTCAGCGCCTGAAACCAGTTGCCATCATGTGACCTTCAAACTCACGCGTCTCAATCGCGTCGCTTCACCACTTCAATTTCCTTCTTCTCTTCTCTTCTCCTCGCCTCTACCACCATTCACAAATCTCATAAAACCCGCAGCAATGGCGCACAACATCTCGAAACGTCCATTCGACTCCTTCGCAGAACCCAATGGCAGCAAACCATCCTCAAAGAAACCCCGGGCAGACTCTGCTAAACTCCTCGACAAAATCCGCGTGCTACCCATCGAAACCACAGAACGCCTCCTAGACCAAATCTGCCAAGAATATCCCAAATTTGCAGCCAGAGTACAAGACGCCTACGCCGCTCACCTCGCAAAAACCGCTGCCCAGGCACCCGTGAACTTCGACCACTACTCGAAAGAATGCTGGTACACTTTGAACAAAAGGTACGCAAGATTAAGGCCGAGCCAACAATTCGAAATAGTAGGGGATATAATGGAGGAATTGAGTGAGGCGAGGGAGGAAATTATGGGGAAGGCGGGCGAAGAGACGAGGTTCGAGACAAGGAGGAATGCACTTGAGGTGTTGAGGAAGATCTGTAAGAGTGTGATGTTATGTAACGAGCAGCAGATCCGGCATGAGCTTATGAAGGATTGGATGGTGCTTGTGGAGTTTGCGGAGAGTATGGAGCAGTTAGCGAGGGGTATGACAGCGGTGGAGAGGGAAAGGTACAAGGAGGAGGGCCTTTATGAGAAGTTGGTTGAGTTGCAAGTGGAGTGTGAAAGTATTGATATGGAGGGCTTGGCGGATGTTTATGCAGTGTTTGAGGAGGATGGCGGTGAGGAAGAAGATGGAGAGGAAGGGAACGAGGAGGACGAAGATCCCGAAGACCCAGCAGTACAGCCGATCCCTCCTGCAAGGAAACGGACGAAGGTGTTCTCAGTTGGGGAATTATCTTGAAAAACATATTGAATCTACGGCAGAGAGCGGTTCTTTATGTTGTTTTGGAAGAAAAGTTGAACGCTTCGGAGGCACTGCTTGGGAGATATTTGTATGCTTATGTTGGGCAACATGGACTGCTTGATTTGCAGAACTGCACGTTGGATTCGGCCTTGCCAGTCATAATTCCCCGCCCTACAGGACGACGCAGATTTTACAGAAGGGTTCTATTTTGCAACACGTTCAACGCCCACCACTCCATTCACGGGGTTGGAACTTTGCGAGGAAGTTCCGTTCGCCCCATTTGCCTCGGGCTTTATATAGTACTTCGAGAAATCCTCGTTCAAAGAATTCAAGAACTACCGATCGGTCAGCGCATTCCATATCAGAAAAACGCGAAGGACACTTGCCGCTGCTCCTCCTTTCTGCATCTCCTCATCCGTATCCATCTTTTTACACATCTCAAAGAACGCCAATCTCTCGGGAATGGCATCTTCAGCCCACAGCCGCCGAAAGTTTCCTCTAGACACCGGGTCGATGATTTCCGCCCATTTCTTAATTCGAATTTCGCTGTACTTGTCCAGGATTTTGTCGGTTGTCAAGCCGTTTTGGATGGCTATGAGGCAGTCGTACAAACTAGTTACATCAGCGAAGCCGCCTGTCAGACCCATTCCTCCACTTGACCACAGTCAGCACAAAACTCAGACTTGTGGGGACGCGGGCCTACAAAGGATTGCACAAGTGTGCAGCATCAGCCACAAGAATGAAACGTCCTACTCGGAAACTCGGAGCACACCGTTGTTGCAACTTATACGGACTGGCATTCATCAATCTGTAGTCTCCCGGCTTGGGGTTCCCTGGCAGAAGATGTTCATAACGCATTGGCTGTCTCTCGAGATACTCTTTCGTGGAAAGACCGATTTTGTCCCCATATGTTACGCGCCACATGCCATCGGGTGTGATTTTCGCTGCCATATACCAGTCTTCCGGATGGACGATAAAGTTCGAGTCCCAGTAGCCGAACTTGTGGAAGTCATAATAAACCTACAATCATCAATCAGTTGCCCTCCCTCAAAATCCACACCACGCAGAAAGAGCCCAGCTTACATTTGTAGCAATAATCTGACTATGCAAAGTCTCTCCAGGATACTCCTTCCCAAACAACGATTTTCTGACCTGACTATTCGCCCCATCACACCCCAACACATAATCCGCACCCAGAGTCTTCGTTCCTTCCGGCGTCTCGCAAATCACCCTCGCCTCCTTCACATCTTGCTCGATCCCAACTACTTTATGCGCCCACAACAAGTTCCCCATCTTCTCCTTCTGAAAATGCCGATAATACAACCTGATCAACTTATCCAGCGGCAAACATACCATCACGTCCGGATCATCGACGTGCGATTTTATGCCTGCGATGTACGTGCCGTCGAACTCGCGCCAGCAGACACCTTCAGGGATGTAGCCCTCTCTTTGCACGTCTTCGAGGACGCCGGCGCGGCGCATTTCTTGAATCGCTATTGAGGCATAGTGGGCTGCTCGCGGGTTCTTGTCTAGCTCAGTGTTGGCTTCGAGGATTGTGATGTTGATTCCTTGTTTTGCTAGCAGGATGCCGAGAAGGAGGCCTGCTGGGCCAGCGCGCACGATGATGATCTGGCTTTCGATCAGCGAGATTCGTTCAAGAGAAGGTCTGGAGATATACCTTCTTTATTGGCTTCTCGGACACCATTTCGTGATGAGGATTAGGGTTGCGCTTGAAAGTCTTTCCGACACCCACAACTCGGGATTGAAATGCAGAACAGTTGGTGCCGGTATTAATGACGAGTGTCAATAATTCTCCAATCCCACCTTCCGAACTACACTTTCATTGCCTTGCGATGGATTGAAGTCAATCCAACCGATCCATTTCCCCTCGATCACTGTTTCGGCTCCGCAAGGCTGCGAACCCCGAGGTGGGGTCAGAGTTCACTTGTCAGGCTTGGGGAGCTCTTGTGGGGTAGCCAATGCGGGGCAGTACTCCGGACCGATCGCATGCATGGATTGGGGAAGCTCCAGCCTGTTTCATGCTTGCTCTGATAGAGTATTGGATGCAAGTGCCGTTGCGCACTAAAATAGAGTGCGGGGGAGGCGTCCGGGACATACATGCTTCGGCCACATGCAAGCGAAGTGTGCCAGCCATTTTCCCTATCTTTGCGGGTCACATTGGCAATCTGCGAGAGGCAAGCGGACGGGAAATTTTCACGTGAGCTATCGATTCACTTTCATGGTAGTGCCAGTCGCGTTGTTGTCTGAATTCAGGAGTAATTGAGGAAGAAAGTCCTGAAGATTCTCGATGTTTAAACTAAGTGGTATGTAGCTTAACTCAGTAGTAGCTAAGGGTGGGAGAAGCCCTGTATATATAGGCTAGGAACAAAGAAACGTCTTAACTTCAACACTTGACACTACAAAACACAGCTAGCTGGCTAACTTTACATGTACAACGTCCCTCTTACTCAGCATGCGTCCTGATATGAAACTTCTCCAAAAGATTATGGCGGTGCCAATAACTGCGATACTTCTTCCCAAACACGTACATGATGGGCAAACCCACCATCACGGCAAAGCCCGTCACTCCAAATACGTTGAAGACATGTTGGGGACCAGTCCTGGCCAACCAGTCGTTGATGAAATAGGTGAAGCCGTAGAGCAAGAAGTTCTTGGACATCATGCCCATGATGAAGATTTCGTTGTTCATGTCTCTGTATGCGTCCAGTGCGTAGGATGATGTAGCGACAATTAAGGCCATAACGCCGAAAATAATGACGCCGTGGACTGTCGCTGCCACATAGGGACTTCCAGAGTTCTGAGTCACGTAACCGTAGCCAAAGAGTCCGGCTCCGCTTGCGACCCCCAAGACCGAAATGAGTAGACGGTATTCGGGCTCGTAAACACCCTTGTTCCTGCGAGTCATATACATCATTATCCGATCTGTGATGGCACCGAAGAGCAACATGGCTATCAGTCCCCCAACGAATGGCCCAAGGGAGAGATACCCAATGTGGCTTGGATTCAGGTGGTATGGTGGATAAGCGAAGATTTGAGCGAGGACGAAGGCAATGGCGACGAAGAGGCCAACGAACCAAGCTTGCACAACGATAACGTAGCACACGGAGGCGTTCATGCAGATCGCGAATGGAGCAATGATGAGCGCGAGTAGGTTCTCGTCCGAGTAAGTCCCATCAAACAGCTTCATGTTTTCCCAGAAGGTTTTCTTCGCTGGAAATCCGGTGGTCTGTCGACTGATAGCATTCTCCAGCTGCACAGTGTGCAAGCTCTTCTCGTGCTGATGTTCAGCAGCAACGAGCTCCCCGAAGTTATCGGTGGTCAGCTCGTCGATCTCGTACTTGTGGTCTCGACGATATGTTGTTTCTGGGACGAAGAAGATCTGGAGGATCGTCTGGACGACAGAAATAGCGACGAAGATGTGGAAAAGGTATTTCCATCCTAGATTCGTGGTAATTGGACCACAGACCACGGATGCCAGGTTTGAGATTGCGACGAGAAGGAAGCTGACGATCGAGAAGTAGATTCCGCGCTCGTGGACGAAGAAGAGATCACCAATGACCACAAGGAGGAGAGACTCGTATGTGCTGACAGAAAAACCTTGAATAATGCGAGCAGCAAGTAGTTGATTGTAATTCTTCGAGGTTGAACCGATGATGTTGCCGATAACTGCAGACACAGACGAGAGTACGAACAATGACCGTTTGCCGTACTTTCTTGAGCAAGCAGAGACGAACGGCGCTGTGCATCCAACAACCAGAACCTGATAACCAGAGAGAAGCGTGATGTCTGTGATGGTGACGTTCAAGTCGATTGCAATGACGACCAAGCTGGCGTTTAAGAGCGGTCCAAAGCAGGCGCCGTAGAGAATCGTGCCCATGCCAGTGATAAGCATGATGGTGAGCTTCCTCGCCTGGGACCAATTGAGAGGATCATTCGGATCCTCGCTCGGCTGGGGAGTCAACACGATGTGGGCATTCTTCCCTCTTCCGTGCTTCAGGTCTCCTGTTACGGTCTCTGAATGAGCGACATCTTCCTCTAGGATGACCGTCCCGGGAACTTTGGGAAGATGATGATCATCCAACACAAATCCGACGCCCATGATTAATAAGGAGTCAAATATTTCTCAGTACAAGAGGCAAGAGAAGAACTGCAATGTAGAGTTCGGGTCGGAATGGATATGGGTAGGGAAATAATTGATGAGATGTGTATCTGTAACCGTGAAAGGGGGAGCTGACAGACAATTTGTATGTCGATAGTCTCTACAGGCTTACTTTATATCAAACACATGCGGTAGCAGATCAACAGCTCCAAAGAGCCGGATTAGACTACCGGCCAGTACTCGGTGCTGTCAAGTGATGGTTAGGGCTATTGGAGGAGCGTTTAGGGGGGGGGTGGAGCCGAGCTGCACAAAATAAGGTTTCGAGGAGTTGGGGGAGATCACGCTTGCTTTGTCTCCAATTGGAGGTACCAAGTTGAAGAAAAATGTGGGATGGTGCCCCACATACATGAACTACTATCTGGATTTTTGAGGCGTTTGATCTTGCGGAGTTTGAATAACGCGAGCCCCCAAGAGTGAGTGCAGTTCCTGGATTGGGGTATTGGTTCAATGAGAAGTCTCGATTTTAAAGGCACTTGTTCGCATTCGAGTTCGAGTCAACGGTTTGTGCAACTCGACGATATTGCGTATATTTTGCAGAATTGAAAGGCCAGTGAGGAAGAGATTCTTGACATCAATTCAGACGAAGAGTGGCGGACAAGTATTGTTCGGAATCTGTTCGTTTCATTCAAATTAGAGGGTGGCATACCCCTCCAAAGTTGACAAGAACGCGAGTGCAGGCTTCACACGACTTATTCCATTGCTCCGAGGATCCATCCATTATTCATTGCTAGCGCAGAACGCTGGATTGGTAATCTACACTCCGCTCTGAGACCTTCTCTCGAGCAAACGATTTGAATTACCGCTTTTCATCCAGCGTGATCTTCTGTTCAGCCTCCTTCCATATCTTCTCGATCAATTTAGCATGCTTTGCCGACCGCACGCTGATAGCACAATCAAATGGCTGAGGAATAGTCATCCAACCCGGGACCATCTTGCTGCCAGGATCAAGTGGCTTTCCATCTACGATCTTCTTTGAGATGTTGAACCCCCAGACGATTCGACTGATGTTCAGATAAAGAGATTTCTCGGCAACGTGTACGCCGGGACATACGCGTCTTCCTGCTCCGTAGGAGAAGTGGTCGCGTTGATTGGGGTCCGCGATGTTGAGGTATGAGGCGGCGGGGAGGTCATACCCTAGGTAGCGTTCGGGCTTGAACTCGAATGGGGACTCCCATCGCTCGGGGTCGTAGTTTATGTGCCTGAGATATGAGCTTGACCGGGTCTTTTTTAAAGAAAGGAAGAGAAGAGAAGACTTACCACCAGTTGATCAGCACCACCGAACCTTTTGGAATGAACTTCCCTTCGTACCAATCATCCTCAGTCGTTGCATGGTGCATCCCGACCTTATTCGGAGGTCGCATCCTCAACAAATTCCTTGATTATCGCCCTAATATACGGCAAGTTCTCCTCGTCTTCCCAAGTGGGATACCGATCCGGCCCAACCACTCTATCCACTTCTTCCTGGGCCTTCTTCACAACGTGTGGATTCAATGTCGCGAAGTTCAAGAAAGTATTCAAAGCAGCTGAAGTAGTCTCTGAGCCTGCCTCCACAAGCCCGCCAGCTTGATACGCAGCCTGAAGTGTATCCAGACCCTGTTTCTCAGGATCACTCTCATAAAAATCCTTGCAGAAACATTGCTTGGCAGTCCCACCCTCAACTTCATTTTTCAGGTCATTCCAAAGCCTCAAGTAGATGGGTGAATCATGCTCATGACACTTCCTTCCGAAGGCCCGCCAATTGCCAAAGAAGATCTGAGGCAGGTTTTGGATGGAAGGGAAGGTGTCAACCATCCATGCCCCAGGAGCAGCGTAGTTTTGCATGTTGTTGACGACCTCGTAGACGCTTTTCGCAAGAGGATCATTCCACGTTCCGATACGATGTCCATATGTAACCGATAGAATCACACTTGCAGAATACCGTCTGTTGTGGTCGTAGAAGCGATCAGGGTCGTTCACGAGATCGTACAGCAGCTGTTTCGACTCAAGATCCTGAACGGGCTGGTATTCGGTGGTCTTTGTGATGTTGAGCAGCGCATGGGATATCTTGCGGACTGTTCGGTATCGAGGTCCGTAGGGCATAAACAATTGCCTTCTTCCCGCCGACGCAACATCTTGTGCCAGCGGTGCAGGAGGTCTCGATGAGTAGATCGCGGATCTCTTGTCCAATAAGTCTTTGACGGCTTTGGGGGATGACAGCCAGATGTAATCTGATCCTCCGATCTTCGTGTAAAACACGTCTCCGTATTTTTTTGCCCATTCTCTCACTTTGTCTGGTGTGGCGTCGCCATCGCCGCCAGCGAGGTCGAAGTAGTTCCCAATAAATGGAAGGCCGCGAGGGCCAGGTGGCAAATGTTTCCGTCGAGAATCCTTCAGCACATTCGGCGTCGCCCAGAACCAGAAACCCAAAAGTAGAGTCACTGGGACAACGATCAAGCCTCCGAAGAGTACCTGCCATAGCGGCAATGAGCCAAATCCTAATTCAGACAAGGCGGCCATGATGTCGTCATACACGCAATTCACTTTGAGAGGAATACATTAATGATGAGCTGAAAGGAGCTCGCCCAATTTGATGAGAGGAGGTTCGGAGGGGGGTCGCGCAATATCGGTGCTAGGGTTTCGAGCTATGCCTTACCCCAACTTTGGGAGGCGGGGTAGTGTTGGAGATGGAGATGAAGGCCCCACACATGTCCTTATTGTTGCCATGCACGCTGATTTGGAGATGCTACTGGGGTCATTGCCGAGTGGCTAGTTCGGAAGCATGGAGTTTTAGGCTTGGTGGCTTGAAAAGATCATGCTTTGGGTTGACACATGGCAAGGGTTTCAAACTTCTACGATGCGATGCTCTCGGTCCCACTGCTAAACGCGCTCAGTCTTTCGTCTTGATCTGGCAACGACCTCCAATTCTTCGAATTGGTCCCAGTACCCAGCCGTAGAGTAAAAATTTTTCCAAGTTGAAATCCAGCCTCGCCTTTGTGTGGCTGATCTCACGATATTTATCCGCAGAGCTTCACTGATCTCCCACACCAAAGTCCCTACAATGGCACTCCATATCGTTGGGTTAAATGGCTCGTCATTCGCAACGACTGTTTTCTTAGCAGTTGTAACTCTCTTGATTGTTCAGAGAGCAGTCTCGAGTCACCTATACAAAAAGAAATACAAATTTCCACCGAGAATTCCAGGATTACTATCGTTGGAAACACTTTCCAATTGCCTGGGAACCAACAGGGACAATGGGGAGTTCAAATGGCGAGGAAATATGGAGAGATGTAGATTTCTTCACTTCTTTCTGTTCCCACAGTTATTAATAGTTCATAGGTTCACGTGCAAAATTGGCGTAAACACCTGGGTGTTCCTCAACTCATCCCGAGTCGTCAATGACTTAATGGAAAAACGCTCAGCAATCTACTCGTCAAGGGCAAACTTGCCAATGACCTCCAACATCATGTCAGGAGGCTGCCGAGTTCTCCTCATGCAATACAACGAGCGCTGGCGAGCCCTCCGGAAAATCATGCACACCATTCTCAACAAGACAAATTCCCCAACTTTTGCTCCGTTCCAGGATCTGGAATCAAAACATCTCATCTACGACTATTTACACAACCCAGATAAATGGTATCGAGCTAACCAACGGTTCGCAAACTCGGTCATCATGAGTGTCGTCTTCGGGAAACGCATGGAGCTCAATGATCCAAAGATCATTGAGCTTTTTGAAACCTCGAATGAGATCATTGCTGCAATGCAGCCAGGTGCAAGTATAGCGGATGCCCTTCCAATCTTGGAGAATCTGCCGAAGGCCTTGCAGTGGTGGCGACCTCGTGGAGAACGAGCATTTCAAAAGTGTCTTCGGTATATTTTTCTGCTTAGGTGTTATTCACAGGAGCTTATTTTTGTACAGGGTATACCGACGCGAAGTTGACGAGCTAAACGAAAAGATCGAAGCTGGTACTGCTAAAGATTGCTTCGCGGTTCAGTTCTTGCAAGCTCCGGAGACGGCAAAGCTTGGGGAAACCCAGACTCTGTTTGCGCTTGGTTCTCTCATGGAAGCGGGGAGTGATACTTCTCGGATGACGATCAGTCAGATCCTCGCTGCTGCTGCAACCGACAACCGATGGGTCAAGAAAGCTCAAAATTTGTTGGATCAAGTGTGTGGCAGCAATGCGGAGCGGTTACCAGAATTCTCGGACAGGCCGAACTTGACGTATATCACTGCCGCAGTCAAGGAATCGTTTCGATGGCGCCCGTTTGCGGAGATTGGGGTGCCGCATATGTTGACTCAGGACGATGATTATGAGGGATATAAATTCCCTGCTGGAACGTTGTTCACTTGGAATTCGTTCAACATTGCCATGGATCCGAATGAGTACGAGGAGCCACAGCGATTCTGGCCGGAGAGGTTTATGAATAAAGATGTCAATAATGTGGTCAAAGGTCACTGGAGTTTCGGGCCAGGTATTTAGACATGCCCGAGCAGTGTCATCTGTACTGACGGATTGTAGGTCGGAGAATATGTTCGGGTTACAATGTTGGGGAATCGAATGTGTGGATTGCACTTGCGAGACTGCTGTACTGCTTCGACTTCGAGGAAGTCCCGGTAAGTTTTATGAACCTTCTTTAATATCAAAGCTAATGAGTTTGCACAGGGTGACCCTATTGACACCTTCAAGCCCAATTGGATTGAGCATCGCTGGGCTCCTTTCCCAGTGCGGATCAAAGTTCGAAGTCCGAAGCATGCTGCGCTAATAGAGATGGAAGGTAAAAACGCTGCTGAAACGAAGTATTAACTTATGTACTCTTTCTAAACTAATGCGAAGTCAAATCTCTAAAGTGACTTGTCCCGCTCTTATTTGCTCGATGTTTGTGCTTGTGTTGTGATGGCTTGCTTTCTTAGAGCAAGTCACGTGGCTTTAGCTCACCTCTTCACCCTGATCGACCTGCACAGGGGATTGGGGAGCTAGTCCAGTGACCTTATCGAGAAGGCAGAGGTGGGCTAAACCCTAAGACTGGAGCAAGTTAGATTTGCTTCACCATCTCCAGGCCGTTCGGGAAGCGGCCGGCACCAATGTACCACACATATTGCCACCTACAGATCAAAGTCTAACAATTTAACCACAAATTTCACTGTCTTCTTACAACACCATTCACTCAAGATGATCTTCTCTTGACACTCAAACTCGCACTCCAGCTGAGCGGTTGAGATTGATGTAGCTGTAAGAAATATTGATCCTCCCCAGAGCTCAAGCGTCTATGCTATGGCAATGTCAAAGTCAAACCCGAACTAACAGAACTCAAACCAAAAATACACAAGTACGAAGACAGCTGCTAGAAATGTAACACAACTTCCAAAGTTGAGTCCCCAAGCCCAGAAATACCACACGAGGGCGAGTCCAAATGCAGCTCCAGGAGCCATCAATAACTCCATCACTAGAGGCGATACACCTGCCAACCACATTTTAAAATGATGTAAGACGCATTTGAGGGTCTCAACCCAATTATATTCTCGCCACGCAATCCAGTCGTCTTCCGTTCCATCCATCCAAAACGACCCTGTGGCGCATTTCCACATCCAGCGGGCATGAAGAGTCCCGTCTGGCCTGTAAGGTTCGTTCTTGATGACCCAGTCTCGCCATTTGTTGACCACTTCCAAAGCCTTCTCTTCTGATACTTCAAACCACTCGCCATGCTCTGTCGGTGTGGACAATATAGAGCCTTCTCCCAGCTCCAGATGGTGAAAATTCTTACACTTATTACACTTGTATTTTCTCCTCTCATTATATAACTCCGCTTGGATAATTTTTTCGACTGCATGGTAATGAAGAAAACGTTTGTCATTCTCGTCTTCGACGTGTATGAATTCAAATTTGCATTTTTTCCCCCACTGATCTTTCCGCTCCTCTGGTTTTTGTTTCGTTTTCCCGATTTTGACGTATTTTGGCCCCGGAAAAGCGTCTGGCTTGGACCTGAAGATATATATGTAACCGTCGTCTTCAGTAGCTGGTGATCTAGGCAGCTTTCCGGCTGCATCACTCCATGCTTTCCACATGTTATCAACGCGAAGACGAAGCGCTCGTAAACGGGCATATTTGGACAGCTTTTTGCCCCGGATAGCTTCCAGAATCACAGGTTTCAGACCTTTCTGGCACTTTTTCGATGTGTTGAAGTCTTCGAGGTTGGGGAACCCCCGCTCTCTATTTTGTACGATCCGACGACGTCGGCGGGATGTCTTTCTTCCAGCCGTACCTACAATATTTGAAGGCTCTGTAGCAGCCGATTCAAGCTCTGGTCCATTGTTGACCAACGCCAAGGTTTGAGTGGTAGAAGGAGATGCTGGTTCTACTGCGTCGAGGGACCCAGTTGAGCGACGGCGGAGTTTATGGGACTTGGAGGAAGCGGTCCCTTCGCTGGAAGACTGCCTTGATGGAGATATTCTAGCGGCTGGAGAGGAATGAGGACCAGATCTCTGGTTTAGTGTTGTATTCATTGATGCCGAGCGTTTGTAAGGCGCCCGACGTGGTGATGGAGCAGCTTCTTTATTGTAGTTCACTTCAGCCGTCGGCGAGGGTTGGCCGTCGGTACTACTGCCATTGTCGGTGAAAACTCTTCCCTCACCATGGGTTTGTAATGCAATGACAGGGAGAGTCTCCGGGCGTTCTCCCTTCGAGGGACTCGATATGTCTTTACTAAGGCCGAAGTTTCGCGGCTTTTTGGCTGGCACCTTCTTTGGTGCTGAAGAAATGCTTTCCGCTCTGCCCCTTGTAACTTCGCCTGATGGAGAAAAGTCTTTGGCCTTGCCTTTTCTGTCCGATTGACCGCTTTTGGTCGTGAAAGGGATGGAATCATTTTGCACTGCCAAGGCTGGACGAACCCCCCTCCTTTTAAGTGCCCTCGAGGGAGGACATGGTGAGCCATCTCTTCCCAACTCGCTCAAACCAGCTGAAAGTAGATCATTATCTAGCAGATTATTGTCGTGCGGACTGAGCTCTTCCAGAGATTCAACTATTGATTCAGCGGCTGTCGATGTTGAGAACTCGTTCTCTGAAGGCAGGGTTGCAGACGCGCTGCCTCTATTCAACGTGTTCTCCTTGAACAAAAGCTGCTTAGACGTGTCACTATTGGTAACATGGGATCTCCTTTCGACGCTCGAACTGGACTCGTCGAGTACTAAGGGGGTCAAAGGCGTTCCAGGGCTCTTCGGACCGCTGTCAAAAATTCTAAGAGCTCTCAAACTTGAACTTGAGCTTGAAGCGGTAGATGCAGTTCCGGATTTCGGTCGTTGGGGAGTTATTATCGGGACGGTGTTTCTCAGGGAGCGGCGGAGAACAATTTCTGAGTTATCCTTGATTTCATTGTTGTCTTTAGGAGCCTTGTCTGCCCTAGGCATGGTGATTGTTCTGTGGATGCTGGGGCTGAAGTAGGCAGTAGGCCTGGGGAATATGTTGTGACTAGTTTGTGATAGTTGGAAAAGTTCTGTTCGGTGTAGGCACTGTAGGAAATACTTGAGACAAAACCAATTTGGTTGGGGAGCTGCCACATCTTGAAGTGTCTAAGAACTTCGTTCCTGGCTGACTACGGGTCGGTCGGCTGAACGGACCCGTACCTGATTCCATTGCTAAACAGAGTCAGGTCAAGCAAGACGCAACCTCACGGGTAGGGCCCCGAACAGGAAGGCACCCAAGTGGTTCCGGCCAGGTGGTACCCAATCGAGTCTCGAAGATAAGTCTCTGACGCGAGCGAAGATGCCCCTTTCTCCGCATACGAAAACCCCAGGAAGGGGGTTGCCGTCCCAGCCACCGGCTATTGAGAAGCGCGCGTCTCACCATCCGTTGTGTGACTCGGGGGCTATCATCAATTGCTTCACGTTGGGAAACCTCCCCTCCCCCCCTGTAAATTTGAAACAAGACGTGGTGACGGCAGCAAAACCCGAGACACCAACAGAAGCGGGCCGGGCCTGCTTCCAGCCATTGAATGTCCTTCTCAATACAAATGGATTTTTAGTTCTAAACATCCGATGAAATTTGGTATGCTTCATATGCGACAAACGCGGATTGAAGCTTCTAGGAGTGGAAAAGATCTACGGAAGCAACCAATTATTGTTTCTGGATCCTTGGATTGAACGCGCGGGGTTCCCGGCTCCCTTCACACGAGCACAATGTCACGAGCTCAGAGCTGTCCTTGCTCACCGAGCTACCCTGCCCAGCATTCAAAGGTTCTGTGTTCCTGCATCTCTCCTTGAGCGCGGGAAATTCAACATGGCGGACCGTCTGTTAAGGGAAGGTGTCACAGTGATAATGATTCGCGAAATTGCCAAGGGTATTGGAGGCTGTTCAACTTCGACTTTAAACAGATCGGCTGTATTGCGAACAAAACCGGCTCGTGGAAACGTAAAGTTACACAGGCCTGCCCTTGCTTGTATAGTGAAGAGAGGGAATTCAAGAAACTTCATTCATTTGAGGTCACAATAATTCTGAAACTTCGAACATTGTCCCAATTTTATCAACTGAGTACTCATGAGGCGTGGAGGCGAATCGGCATTCAGCTGGCCAACACGCGATTGAGAGTTTGCGGAATGCGCCTTCTGCTCTTGGAGAATTGACCCTAACTTGTGAGGTCCCTTAAAATAGTTGCGATTTTCTCTGTAAGGGATCTGAAAACAGAGTTTAGGCGAGAAAGTGGGAGGTTGGGAGACCAAAATCAGGGGGCGGCAGGGCGGGTCAGCCGACAGATCTCGCAGGGGAATCTCCACAAGGTCAACACCCTGGAAGCCCCTTTACGATTCGGGGCTAGTCTGCCACCAAGGCGCTACAATTGGTCCGTTGCTGCGGCTGAGGGGCGGCCAACGGCTCGCGAGATCTGGCGTTTTATCTCTCACTCGCTCCATGGTACTCCTCAAAATCCCAATCTATAACGTTCAAAATTTAGATAATTGAGATGCGAGATTTTTCCTACCTTCAGAATACTCGGGCAACAATTAAATGAGCGCATCAAGGTACACAAGTCTTCACATGCTCGCTGACATTCATGGTTTTCCCCGGCCGGAATGCGGGGTAGGGAGCCCAGAACTGCGCCACCAATCTCTTCTGTTCAGCCAGCATCTATCATACGGGCTTCTCAGTGGCCCATTCGGCATCATGACGAATCTTACAGCTCGTGTCTGAAGGATTGGACCTGACTAACATTTCAGCTGCTAACCAGCCTCATCATCCTTAAGCAAGGTTAGTGACAGTAGGCAACCTCTTTTCCCTTTCAACGACTTCATCAAAGATTCAGTCTATCTCTCCCTTCATGAGAGCTATTCGGGGTCACAATGAAGGCGACGTTATTGTTAGCCATCACCTGGGCACTTCTCGCCCATGGTCATGACCATCATGATGAATTTAAAGTATCCACCCTCACTTACCAGACTCTCATCAGCAAGAAGATCGAGACTGCTACGACAACTTTCAAGGGTATGAGACCTCACGCGCACCACCATCATTCCGCACCCACCAGCTATACCTTCAACTCCGCCGCCAATGCCTATCCCACCTTCTCCAGTATAATCGGCCCACTCGCAACAGACTCTCCAGCTCCTGGACTTCCAAATGCGACCACCTTAGTAGGAGCAGCCGTTTCCCTGATCGGGAAATTCAAAATCTCAAATCCCGCCAACTGCCAGCTATGTCAAACCCTCATGGCGAGTGTTGCTGCACGGATGAAAGCCCAACAAGAAACACTCAGCGACATCGCAATTCCATTCTGTACACCTTTGCAGGTAGCCCTTCCTCTGCCAATATGTATAGGGCTGTTGAAAACAGCGAGCACAGATCTTGGTGGTGTGTTTCCGGCACTCGATATGTTGGGAGAGGACGGCCAGACGCTTTGTGCGTTCATGTTTGGGACATGCGATCTTCCTGCCCCTCCAAAATTGGATCTGGGAAGCTTATTCAAAGGGAAGACGGAGAAGCCAGCGCCGCGTGTTGCGAGTACTTGCAAGAAGGAACCGTTGAAGGTCTTGCATATCAGTGATTACCATCTCGACATGCGGTATGTGGTAGGATCCGAAGCAAATTGCACTGGGGCTGGGAACTTATGTTGCCGCGTTCATCCATATACGAATGTCAGTGTACCGATTCAGGAACCGGCATCAATATTTGGGAACTATTTATGTGATACCCCTGAAGCATTAGGGACGTCTCTCTTTCGACAGCTGCCAAAAGCGACGGGACATCGTTGGGAGGACTTCTCGTTCGGTCTCTTCACCGGAGACTTGGTGTCCCATGATATTTGGGAGTTGACTGAGCCTTACGTGCTGGCTGAGGAGCTTCTGAGCTATCAGCATTTTTTCGATGGTATGGGCGGCGTCAAGATATTCCCAACATTAGGGTAAGAAACCACTAAATTTTACTTGTACATATGTTGACCCAGTCACAGAAATCACGACACGTTCCCCCACGCTTTCACCTCCTTCCCCAACCAAGACAAAGTTCTTCCGGCCAATGCATCTTTCGGCATTCAACAGGAATGGAATTACCAGAACATCAGTGCGGCATGGGAAAACTACGGCTGGTTAAGTGCATCTGAAGCCTCCACAGTTGTCAACAGCGGCTTGGGTATCTACAGGGCCGTTACTCCCGAAGGCCTCGTCATTATTTCTCTTAACAGTGACGTCTGGTACTATTTCAACATGTACGCCTACATTGGCGGCAACTCCATAGACCCAACGGGCATGTTCAACACTCTAATCTCCTACCTTCTCGAAGCAGAATCGAAGAACCAAGCAGTCTGGCTTATCCAACACGTAAATGTCGGCGGAAGTACTGACTACGAAGCATTACCTGCTGCGACGGATCTGTACTACCAGATTGTTGATCGGTTTAATAACACGATTCGCGCAACGTTCTTTGGGCACACGCATGCGGATGAGTTTGGAGTATTTTATTCGAATAATGGAACGGTGCAGACGGCGCAGACGGCGGCGAGCGTTGCATACATCATGCCTTCTGTCACAACTTACACGAATAAGAATGCCGGGTTCAGATATTACCTCGTTGATCCGGAGTCCTTCGATGTCCTGGACTCTGTCAACTTCTACGCCAACATCTCCAACACGGACCAGTGGGCAAAACACGGGGATGTCACGTGGGAATTCGAGTACTCTGCTCGCGACACCTATGATCCTTCCCACACCCTGCTCAAGCCGAATGAGCCACTATCTGCAGCATTTTGGCACCAGGTTACGGAGAAGATTTATACGAATGAGACGATGTTTGAGACGTATACGGATCTAAGGACGAAGAAGTTTAGACCGTTCGTGAATGAGACGGCGGCGCAGAGGAATTTGACGCTGTGTGGGTTAAGGAGTATGAGTGTGCCAATATTTGAGAGGTGTTTGGGGAATATGAAGAGTACGACTAGCTTTCTCTGAGCAAGAGCGAGGAGAGAAGGAAGGGAGATATATTATGATGTTATGAGAAAAGACAAGATAAAGTAATATAATACAAAATTTCATAAATTAAATGAGGATGTTTCATTCTTTGTGGCTTTTTCATTTTTTCCTGAGAGGAGCAATCGACCTCATTCTGTCGGTATTTGATCACGTGACCATCCTCTTCCACCCCCGGAGGGAATTCACTCCCTCTCTACTCCATATTCCTTGGCTCCCCTGTTGAGATACGCGTGGTGGGGATGATGGAAAGGTGCAACTGTGGCTGAAGCCTTCCCATACCTCATGCGGAGTGGGCTTGCGGATGCGGATGCATGAGCGGGATTTTCGGGATTTTCATTGGCTGGGTGCCTTGACTTGGTCTCCTCCGTCAATATATCCCACAACGATGCTTCTGCGGCTTGATCTCAACAATTTCAGAAGGATCAAGCTTCACCGTGCGCAGCTGCGTTGAATCAAAATTGGAAATATGATTCTCTCCGGGTTCTCAACAAGTCCAACAGGCTCCATCAATACCGTCTGCTGAATGTTGTATAAAAGCCTTCCAGAATCCTCTATCTCTGGAGCAATAACAGACATCTCACACCACATCTCCAAAACCAACAGAAATCTCAGCATCCATCATGATGGGTTCCCTCCCCGACTCCCGCAAGCTCTTCACTCCTCTCCGTATCGGTACCATGCACCTCTCCCACCGCATCATCATGTCCCCTCTCACCAGAAAACGCTGTCCAGCTGGGATTCCAACCCCTCTTGTGGCAGAGTACTATGCTCAGCGCGCTACACAAGGTGGTCTCATAATCTCGGAGGGCATGCATCCTTCTGTCATGGTTCGTCCTGTCCCTCCTCTCCCATACCCCGCTTTGCGTCAGGAAGATATAGGTGCTGGGCGAAGATTAGTTGGCGTGAAGTTGGAGCTGACAGTGTGAAAGGCAGGAAACATGCACGGAATACCGGGCATGTATACACCTGAGCATATCCGGGGCTGGAAAGCCGTGACGGATGCTGTGCATGCGAAGGGGGCGTATATGGCTTGTCAGTTGTGGCATGTGAGCTTCCCTTTCCCCTTTCCCCCTTGCCTGTTCTCACACCCCAAAACTTGACATTGACTGAAGAGGTATGATACAGTGCGGACGTTTCGCAGTCTCGGTCCAACTAGGGGGCCGCCAACCATTGAGCTCCTCGGCAACAAACATCGGTGTTGTAAATAAGTTCACAGTCAAAGGGACTGTACCGACTGAGACAGCAAAGGATATGAGTATTGAAGATATCATGGTGACGATTGAGGATCATGTGCATGCTGCGAAATGCGCCGTCAAGGCCGGGTTTGATGCAGTTGAGATTGTGCGCTTCTCACTTCCCCTTTTCTTGAGAAAGCCAGCTGATGGGGATGAAGACAGCAGGAAACGGCTATCTCTGCGACCAATTTCTGAACTCCAGGGCCAATCTTAGAACAGATGACTATGGAGGTAGCAAGGAGAATCGTGCGAGATTCACGCTTGAGTTGCTTGATGCTGTCATCGCTGCCATCGGACCAGAGAAGGTTGCACTGAGGTTCAGCCCCTGGGGGACAGTGTTGATGTCACTGGATGCTGATCCCATCTCCACCTTCACTTATGTATTGAGTGAAGTTGAGAAGAGGGGGATAGCGTATGTGTGTCTCACTCAGCCCCGAACGGATCTCTTCCTCTCACAGGAGGTGAAGTGGGCGAATCTTTACAAAGCGGCGGAAGATGGGAGTGTGAAAGCGAAGGTGGAGGAGATCAATTTGGGGCCGTTTGAAGAAGTGTTGAAGACGACACCAAAGTTGAGTACTGGTGGATATGACGGAATGAACTGCTTTGATGAGGTGGAGAGGGGTGAGTTGGATGCCATTACATTCGGACAGTGGTTCATTAGTAATCCTGTTCTGGTGGAGAAGATCCGGCTGGGATTGAGGCTGACCGAGAGGAATGTTGAGATGACGTATGCAGACGGGCCGGAGGGGTATACTGACTATCCTGTTGGCGAGGTTGTTTAAAATACGACTTGGATGTCTGGACTTCGTCTTGGTCTTTTAAGATCTCGGAAGGAGGGGTGACTAGAGAATGGGAAAGACTTGGATCGCTATGGTTCGATGAAACACTTCCGTAGGATTTGCGATCTTCTTCAATTTGATCTAGGAGTTTTGCTTCGAAGTATTAGTTCTCATTCATTCTTCCACGAAAGCGGCCTTACCCGCGTTCATCCACCTCTTGCTGAAGTTTGTGAGCATCAACTTCATCCTTTCAGCGGCTTCAAGCCATTTTGGATCGCCAGTCTGCTTCCACAGTCTGTATTGCATCGATGATGTCTTGTACAGTGAACGGGGCGGGAAAGGCGATATGGCTTCGACGTCGACTTGCTCGATTTTCTCGTTGAATCGGCCCGCAATGAAGTTGATACGGCTCAAAGCGGACGCCAGTGATTCTGGACAATGACTATCCCCAAGTTTGATAGGTAGGGCGGAGTCTTGGTCTTGACGAGATTCGTGGACTGTCATTAGAGCGCTGGAAAGGCTTCTATTAGATCGGTTTGATTGTGACATCAGAAAACTCACCTGTAGCACATGCCAATCGCTCCACAGTATCTCGGCCAGGGCTGGGGAGTCTCCTCTGGCAACAGTAGAGAGAAAGCTGTGAGAGTTCTTGCAATTTGGTCTGATTCTTCCTTGTCGAGGACGCCATTTGGTCTGGGATCCCGTAGGTGCATTATGAGGATGTCTAGTACATGTGATACTTGAGCTTGCCTTGCGAAGGGTCCAACTCGGACGCTGGATGGGGTGGATAAAGACAATGGCTCAACGGAGGATAGGATCTATTCAAAAGTTAGTAGCGTGAGCAGTAGGCTTTGTGTCGAGACAGACCTTCTGATCCCAGATACTGCCATCCCTCGGCAGGTGGCGAGGTGTTCCGAGATCTTGGGTTGCACATGGACCTTCACCTCGTTCCAGTGTATAGTTTCTGCATTTATCGCGTCAGCTGATTGATAAAATCAGCGGGAGGAACCATCACTACCTATCAAGCATGACGATTCCCCACCAAACGCGGAGACATTCCTCCAACTTGGAACAGTTTGCCGACACATCTGTGCAAGGACTTTTGATCGTCTGGTTGAGTCCAATAGCGACAGCCGCCCTGACTGTAGCAGCGATGGAAATAAACGCTGCCGGCATGCCATGGCCGAATTCAAATAACGAAACCAGAAGTCGAGCTTGCACGATCTCCAAGGAGTTGATGTTCGCTGCCTCAACAATCGCAATGGAACTCTTCACCAGGATGTAGAGAGATGTGAAAGAGTTCAAGGTCTCCTTTCCGGGTGGCGTGGTGATGATAAGCATTATACTCAGGGACAGGACGCTGTACTCGGCACATGGTTGCGCGAAAACACTTGTGAAGCGTTCATAATAGGAGAGCTCTGACAGAATGGGGAACCAGACATGAATGCTTTTGAAATACTTGATTGCAGCATTTCTAATATCTGAGATATCTCCAATTGAGGTTTTGAGCTTGTCAGTAATCATATTGTTGACATTGGTGCGAATGAAGTTGCCATCATCGAATAGACGAGGCGAGGAAAGGGGGCTGATGCTTGGTCCACTGAGTCGAGAAGGCAGGCCGACAATGGAGCCTCTCCCATCCTGAGACGGCAAGCAGACACGAGGCGCATACTGGCAGCGACGTCCGAGCCTAGTAAGAATGATTAAAACAGCGGACTGAGTGAAAGAATTGGCGTCTGGAGGGCCCACCTGTAGCAGAGGGAGCAGCTTGGGATGAAGCGGTCACACTTGCGCTTCCTGTCTCGGCAGGCAATACATGCTTTTGCCGCCTTGCGAGTCATTGAATTCGATGACGAGTCTTTAGTCGCCGAGAAGACCACGAGGCTGTAGAGAAGTTCATGATGAAAGGGTTGTCAGCTTCACGATTCACCGATATTTGTTGAGACCTCGGAAAGTCGGAGGTTGTTCAGTAATCGCGGGCAACCGGGAGAACCGGATTGTTTGCTCTGTTTGCTCTGTTTTCTCACGTGCCGGGTTTTCTGAAGATCGCGTCAACGTCGACGCGCGTTTTCTTCTCCATTTCTTTTCTTAGCAGCATCCATCGATCGAGCTTGCGAAGTTTTCCCTGCAAGGAGCGGGATGAAAATCTTCTCTAGACTCCCGGACTAGCCTTTAAGCCGTCGATGCCCCCGATTATCTCTGACTTCCGCGACCGTCTTCAATGGTACTTCGAGCTCCCACGTCAGCCGGAAGACTTCGTCACTCGAACAGCGGTTCCGACCGTTCCTTGAATACGATCTCGATCACGGCAAACCCCTCATGCTCCTCAATTGGCATCCATTCAGAGGGACGTCCTTCTGCATTCCTCGTCTCCATCACGAGTCATTTGGCGTGTCCTTTGAGAAGCATCAGCACCTCAATTGAATACTTGATCTGTGAAGAATTGTTTAACCTACTTTCCATCACGTTTGTCTTATGCCAATTTTGTTCACAGTGGCGTTCAAGATTGAACCGTCTTGTTTGTTCCTGGGGCGACAGCGTCTCGGGCTCTGCAGTTGTCAAGTTCCACAAAATGATGCAACGGTTCCGGTCCACATGTGCGGAAAATAAATCCGACTCGACCTAGTTAGGGGCTTCTCACAGCAAGATGTTGTAGCAGGGCTTTCGGATCTCCTATTTTTATCATTTCTTCCATAACAGCAAGCTAGTACTCTTACCATTTGTCAGAATCCGTCCTCACTGGCGTCGTACGTCCTCGTATGAGTCGTGTGCAAACCGGATTCCGTTATGTTTTCTACTTGGTAAGTTAGACTTGTCAGAAGAAGCAGCTTCCTTCCAGACGTCATCTTTTCTTGATCGGACGTCAGAGCCGGGTTGGGGTATATGAGGATGTCCAACCCCTCCTTAACGTCTTGAAATCAATGCAAGTAAACCTAAATTTATCTCTGTCATTTCAAATACATTCATTCGCTATCATAAACACATTCGTGGCTCTTTCCTTGATCCTAGGAGCGTCTGCTTTTGCAGTCCCAAGATCTTCCTGCTCTTTCGAACTCACCGCATCCGGTGGAGAATTTGGAACGATCGGCCAACTCTCCGATGGTCAGAACAGGATTGGTGGAGGACTTTCACCTGCAACTTTTACCATCAACAATGGAGGCATTATTGATTCAGAAGGTCGTGGTTGCATCTTAACTCGTAAATACATCCCGAATTCAACATCCTTCATTGCTGACTCGTTCATAGCTTCTGTCGAGCAATTTCAATGTGATCAAGGCGTCGGCCCAACTTTCGGCTTTGCCATCGACAGCAATGAGACCCTTACATATTCCGGAAGCTCCGTGTTCTACGCCTGCCCAGCATCAGACACGGAATGGAATCTGTACGCCACACCTGTTACTGGCCAAGAGAAGTGTGTCGAGATCTCTCTGACGGCTAGTGGATGCGGAGCAGCTACTTCAGTTGCCCCAAGCGTCACTACGGTCACCGTCTATGATTGTGGGATAGCCTCGCCAACCTCACCACTAGCCGCTTCCACGCCTGTTGTCGTTCAGAGCTCGACGTCACCGGCTCCTGCTGTTCAATACTCACCCTCGACCGCATCAATCCCCGTCGCAAGCCCTTCCACTTCACCACTCGGAAGTGTGCCTATTTTCCCCTCGAGCTCAGAGCAGTACAGCCGCAGTACAACGATTGTTCCAATGCCCATCGACACAACCTCAGTCTGGGCTCACACTCACGTCTCATCAGCCCCAGAAACTATCGTAACCTCCACAAGCTCCGTCGCCACTCCTGTTCAATCATCCTCAACCTGCGTCACCACATCCCTCACAGGAAGTTCCACATCAGGGAACTACCAATACCCGCACCTTATTGTGCCCATCTCCTCTTCTTCCCCCACCACTGCCGCAGGAACCTCCTACTTCGGCACTATCTCCTCCAACACCAGCACAATCTTCAACTTCGACATCCCCCTTTCCTACTCCGGCTCAACTTGCAACCTCATCTTCCTGCTCCCCCTTCTCTCGGAACTGGAGACCTCATCTTATACATTTTCCGGCACCGGAGGTGTTGATTTCTCTCAATTGAGTTTGGCTGCCACGGAAGTCACGACCCGGGATAATGCTCCGAGTGTGGAGAAAGATCTGGGCGAGTTTACATTGAGCGAGGGGAGCAGTACGCTTGTTGAGAGCTTTGCGTGTCCGGCGGGAGAGACGCTTTCTTTTGAGATGAGCGCTGTGGGGGATACTTATTTGTATTTCTTTCAGGATTGGAATCCTAGTCCTTTGGGGCTGTACATCACGGTTTGTTGAGCAAGGAATGATTTATGAATGGGAACGGTTGAGATACTCTTGAAAGTCAAGGGGGCAAATAGGTTACACTCTGTACGCGAGAAAACATGTATATCTAGTTATTTATTTATTCGGTTCACTATTGGTTGAATTGCTACAGCTCAGTGATGTGCTTCTCGGACTCTCACCGTCACCCCAATCGCCGGCGCTCGCCGGTGCAAAGGCGACCTTGAAACCTTCCGAAGGTCATCCTAGCCCTCAGGAGACTTCATCGCCTTCAATCCCTGAAACATTCTCACAGCCACAAAGGCGATGTCGTTCATGCTCAACGTAATCCCAATGCAGATTCTCGGGCCTGCACCAAAACGCAGCAAGCTTTGCATTAAATTTCCTCCCATTCTAAGGTCTTGATTAAATTCTAACGCATTGCTGCCCTAATTCGTTCCTAAACGGTGTATCATGTACAGAGTAGGCATCTTTCCGGCCAGCGATCGGTTGTGAGCATTTTAGTCCGCCACCACGCGAGAGCATCTTATAACTATTTGCCGTGCGCCCAAGGAAACAGTAAAGGGGAGAAATGCTCAGTCTAAAGTCTCAAGTTTGTAGGCTCCGGTGTCAAGTCTCGTTAATACCGTGCCATGCTAAGTTCCAAAACCCCTCCCTCGGTAATCTCTGCTCCGTCCATAGTCTGAGCCAGATCAAGCGATTACTCAATATTAGAACGGAGTCTGGTGAATGATCTCGATGTTATTTGATGAGATGTATTAATACGTCAGCGGTACCAGAGAGGAATTCTCTCTCGTTCATGATTATTCCTTGACGATCCCTCTATTGTTTGGTCTCGTCACTGGACTAATCAAGGCTCGCTAAAATAAAAAAAATAGGGGTTGTGATCTGGACTGCGACGGCACGGACGGGAAGGCTTTTTACTAGCTAGAATTCACGCAAACGTTCGGAAACACAGGCTCCGAGACAGTGCTTTGATTCGTAATCCTCTACACTTGTATTTTAAGTCCATTGATATTTTGACCCAACTTGTATTGTGTGAACATTGATATTCATGGTTCATACTAGTGAGAAACTCAGAGAGGGCAGGTTAGTTGAAAGTACATCTTGGGTTTGTCAAACTATGAAAGATGTACGTAGTCTACCTGTATGTAGAAAGTCCACAATCACGTAAAAGTCGCGCAAGTGGGTCATGGATGAACCACGACCACCAAAAACCGCGCTTGCAAAATTAGATTTCCAAACCGCCGCCCCTTCCGAAACCTCGACCTTCGCCTCCACCATTGAGGGTAATCTCCGTTGTGTCGGTTATGCGGAGGTTACAGCGCATCCCATTTGCCTTATAGTAGCAGTCAACTCGCCGACTGCTGCAGCATCTAGCGCATAACCTGCATCATGTATTACACTGATGGCACAGTTTTCCTTGGATGAGGTGTTTGCGAGTGGTTGTAAGATTACTTGATGTGGTTGGTTCTATGTGAGTATAGGATTGATTGTAGAGCTTTGGTTTTATTAAGAAAGCTGTCAGGGGAGGTAAAGAGGCTATGGTTGAGTTCTGTTGTAGTTCCTTGGTGAAGCTTGCATGAAAGTTTTGATGAGGGGAAGGAGAGAAGAAGTCGACCTCTAGGAGAAATTTTGTGTCTATTTATGCTTGGGAATAAAGCCGTGTTAATGGTATCTACCGCCCCTAGCCCAGCGTGCTTTTGGATAATGCGACTCTTCTATTTTGCGGGAATAATCATTCAAGTGAAGGTATGAGTTTATTATCTGCGTCCCGTGGTAAAATCAGGCAAGTACATCGGATCATGGACTGACCACAAGCAAAAAGCCATGCATATACAGCTTAATCCCTCAGATATGTCGTACCCTCCGGTTGGTAGTGCCACATACTAAATGTGATTTTGAAGTTATTTCAAACAATAAGCAATCTTGTCAGTGGCTTTCTCTGCTTGAAGGGAAGCTGTCTTGGGAGTTTCGATTGGAAGAGGTAATTGACTATCTCGGGAAGTTTCTCGATTTTTATATTGAGTATGAAACAATCCTTTGCCTTTTATCGCTAAGCCGCTTCCTTTGGGAGTGATTTATAATTCAAATAAGTTATTCGGTCAAAAACTGTGCTTGTTCTCCTTTAATCGCGAATGACTCTGTTTAAAATATAAGTTGACTTGCGCCTAGGCGAAGCCATTCACCAATCTAATGTCCGCGCGGGGACGGACTTTAGTGCCATAACATCTTATCAAGTTACCAATAGCAGTCGAGCCAGTTTATAATGCCCGGGAGTCCTGCTTTATCGACTTGCGCAGTTACGTGTGGACGTGTATTTCTTCGCTAGCTGAAGCCCCTTAGATCTCGGTTAATACACAACATTTGAGTCGAAAGTCTCGGAACACTTCTAAATCTCAGCATCTCTCGATACTATTATTCATTTCTAGATATTTCATACAATATTTACTACCCCTAGCAAATTTTCCTCGCTCGTTTTAATTATGAATGGAATTATTACTTGGAAGTTTTAGGGATGTAACTTAAATCAAGATCGCGGGGCATTGAAGCGAAAAGTAAAATCGCTCTCACCATGAGTTTCCACTCGCATTATATCACGCTAAATCCCTAAGAAGAGACATGAATAACAAGAGTGGGAAGTACTATTCTCCGGTTTGCAATTGAGAGTCTCTCTTCTTCGCATTTTCACCAGCCGAAAAGAATTGAGGTTCTTCCTCTCAAGATTTCTAAAAATAGACTACTGCATGCTGCAAGTTGATAGAGTGGAGCGAGGCCTGACGCCTCTTTTGCCTCCTCCAATAGACAACCGGACTTCTCGTATTGCAAAGAGAATCATTGATGCACGAGGAAAATGGCTGAGCTAACTCTTTCACTTCGACCCACTGGCAGCGATTACGTTAGACATTCTAGGATACGGGATCTCGAGCACTGGAACTGCAAGCCTTTCTAAATATGGACTGAAGTCTCAGGTGTGTAATGGCCTGACCATTGTGTACTCACCACCCCAATGGCTTTGCGAATTTGGCGACTGTGGACTCGTGGCACGAATCATAGCTCTTCATTTGCAATGCAGAAAAGTTTCTTCGCTTTAATTCCCCTGATATTAGTCAGTATTTATTTTCATCATGCTCTTGAGCTTACACGTCTGAAATTCGGCTATAAGAAGCATCACGTTTAATCCTGTGAGTCTCCCATTCGAACCAAATTTCATAAGCTGAATTCGTCTCGAATCAGATACGTACAATCTAACTTCCCATTCTCCTTGAAGATGAAGCTTGGTCTCACTCTCGCCTTTGTGGTCCGAGCATCTCTCATTTCTATGACCTTCGTCGCCGCAGCACCTGCCCCAACAGCTAGCCCAGCCGTTCTCCTCCCTCCCGCTAAGTTCTCCATCAAGATCGTCAAGCCAACCGTCCACGGCATCCAATCCTTGGGCTATATCTCCCTTTCCTCTTCTCCCTCACAAGGCTCCTTGGTTCACATTGGCTCCAATGCATCTCCCTTCTACTTCAAGCAGAAAATAGCGGATGGGCAAGGCATCGTATTCTCAACCCCTGATTTCTTCACTCCTTCGTCCTTCGCTCTCTCGTACAACACGAACCACACGCTCCCGCAGTCAAAAGTCTACCTCTCGAATTTGCTGGATAATGGGGCGGGCGGGTTAATAGTGGTTGATATGGAGGCCGCAAGAATGTTTGGTGATAGTAAAGATTTGTATTTCAAAGGGGTTGGGAATGGATTGGGTGGGACGCCACAATTCGCCCCGGTGGTGTTCTCCATTGACCAGGAGAGAGCAGAGTTGTGGGTTAGTACCAAGGGTGAGCCTTGACCCCTCCAGTTCTGATCTGATGAAGAGCAAGCTAATCCCTGGATTGTAGAATGGAAACTCCCAACGGTGTTCCTTCAGATTGTTCCGACTGCCACTTAGGGAATAATGGACGTGGGGATTGGCCGCCAGTGCGCTACAGCTAAATTTGACTTTCTTTCTCAAGGCCCAGAGACAAGGGCTGTACTTGTCAGACTTAGCAACAGGTGCGGGTATACCCGGTACTATAACAGGTCACGGGGAGTGCCTAGCCTTTGCCGTTTCTGGCATTGGTAGCTGCCCGTCATAAATTATTTCAATGTGAACTTCACTAAATTTCGTTGGGCGGTGATCTAAGTGTAACTAGCCCAAATTAAACTATTTTACCCTCAATTCGTCGTATACTAGAGCAGTGACGCGACGGATAGCCTTCCAGGTGGCCCCGCAAGATGAACTCGTTGGAATCTGGACTGGCAACTCCAGCATTGAAACTCGAACTGAGAATCATATCGCACATGTATAAACCCCGATGGATTCTCTCACTTTACACCTCGCAACCATCTAAAATTCCAAACCTTTCCTCGCAAACGTATTTCACACGACGACATAAAAATTAAGCCACCCACGATACGACACCATACACAACTCTTCAAGTAAGCCTTCATATAATTTAATACCAACAAAACACTACCGCGACTTCTTTTGAGTCCGAAAGTACCCACTCGCAACTCTCGATAGGCAGATTTGTTCATTATCGCATACCTCATTCTTCTGACCACCTTTAAACGCCGTTACTTCACCATGGCACCCACGTTTGCCGGCTTGTATGCCATACTCGGGCTCGACGCTCGCTCAAAGCCTGGCCCAAATGAGATCAAGAAAGCCTTCCACGCGACAGCTCTTAGGCTTCATCCTGACAAGAACCCGTACGACTCTCGAGCGACGGCGAAATTCCAAAATGCCGTCAAAGCATACGAGAAGCTCCTGTCAACCTGTGTCAACATTGAAGAAGAGCCTGAGCCAAAGGTTACAAGATCTGAAGAACCAGAGGAGGAGGAGGAGCACGATGTCCCGCGCGCAATGCCAAAACGAATGCGCAATGCTTTTAAGAAGAGGACGAACAAGGAAGCAAACGTGAAACATCAGGTCGAAGCTGGTGTCAACAATGCTCAGAAACGCAGAGAGGAGGCCCTCGAAACCAGAGAGCTTCGAGACTTACAAGCTCGGATTGATAGTGATTTGAAGAAAGTTTTAGAAGAGTCTCTTGGGCAAGAAGGCCGTGCGCTGTCCCATCCTTCAGACATCCACCGCCGAGCCCTTCTTCTCACCCGGAAGGAGCTGAACAAACAAAATAGGAAGCAACGGAAGCCTACGTTAAATGTTAAAGATCCAGAGCTAGAGGACGTTGGGGTCACGAAGGCAGATGCCCAAGAGTATGCGACCAAGCTCAGAGCCCAGGAGCAAAAGGATGAGGAGTTCAGGCTTTTCGAGTTGCCTCTGAACTACGTTCATCCATTCCACGAAGAGACAGAAGAGGAGATGAGGAAGAACAGACGTCCGTCATTCTTTGAAAGGGAGGAGGAGGTGAATGAAAAGTCAAAAGCGTTGGCAGACATGCTCTGCGAGTTTTGGGACGATCGTGTTGGTGAGCACGGCAGTGCTTGCAACGAGATTAATTTCGAAAAGGCATTCAAGGATCTCAAAAAATCGAGACCGGCCCGAGCTGCACACAAAGCTACCCGTGATCCTGACGGAGACGAGTTTAAGGCCGCTGCTGTTGCACGCACGAGAGAAACCCTCGAATCAATGGCGAAAGACGAGGCGACGATCGCGGATTACGGTACTCCTCGTAGGCCTCCCCAAGAGCCTGTGCCTTCCAACGATAACCAATCTCTGGATGATTATGTTCTCTCAGGTTCCAGCTGGGGAAGGAGGAACAAGAAATCGCAGAACGAGAAGGACGAAGAGGAAGCTAGCGAAGAGGATACCGAGGAAGTAATAAACAGCATGAGGACTGAAGGACCACGAAAGCTTGTTCATGAGGGCAACAATCTTTACAGATGCACAGGTTGTGGAACATTGCACTTTGTAACCGAACCAAATGTTGTACCGAAAGATTCTATGGCTCGCTGTTGTAAGGTCCAGTTTGGTAAAAAGAGATCTTCTCCAGGGAGGAGAGGATTTCGAGGGCGAGGCTAAGGCTCACGCGTGGGTTAGAGTTTTCTACCACATGGTCTGTTTTGGGGACAGACCAGATGGCCGTATGCCTTTATTTAGTCATTTAAAGTAGTCATGGATCTGTAAACACCATTTTTAATTTTAGGCCCTTAGAGGAGAGACCCGTGTTTCCGAGCAAAAGTCGCTCAGCTTCCTCCCATCCACCGAGCTTCTCTCTCCAGACCTTCCTTCCACTTCCGCACCTTTTATGGCTATGACCTGTATCTCCACATATGTCTCGCAAAAGCAAGCTTGATACTCGGACCACTGAAAGTTGATCCAGATGAGGCCCGTAGATCAAAAGCCTTCCATCAAAAGGCTAATGACAAAGTTATCCGTCCTCATCTCGACCACTCAGTCCATCCGTTAAAACACGTTGAACAGATAGTCGAATTCTGTTGGATGTGGCTCCTTTATATATCCCTTCCCACGAGAGCTAAGATGGATTCCTAACAAAACTTCGCTCTCTCGGTTTCTTCCAGGCAAGATTTGAATAATGTCAACAACCGTACTTTCCGGGACTGATAAGTTTTGTTGAACTGAAATGCGGACATCTCTCGACATGATAAATAAGATAATAGACCCGTGATCTTTCACTTTTGAACAGACCACAGCGTTTGTCTTGGTCTGCAACCTGTTGACGATAATATATCGCCCACCTCCTGTTGATGGACAGCTGGTATTATTAGGAGGCGGGAATTGTACATTCGGGAACCTGGGCGGAAGGACGAAAAATCATTATATGTGGAATTAGCTTCCTTCAAGATGGTGCTGGATGTGAGTTTTAATGGTCCCGAGAGAAATGTATAGTTGATAGACTTAGTTGTATAATGTTTTGAGTTAATATACCACGATTTATTATAGTATTACTTAACTTTCGATATTGAAATAGTGGTTTTGTGGAAAGGAAGTGTGAGTTTGGTTATGGATGAGAATTGAGGAATTTATAACCCACTGTTTTAGAGGTTGCTAATCATTGGGAATCTCTCGAAATGCAAAATATTTGGACTTGGTGCTTCACTAACCTCTTAGTTTGAATGGTCATTGCTTTTGGGATTCGAGTTACTGACAGTTCTGAAGTTACCAAATCGATCCCGAACACTTGCTGCAGCGTAATTTAGCGAGATATTAAAGGAAGGCAATGTTGGTAGATTTGAAGAAGAAAGAAACCATTAGGCTCGATCTTGGCGCTCCGAATAGTCATACGCTTAAAAACACTGACAAAACCTTGTCTCAGCTTCAGTAAAAAGCCTATCAGGTATTTGATTTGCAAATGAAAATACAAGGGCATATAGAAGTGGGATTTCATGAACGCTAGTTAGATTTGACAATGGCGCTAATTTACTCGAGACAATTAGTCAAAATAAGATTCTATAAAGCCTACTTTGGGGCAAGTTTCTCCTTCTCCAGAGGCGAAGCCGGTCGAGGTGATATATAAGTTTTATTTAACTCACTTGCCTTCTAGGTGACATACGTTCATCTTAAGGGGTTTAAGCGAGCCCCCTTTTCCAAATTCTGGGCATTGCTTGAGAGCTAAACTTCTGACGCTCTGAAATAGAATATATTGTCTTCGAAATATGTCAGATAGCCAATTCACCGCTATTAACAAGGCTGTGAATGACGTACAAGCATATTCGTGTAAATTTTCAAAACTAGTGCCGCTTTTTCTTGTTTCGAAGCTATCCAAATTCGCGTCTTTGCTTCGCGAAAAGCCAACACATATTCAACTTTCTGAAGAGCAAAGCATGACTCCAGTCCCATACCCAAGACGTCTACGACATAACAAGGGCTCGAGGTCTTGAAAGCTCTCACACACCTTCTTACCCCACGCGTCGAGAAGCTGTCAACATGCCTCTGAGCGTCGTTCCTCAACACGGAACAGAAAGCCCGGTTCACGAAAACAGCACCTTCGAAGTAGAAAGCCCCATCCTCGAACACAGTCTCTTCGATGTAGAAAGCCCTCCCCACGAACAAAGCCCAAAGGTGCCCACTCTCCCAGTGTTTGACGTCTGTGTGGGACTATTGTTAACAAACAAATCTCTCATAGACAGCTGATTTCGGCGTCGACAATATCAAGGCAGCGGGCAGCAATGAGGGAGCGAACCATAACGGCATCCCCAACGAGGTTGTATTTGACGGCCAACTGTATACCGAGACAAGCTTCAGTCCGGCAAACGCATTTCAAGGCGACCACAGCTTTCTAGTGGCAGTGCTGGAAGGCGAGGATGACTTCGATCCGGAGGAGAAGGGCCCAGAGTATCTGGTGAGTTGAGCCCTAGCTCAAGTCAGCCAATGTCACAAGTGACTGTGTGATATTACAAAGCATCTCAAATCAAGCAAAGTCTAAAGTGATTGTGGGGCATTGAAATAGCATTGTTAATCAGGCGTGCAGGTCTTCCGCGGGGGTCTTTACCAAAAGTGTGATTTCGAACCAGTACGTATTCCAGTCTCTATCTTGCACTCGTGGTACTAATTATTTACAGCACCTGATCCCAGACTTCGTACCAAGAGTAGCCAAGCTCGATACACAGATTCCAAATCTCCAAACGCCATCCATCGTTCGACCTAGCCTTGTTTCTTGTCCTTATGCCACCTCAGTTGCTCCTCTGCCGTTAGGATTTGACTTACCTCCCAACCAACGGCCTGGTCAGTTCCTTGTTCCGACTGCCAACAATGCCCCTTCGTGCCGTCAACATGGGCGCTACTTTTGGAACGATACACACAATCAATACCTGTGGGAATTGATAGAGACAGCAATAGGACAGTTGAGTCGACGCCTTGAACGCAAGGACTTCCAAGCCATCACGGAAGCCTTGCACAGAAAATTTCGAGGCACCTACACCAACGGTGTACAGTACCCAGAGAGAGGATACAACACTGTACACTCGTATGTCGTGAAGCAATGCAAGGATAACTATAGCGCGCTCGAGTTGCGAGTCCTGGGAAGCACTGGAGGTACTGGAGGTGGCGTCGGAGGCAGCGATAGTGGAGGGAAATGAGAAGGTTTCGATCTCAGCATCGAAAGTCGTAAGACAGCTCTCTACAGTACATGTGTTCAAGTCATACTCCGAAATACAAATGTTACACTGACTGGAACCATCCCACGGATATTGAAATCTTGCTGCTCTCAGTTTCCCAATGTCAAGCCTGAATATTGAAATCCTGCTGCTCCAAAATGTTCAATGTCCAGCTGGGAAAATGAATCGAGAACAACTCGCAATATCACCTTCTCAATGTTCCTCTTCCTCTGTGTCTATTGTAAATCCAAGGTTCTTGAATTCAATGTTCAGGTGGGACATTGAAAACCTGAAATGGTGCACGCCACGGTGATCCTTAGTTAAATACCTCAACCAAGTTTAGCAATCTGAAATGGACCAGCTTTCATTACTCGCCCTGTGTAAATCGAGAGAAGTTCTAGCGCAGCTCAGCAGTATGATGTTTTCTCATTTGTAGCAGCGACTTTAGGGTGGCCTATTTGTTGAACTAAGGCAGGCATGCTGAAAAAGGAATGCAGAAGTGTCCTTGTGATGCCGTGGTGATGCAAGTTCAGCCAATCAGGAGACTGAGAGCTGTGATTTGTACATTTGTCGGGAAATCTAACGCTCGTAAGTGGCCCTGTTCCACCAGGCACTGCAGTCGCTAACTGAACTAACGCAATCAGAAATAGTGACGTGGTGGCTTGTGTTACCCTCCATCGCCTGCAAATTCTCGGTCGGCATTTTTCAGGTCAACCTCGTCCCTAATCTGCAACACATTTCTCAGCATCCAAACTCACGCCGAGACTACATATAAGATGGGCATCTTGAAGAAGATTACTGGCTTCTTTATCAACGTATTTGTCTTAGCTTGGGACTTCGGGCTCTTTATCATCAACATCCTTACTCCCTCACTCAAACCCGGCCATGTCGTCCCCGCCCACGCCGCAGGCCACCATCTCACTTGGCCAGAATATGTTCCGCCTAAAGGCGATGATTCCAGATCAGCATGCCCAATGCTAAACGCACTGGCAAATCATGGCATCCTCCCGCACGATGGGAAGAACATATCCTTCAAAGAACTCAACACCGCTGTCCGGCAGACTTTCAACTTCGCCCCTTCCTTTTGCTTCTTCGTGCCCAAATTCTCCGCGGATTTTTTGAATCGCTCGTATTGGACCGGCCGCTTCGATCTGGCGGAATTGAGCTTGCATAATGCCATCGAGCATGACGCGAGTCTCACGAGGCAAGATGCAGCCCTCGTTCCAGATCAGGGAAAGCCAGATTTGAAGCTCGTTGATGATCTGCTGAAAGAAGCTACTGCAAAAATGCCTGATGGTTCTCCGCTTTTGACCATTCCTGACCTTTCACGGGCGTTGTCCAAAAGAAGGAAAGATGCAAGGAAGACCAATCAAGCCTACTCCGAAAATCTTTTCCATAATATATTTGGGAGCTCGAAGTATGCATTTTCGCCTACTTTCTTTCCTCCCTTATTGACCAGCATCTAGTTCGTCAACAATGTTGACAATCTTCGGTGGTCGGATCACTGATCTCACGCCCATGCTCACCGAAGAACGTTTCTCCGAGCAGTGGGAACCTCGCGTTCTTTCTCGTTTTGGGCTCACAATGGCGAAGTTTAATGGAACTGTTCTTCCGGTCGAATGGGGCGCGAAGTCGAAGACTGCTGAGCATTGAGTGCGGAGCATAGATGCCATTGTGAGGAGAAAGGGGATTATGGAATGTCCGGCAGTTTGGAAGTGGTCCATGATCAGGGCTGCAAATGAGTTTCAATCATTTCCCCCCGTTAGCTTCTGAATTTAGCATTATGTTTGAATAATTCTGCAGTTGTAAGTGAGTGTTTATAGCTTTGATCCTGACTGCCCACTCAAGACTACTGAATGCTCTTTCTGGATTTCGATATTTGGCATCAACTTCACCAAGCAAGGGCCAGTTCAACTGGATTGAGGCTGAAAAGCTAGCTCTCACCCGAAAACTTACTGCCCTCGGGGCGATAAAGTGCTGCGGAGGCGTACAGAAGAAGGAAAGCCAACCTCCGGTCTTCGCTGGATGGAAACGGGAGGCGATTGATCTACCTCTCTTCTTCGATAAGCAGCTTTCCTTGATGAGTGGCGCCGCACGAACAACGAGCAAGACCACTTACGGTTAAGTGCCACCTTGTCCCAATTCAGAAAGATACTCTTCGTTTCTCCGTCGTCCGTATCGTTTGAATCCTGGACAGTATCAACGACCGGTGAAGAGAACTCGGGAAGACATGGAAGAAGAATAACAAGGCAGTCAATTTAAACAACAGAAGGATTTCGCCGGCCCTGGTGACATGGGAGAGTCTGGGTACGCAAGGACCGCGCAGAGGGTGGCGTTTCCGTTCAGTCTGTAATACTACGTGAACGTTTCCGCCTTTTCAGTCCTCAGGCTCATGTGAGCAGGGTCGCCTTTGCTCTGCTCAGGTACTCGCCCTCTTTGCTTCGTTACGCGGCGTGGCGTAGCCCAGGCCAATGCCACTAGATATATCAGCTTTCAACCTGGGGCCGGAACAGACCTCTCCTCAAGCTAGGGAGCTACAGTATGCAACGGGTGGGAGCGCCTAAAGCACCGGATCCCATCCAATGGGAATGCTGCACGGCCATTGTTGAAGCTAATATTTCCACAGCATGCAGCCAAATCAACGTCCGCCAATAACCTTTGTACTACATCCCCCTCCCCAGCATGCAGGGTGCTTAATGCGGTTCCGTGTTTCAGCTGAGGCTCTGAATTAATCCTGTTTACCTGCTTGATAAATGGCATCCGCACCGCCGTTTTCCATTCCTCAGTTTATTGTTACCCACTCCTTTTTCTTTTTCTTTTTCTTTGCAAACATTACGAAGAGCGAGGCGTAATGCCTTTTTTTAATACAAGCGCCAGAGCTAGATACTCGCATATCGATATTCCTCCACAGGCGACCTCAATTGAGTTGAGCCCCGCGGCTCTCGATGGAGACACCCTCAATTTCCGAACGATAGGGAAACCACAATCAAAACCTACACTGGATATAGTTGACCTCTGTTCCGTCTTCGGCTCGTTTGTATGTCTAGCCGCTTCCATCTGCGTTGTCACGCCGCACCTGACCGTTTCCTGGCGGTTAGGTTTTAATGGCCAGATTATTATCATTGGGTTCTTGCTGAGCATAATGAACTTGGCAATGAAGAGGATTGAGCCGCGGCTATTTCTGATCATAGAGTTTAGGTGGGGCGACTCCCGCTTGCAGAACTACGATGCGATATTGAGAAATGCAATATCACTCTCAAAAACAGGCGTCTTTTGGAGATTGACTTTGTTTTTCTTCACTTTCCTACCACTTACCTTGAGTATTGGGTACAAGAGGTTTACCGGAGGACACAGCAGTGCCGTGATCGACCCCAACATCTCCAGCTCTCTGCGGCGTTACGGGATTGCACCACCCCCTCTTGGAGACTACAATGCCATGAACAACTCTGTCTACTACATGATCAATTCAAATGTGCCTTTCATGGCAGCATCCACCAATGATGCGGTCCTACCACCACTTCAAGCCACAGCGTATGGCTACAATACATTGCTACCCGACAACGAATCTGCCGCCTTGCTTGACCTACCTCTGCCAGACTATATGTCCTCGATTCAAGCCAGCCTGAACGGAAATGACTCTTGGAGAATAAGTGCTACCGTAAATGCTACGGTCACCAGATACAACAGCTCTTTCGACAGTTTCAGAGACAACCAAACCTTCTGGCGAGAGATCTTCGGCACTAGCGACGTTACAGCATTCGAAGATTTCGACCAGAACTTTAATATAGGATATCTGCCTGGTGCCTTAACTCAAGACGATGGACATTGCTGCATTCTGTGCCACTTCCGAGGCAATATAAGCTGGGTTGGTTCTATCACCGATCTATCGTCGCCTGAGGGCGTTTCCTTCCAGTCTGCCGCTCGAATGTTTAACACAAGGCGCGAGAGATGCTCAGGCGTATGGAGCATCAACAGCACTGCAGTCGCTCTGGTCAATGGAAGCTGCGACGGCACGCGTACCAGCGAGACTCTGCTCTCAATCAGCAACTACACGCCTTTCCCAATAGACACCTTGTCGGTGCTTGTTCATTCTCTACTCGGCTACGCTGAGGCACGCAATAAGTCCTCGTGGCTTGTTCCTGCTTTTACAACTGCGGTTGCAAGCGCTTATTGGGCTCGTTTTGCGCAAATGTTGCCGGCGATTATGGAAGACAATACGGTGCCACAGTCTGAATACAATTATCCCGCCACCAACGAGCTCATCATAGCAACTACGGCAACCCTCGATTCTACTTGGTTATTGTACCTCTTACTTGCGATGCAGCCAATATTGACTGCTTTGATGTTTATCTTAGCTGCTACCTTCTACGCCTCGCCAATTGGCAAAGGGTTTGGAATAGCAGTAGTACTATCTGGGATCAACAAGGATAGTTTGGACTTGCTCTCTGGGGCTGCTTTATCTGGCGAACTTGAAAGACCTGTCAGGCTTGACATATCTGTCGCCAATGACGTGCAGAGCACTGGAAACAATTCACAAATGGGACACATACAGTATAGCATTGATAAGGTATCTGCAAGGGGGAAAGGATTAAAAAGGGGCAAAGTCTATTCGTGAACCGCAATTCGGTCTAAAAATCACTTTCTGGAAAGAGCTAGTCCAATTCCTCAACCCTCTGTATCCCTTCCAATAATCAATGCACCCAGCAAACAATCATCTATCTAAAGTCGTGATTCATTTATTCACTCCTACAAAGCAGCAGCTTCTCCTGCCCACCTGGAATCCCAATGAACCGGCATTGCCTAACTGTGTCCTTCGCAGCAATGCTATACTGCAAACTATCTGTGAAGTCTTTTAAAAAAATTATAGCACCTTTTAAATTACTTTTGTTATATATATCAATTATTTTCCTACCTTTAAAAGAGGAAATCAATCAAAAAGCGGCTAGTATATTTCACGCATCATTCTACAGCTCTCACAGGCTCCACACACACCTGGCCCCGCCTTTTCAGCCCTCGGACCGCGGGGAATGACTTTGAGAATATGTTATTTAATTGCATTGCTGACGCATACGATCAAGACCGAGGAGAATCAGGCTATCTGATTTCTCTATACTTACACCAGCTTCAGATAAGACCCGGTACTTGGACTCCAAAACTTAGTTTTGAATTATTGGTTCTCAATTCTTGCTTTTGGGCTCTAGGGGAAGGAAGCTATTGCTAGCGAGCAGGTGATGGATGGATTGGGAGATGTAAGCTTGATTGTCTCGGCTGACTGAGAGGGAAACTATGTACTCGTGAATGCCATAGCAATCTCCCCCACTTTCAAATCATCCGACGCCCTCGTTGGAATGTAAAGACAATTTTGAAAAGAAAACAAGCAGAGAGACCCCCCTTAAGCGCGGGTGATGGGCGACGCGCGATTACGCAAACATGTTGTGTGTGGCGGGGAAACTTGCAAAGAAAAGGAAGCAAACTCCATCCATCATTCTTCATGCAGCAATGTGGGAGCAACACATTGCCATAGTCCTACACATATTAATCCACAACAATACCCTCCGTATTCGCGCTGCTCTCCTCTCTGTGCATCACTAATGATTATAAGGTATCCATGTCGTTCTGTCTCTTCCCTTCCGTCCCTGCATCACTGATGGTTGTGAGGTCGAAAAGTTGTCTTGTTTCCAACCTTGTCCGGAAGTACGCGTCTCAGCAAATTGTCATACGGCTGCTTCCTCGTAGCATAGGAGTGCACTGTGTTATAACCCCTAAGCGGATATGGAACATTTCCAGAGAACGTGCCTCGGAATTGGCGATGGAGAGCCTCCGTAATGGCGGGGAAGTCTCCATGCTCAAGAGGCCGGTTCAGAAGTAACATGGCTAGCTCCATCAACTCATAGAGGTAGCGGGTATGTTCTTCTGCCCATTTGGAACGGCGTTTGATTTGACCGGGCAGTAAAGTAATGCGCGGGTTGAACGGGGAAGGATAAATGATCTGAACGCCGGCACGTTGGTGAGCGGGCAAATCGAATAGCAGTTGTAAAGCCTTATTATTGGTTGCTCGAGCTCGAGGCGGCATGACAATCGATCTCATCTGACTTTGAGGAGGTGCAATAGCTGAGAGCTGTCCAGATTGAGGTTGCGGAGTGGCAGGGTAGTTCGCTTGAGGTAAGGACGCCACTCCGGCTTCAGGAGGTAACGAATGATGAATTCGGGAGGTGGTCGGGATTATGGGAGGTAGAGGGTATGCAGAGCTGGAATCGGATTTCTCGACAGTCCTCAAGATGCCGTCCTCGATTTCTGCCTAGGAGCAATTAGCAGGGCAGCTTCAAAACGCAGTTTTCTTCAAAACTATACCGGATCAGTCATCCACGACTTTTGGTAAACTGCATGATTGAAGACCTGAGGCTGATTAACAAACACAGCCACGCAAGTGTCTCGTAAAAAAAAAACGTACCACCGAATCTGGCCCTGCTTCCATCGGCTCAAGGTCGTCATCATTCTCGTCTGTAAGTGCAACCACAATCGCGAAGGTGACGCCATCAAGTTCGTGCTACAAATAGGTAATCAGCCTCACTGCGTAAGGAGTAGGAGTGCATGTGCATTTTTCGAAAGATAGCGCGTACAAGGTTCATCGACGTCTTATAAAATAGCTCGCCATCAAAAACCTGAAACGCGTCAGTCAGATGGAAGTAGGTGTCCAAAGCGGGAGCTATTCACCAAATATGCGGGGTTGCCGTATCTCGCGTTATAATCGACCTCCATACCGGCTCGTGTATTGTTTGCTAAATAAAGTTGTGTAGAGACAAAGAAGAAGTCCTAGAGGAGGTTATAGGAAGACTATTGTGCAAATCAGTCTGTTGGTAGGCTTGCAGGCTTGGGTGGGCGGAGGAGAATCAAGCAGATATCAACACGAAGAAGTAAATATTTAAGGTTGAGAAAAGGCAAAACGCACTAGAGAATTAATCGCCGAAATAGGCCTGAGTTAGGAATAATGAAAAGCCGCCCTCCGATGTCATTACCTGCCCTATTAAGAGAAATCTAGTCGCTAATTCAGCGTAACATTATTCGTGACAGCGTCAGCCCACGTTCCTCCTTTTTTTCACGCACCAAATGCCTTGGAACCCTTCTCGCTTCCTTCACGTTCACCTTGATTTTGCCCAGTGTATCCAACTTTGAACACGTTTCCATATCTAACACATTTCCATGTCCAACACGTTTGTACGTCTAGTATGTTTCTACGAAGTTCAGAACCGCGCAGGAGATCTGAATAACTGTGGCCTGTAAGCATCAGCTTCATCCTCCTGAAGCAACGCTTACAAGACTCGGGAGGAAGTTTTTGATCGGGCTGGTCGAGCCCGGGTCGCCTTCGAGAAATATTCACATTGATCTTCGCGGTATGAGTCTCCCAAGCTCCGCGTGAACGAAGCTCGAAGATTCTTTCTTCTCCACTACTCTTCTTCATTTCCACGTTCTTTCTCACGGCCGCTTTCGAGTACAAGCCCACCAGCCCTGCACTACCCAATAGTCTCCAAAACGCTCAACATTCAGCCCACGTTATTAACACTGTAATTTATGCCTTTTGTTCTGTTCGGACCCGTCAATTTGTTGCACCTGCTGCTATTCATGCTTTCTCGTAATGGCCCTATGGGAAAGACCTCGGACCGGCTCTCTTTGTCATTGAGGAAGCTCTGCAGTTTCGCTGTGCTCTTCATCTAGCAGCATTTGGTTTCTCCCTCGCTTGATGTTTCTTTACTGAATTCGAGTTTTGCAATAAGGGCTATGCTGGCGATGCAGACTCCTGAGTAGCACTGAATAGTGATGACTCGTTTGGGGTCCCGGTACCTGCGAGTCTGTTGGTGGATGAGAAGGGCATCATCAGGAACATATACATAAATCCGAATGACTGGGAGAGACTTGAGCCATCAACAACCTTGGAGTGGATTGAGGCGTTGTAGGGCTGGGATCGAAGCCTTTGAGGTTGGTCGGTGTATTGGTGGTGGACAATTCTGGGAGACTTCACTGTCGAGCCGAAGGGCTTCAAAGCACCATTAGATGTTAGGCTCAGACAGTGATATTGAATACTAAGCAAGTTTTGTTTCGGAGACTTTTCTTCCTGGCAGAACCAGAGCATGGCTTGCAAAGTACAAGAGTGCTACAGAAACAGACGAGTAATCACGCATTGCCCACCACCTCATGCACCTCTAGCAACTGAAGATATACCCCTGGAAGATCGTGAGCTAAGATCCACTTTGCAAGGAGTTTATGACGTGTACCTGCAGCATTCCATCTTGTTCTTATTGTGCTGAGTGATTGCTTCAAGAGCAATAGATTCTCAACCGCACCCGAGTCCCCAGTCTCCCGAATTCGTTGCATGTATAATACAGCCGCTCGGTATACACAGTAGAGACCCCAAGGTGAAACCGCTTCACGATTTCGAGTTAAGTGCATCGACTTGTTTGGCAAGCATTTAGCCATCTTCTTTAACGTCGTTTCTAAGGCCGTGTTACCACGTTGAATTCGGTCTGTGCTATCATGAAGCATGTTGCTGGTATAAAGGGGGATACTGTGAAGAGTCATGAGAGTGCTATACTGTTTGTATTAGACAGTTTCGAACGCCAATCTTGGTAGAAGCCAAGTTACAGGAGAAATACCTGTAGATCATGCCTATTTGATCATTGTCTGGTGGATCCATGGTTTCTGAGACAGCGATCATGGCTTGGAGTGTTTGATTCAGCTGAATTCCTTCTTCATCGTGCATTTTCTGGTTCAGGACTGGGCAGGAGATGTGATCGAGAACTTGTCCCAGCAACCCTGCAGTCTGGCATAGCAACGAGAACTTGCTCATATGCGTATTTGTTGGAGAGTATAGGGTAGCCGAAGTGGCTTCCACTACCTGTATTACTTATTACTACTGAAAGACCGTTTAATATTTCAGACTCACACCTGCGTCCCACGCAGCATCATTGGCTGGCAAAGGATCACTTAATTTAGGGTTTCCGGTTGCCAAGGGTCTCCCTGGACTGCCAGTGCTTAAAAATCTACCAATAACGTCAGATGTATCACCGAAGATCATTTACATGAGATGACAACCAATGGCTAATGGCGACTGGCAAATAGTCTGGTCTGGGGAAGGGGAAATAAACCAAAACAAGGTACTAACCGGTCTAAGATAATAATTCCCCACCAAACTCTCTTGTTTTCCTCCAGCTCAACCAAAGTAAGCACTTTGATTGCCTGTGTCTTTGCGTCTTTGTTGATACCAAGCGCATAAGCATATCTGGTACAAGCGCCAATTGACAAGTATGCAGAAGGATATATGGCATGTCCCAATTCATAAAGTGACAAAAGCAAGCCGGCCTGCAAGACTTGAATGGATATCATGCCGGAGGCTTCCATTTCGAGGTAAAAGTGTTTTGCGGCGTTGTATGCTGGTGTTCGTGGGTTTGCTAACTCATCTGGTAGTATGCTTGTAATGAGCTTCATGGCGAGGAACAGGAGCGTAAAATCTGGCTGACAATGGAACAAGAGTTGAAGATGGTGATCGTAGAAACGCTTCTTGGAGATGATTGGCATCCATACATGAACAGTTTCGAAATACGTAGAGGCAGTTGTTATAACTTCGGCCATATCTCCCACAAACTGCATAACATAGGTTGGTACAGGGTACGTTACACGAGGTCTCTCAATCTGGCCATGCTGTAGGATTGATGGATCCATGAAAAGAATAGTCGGAAAGTCGACGGGCGGTGATTTTCGCGGGCTTTCGTCGAGCGATGAGGGATATGACCATTGGCTTGTTGAGTCGTTGCCATGTTGGCCTAATGGAGAGTAATCGCAAACTTGGTTTTTACTATTGTCATTATTGTCAGATCGTTCTAAGTTGCCCGAAGGTTGATTGATTGCGCATCAATGTCCCAGCTTACCTCGCGCACCAACCGCATTGTGGAAGTCCTTTGTCACATTTCCTCTTCCGCAGCTTACATGCTACACACGCTTGTTGTGCTTTCTCAGCGCATGATGGGACTACTGGGCTCTGCATATCAGCGATTCTCTATTGCTCTGCATAGATGGTTGTCGGTGTAATAGTTGCGGAAGGATATTCCGCCAAAAAGGCATGAAGCGGTGGCCTCTTGCGGCCGACGCTTGCGGCACGTAGGCGGGGTCGAAGCGGGTGGCTCCTACGCTTCGTTTAATTGGTGAGCCTTTAGGGGAGGCCCGGATCATGGAAACAACACATTTTCCTAGAGAGCTTTTGTTTCTCGGTCTTTAACCTAACTCCGTGTCAGAAAGTCACCATTAGCAAGTGGATCTGGCAAATGCCAGTAGCTGTAATCATAAGAAAAGTCATATAATTGCCCACCCCCACCGAGGCTTTAGAGCTCTGGCTACACTTCAACATAGTCGAACCCCTCACATTTCCAGTACGCACCCTTAACATCCTAAAGAATTTTTGAATCCCTCCGCCCATACACCGAAGTTCTTCGTTGACACAGGATGAGTCCATACGCCTTGGCTCACGCCAATCCTCAAGGACCTGGCGATGCTCGGCCAACAGCCCTTCAAATCATTCAATCACAGAATCTCGAAGGCAGCCTTTCTGGAAAAGTTATAGTTATAACGGGCACATCCTCGGGCCTTGGTGTTGAGACTGCACGAGCACTATCCAAAACTGGCGCCACTCTCTTCCTCACAGCTCGCGACCTTGAAAAGGCCCGGCATGCTCTCTGCGATCTTCCGGACAGTCCAGGAGGGCATGTCGAATTCATAAAAATGGAAAATAGCTCTCTTGCCAGTGTCCGAGCAGCAGCGTCTAACATTCTAACGCAATCAAACCATCAAATCAACATCCTCATCAACAACGCGGGTGTCATGGCCATACCCTCTCTCCAGCTCACTGCAGACGGCTACGAAATGCAATTCCAAATCAACCACCTTTCTCACTTCCTTCTGTTTCAGCTTCTCAGGCCAGCGTTGTTGTCCAGCACCACCCCTGCGATGCGCTCCCGAGTTGTCAATGTCTCGTCTTCAGCCCACCGTATGCCGACCGGCCCATTCAATTACTCGTTCAGAGAGGGTGGTTATAATCCCTGGGCTGCGTACGCGCAGTCAAAGACTGCAAACATCTATATGGCTAACGAGATCGACCGGCGATACGGGAATATGGGTCTCCATGCCACGAGTTTGCACCCGGGAGGTATTGACACTTCTCTGGCAAGACATATAGATCCCCAAGTGGTTGCGGCTTTCAAAGCAGATGAAGCGTCGACGAAAAAATTGAAAAGTCCACAACAAGGCGCAGCAACGACTGTGGTCGCTGCTGTAGGAAGAGAGTGGGAGGACAAGGGTGGAAGGTATCTTGAAAATTGTGAGGAAGCGCCAGAGGGCAAGGGTGATGGCGACATTGCTGGAGTAGGATATATCTCGCATACTTACGATCCTGAGAGGGAAGCAAAACTTTGGAAGGACTCGATGGAGATGGTTGGATTGAAGGACGAACTTTAAACTGTATTTTTTGGGTTAGGAAGTAGCCGAGTATCAAAGGAGTGGCCAACCTGTCAGCTAGTTTGGAAATGTTGACGGCAATGTTCTTCGTTTAATTTATGCAGACTGCAAGAGTTCACGATTCTCACTTTGCCTTCCATGATAGGGCCGGCCATGAATTTCTCTAAGTTGGTGCAATCTTTGTATCCCCCAGTTGCTCCATCTTCTACCACTAACTCGAACTGGATCGTCCCAATCTTGAACTTCCTCGCAACTGCTTCTTATTGTATCCAGAATCGGGTACTCTTTCGTAAAGCTCTAGGTGGACAAGGAGTAAATCGAATTTCCTTTGAAACTCGCTAGTCGAGAGCAATCGTACACCAAAGGCATTGAAGAGAGAATACTATTGTCTATCAGGAGATAATGAACCGACTGCCCACCGGAAGTCCGAAGGCGTCCAATTAGAACAAATAGGAGGCCATAAGCGGGACGTGCGAATCATATTTGTGGCTCCGATTAGCTAGTGGAAGGTTCGGAGTATTAGCGGCTAAAGAACCTTAGCGTCACGCTGATGAAATTTGGAGATGTTGGCTGCACAAAATTATTACAGTAGTTTAATAGCCGGTTCCCCTCCCACTGCTACCATCCCCCCCCCTAAATAATTGCTAGCGCACCTAATAGGGATTAGAGGAAAAGAATTCCTATTCTAAGTGGTTATAAGCCTGGTCGGAGGGCTTTTGGATCCATTGCACAGAGCAAAAAGTGGTCTGTGTATTAAGCCAGGGGTGTGCGTAGAAGGTTCACGAAGACTGTTTACCCTGGTAGTGGCTCTCAGCCAGCTCAAAAGGGACTTCCTCACTGGCCTAACACCCTGGATTCCTACCCGCACCTATACTCAAAACATACACACTAGCAATTATTTAGGGGGGGGATGGTACGGAAAGCCGTAAGGATCAAGTGATCAAGCGATTTTCGAATCCGGTTTTCGACTTTTGATATCCGATTTGTGGCCCGTGCTCACCCCACCAAAAATCGCCCACATACCACACCCCCTCTCCCTGTACCTCTACCTATTATTACTGCTTAAAATATTACTCTCTCTTTGATTCTTATTTATATATATATATATATAAGAGAGGGGTGAGAGGTGAGGGGTGGGTGTGGGGGGGGGAGGGGGTTGGAGGGCGAGTAATGAAAAGTGAAAAGTGAAAAAGTAGAAAGCGAAAAGCGAAAAGCGAGGGTCGAGGCACGCGACTCGCTAGGAAAAGGAAGCCCTATAATTATAGGCTACTTATCGCTAAATTTTAGGGCTACGGTCCCTAAGTTACAGGCTATAGGTACTAAAAATTTAGCGACATAAATTTTTGGTTAAGTTCCCTCGCTTTGCCCCCCCTCCCCCTCCCCTTTCCCCCTATAAGCCCCCTCTCTTATCTATATATATATAGAGAGAGAGAGAGAGAGAGAGAGAGAGAGAAGAATTAAAGAAAGTAGATATTTGAAGTAGTAATAGAGGCACAGGGAGAGGGTATAGTATGTGGGCGTGATATGTGGTATTTGCGATTTTTGGTAGGGTGAGCACGGGCCACAAATCGGACATCAAAAGTCGAAAACCGGATTCGAAAATCGCTTCATCACTTGATCCTTACGGCTTTCCGTAGGGAGGGGAACCGGCTAAATTTTGCTTAACACGAGCCTAGTATATTTCCGAATCAAATTTTTGCAGGCTGAGCCCAGCCCACGTTTGAGCTCTGCAAAGTGTGCAACAGCCCATTTAGAGGCAGGTATGGACAGTCGTGTCTTGTGGTGTGGGGGCTGATTGACTCGCACTCGCATTGTTTCTCTCTCCTCATTTTCCTCTGGCGCGCGCCTTGGCAGCCCTGGGTTAACTAGCTTTGACCCCACCCGCCTCAGCCTCTTTTTTCGCACAATGTGAGTATTAGTTTCAAAAGAAATTGCATCGTCGTAAATGACACGCGCTTCTAGGTCGGCAATGCAACATCCCTTCCTCTTCCCCGTGTTTCACTATTCGCTGTTCTAAATATGGATACGGAGATCGCGGCATAAAGTTCTGCGACTTCAGTGACGTGTCCTATAGCCACCGTGCCAACAGCATGGCGCTATGGCTACAGGCACTATAGGCCACATTAATGAGGTCGCAGAACTTTATGCCGCGATTTCCGTACGCATTCAAACGTGTATTGCGCATCGGAAATCAATCAACGAAGGCTAAGATTAGCCGCCCATTTAATGTGGCTCTGGGCTCGCAGATGAAACGCATCTGTCTGCTCTCGTAGCCTCAGATTTATTCCATGGCCCAGAGTCCTGGAGTGGTAATGGTTGTTTCCTCACCGAAGGAGCGCGGGATATTGGTTGGATGGCAACCCCCACAGAGGTTTAGTGTGCTGGCGCTGTCCGAAAATGCGACCGCGGTGGAAGGTAGCCTTGACCTGCCAGCGGCTACCAAGGTCACCGAAGGCATTTTCCTTCTAGATATCTGATTCTTCTTTTGCTTTTGAGTTTATTACGTCAATATTTTGGAATAGCACTGAGTGGCAACGAATGCACCTTCCTGAACCCAAGCTTCTGATTTCCGCATAGGACAAATCATTCAGGTAGATAAATAAGGTAAGCTCTGTACTCTGGTAGGATTGAAACGTGACAACTAAACTACAATCAAGATATGGCTTCAACAAACTTCAACAACGCACCTTATGTTTATTCCTTTCAATCCACGGCACTACAGCCGTTAGGCACGGCAAAAGACCCAGCCCAAACAGCTGGACTAGAGTGTTCCCAAATTCAACATCGAGTTTCACTTCAGCCAGAGCTAGGCCAGAATTATCTCACGTTCAAGCCATGCAATTCACATGGTCACTCAAATCAATCAATGGCACCAGAACCTGCTGGTCAGATTGGGGATTCCGTGAACATTGGTTCTCAAAGGGTCCCCTCGCCATCCTCGTTCGACATGGCCCAGAGCCTTTACCGAGAAAGCATACTTCCAACGCCTCTCCCTCCAAGTCCAGCAATAAGTGCGACGGGTATAGATCTCCTGTCAATTAAAGAGGATCAAACGATGGAAATCGCTACCCCAGCAGGCCGTGGTCCACTTGCATATCAAACATCAGGGGTTACAGCTTTTACTGGAAAACACCCCAGACCCACTACCCCAGAAACAACTCCGCCGTCAAGTCCGTACGAATCCACGCCCCAAGAGTTGGTAGATTTGCGGTTGGTCAAGTCTTCGAGACTTGTGTTCGGTGGGCACCAACTACAGAAGAACCATGAACGGAGTAATAAAATGCACGGTATGGACGAGATTAGGAGAGTTGTCCGGAATCATCTTTCAATAAACAATTCATATTACGGTGTTGAACAACACCTGGAGGACGGACCAAACCGAAAGAAACAAAAGCGATATCATGAGCCCAGTGCTCCACCAGATCAGTTTCCACAGAGTGGAGGTGAAATACGCACGCATCGTGCTATATTCAATGTTCATTGGCAGGTGAAGGAATTTGTTGAGGGGCAATTTGGCGACGTGAGAGCGGTATCCTTAGGTTCTGTTATTGCAGTGACTGGAAGCGCACGAGATGCACAAGCAACAACTGTCACAGAATATCTAATGCAGACTTGGCCGGACACGGCCCTGGGCCTAAAGCTGCTTGAATCGATTCAGGAAATTCTGAATGAGGGAGGGGAAATATCAAGAGGCAAGTTGAATTTGCTGCAACTTACACGACAGAGTCTTCCCACTTTGCGCATATACTGATTATTATTAGATAATGGCCCAATTTTAAAAATGTGTTATGGCAACCCCATTATTGTTGTTCATGTGGATGGCGTAGAGGAATCCATTATTCAAATCGCTCAACAATTAGCCTGGCTTGGGTCAGCACTCCGCACATCAGAGAGTGGTTCGGTCGGACGCTCAGAAGCTCAAATATCTGCATGGACTAATAATCTTCCTGCTATTTTCGAAATCGAGTTCGCCACGGATGTTCTCGAGGAGAAGAGTTGTTGGCATGACCTTTTTTTTAACCCAGTCATCGCTTTCAATTTTCCCATTTCAAGTCGGGACCATGGTTTGATTGGATTAGAGATCCCGATACAAATGATGGCCGCCTTAGGAGGTGCCAGTCATGCGGTAGAGTTCAAGGGTGGCCTGATGCTTAAAGGATTTTCATGCATGTTTGTTCCGTTACAACGGCATGGGAATTCTATTCAGTGGCATTTCATAACGAATGAAGACAACACTAGGCTGGAATACCTTCAAGCGGATCAGCAATGCCCAAAAAGAGCCTTACTCGGCAGCGTCGATCAAGAGTCACTGGCCTCAACACGTGCGTTTCTAGGCTGGTGGGGGAAAGTGACAACAAATCTCGGAACAACAGATGCAAAATACGAGAATATTAACTGGTCGCCTACCAAGGAGGCTAGTAGACCTAGAACTACCCCTGTGTTATCCATTCGGCTTCTGAATATTATTGAGGTTGGAGTGAGCTTTGCTATGGGCCCCAAAGATAGCAAACTACATGTCTCACGGACTGGCCATTATGAGAAATTACTCCAACATGCCTCGAAGGTTTCAGTTGTCCTCTACGACACCCGCGACAAGAGAGGTTGGTTGGTTCCATCATCGGCGGTGATCGCGCATATTGCCAAGACGAGACATTTCCGCAAGCCGTTTTCCATCGCAGGCAAACCCGTGGATATAATTTCCGCAGATCCGGCTCGGAATGTCTGTGACGCTGCAGAGAAGATGTTACTTGAAAATAGATCAACCAAGCTGTTCGACGGAGATGCTGGTTCCTCAAGCTTGTATTTTGAACAAATGGTGCGGGATATCTGGGGTTCATTGGAAGACTTATTGGGAAAAGGTACCGAAAGGGAATTTACATCTGACTCACTAATGTCTAAAGGACAAAGGCTCCTAGGGTGGGAATTCATGGACTTGGTGGAGGAGAGATCGCCACTCCATCTAAAAGAGACCATTATCAAAAACAGTTGTGGGGGTTGGATCAATTTCGCACAGGAAATCGATGCCATTGTTCTCTTTGCAAGCGGATTCGAGGATGTTATTGAGCCAGCCGAAGGCTCTACAAATGGTCTCTGTCATCGATGGAAATATGTCCCTAAAGATAAGGACTACCTTGCAGCTGGTATACCTATCCTCAAAACTCTCTATGAGAGAGCTGGCAGTCTTGTGACCAAAGAGAACCAGACTTATCAACATCGCCAACGGCACCATGGCCAGATGCTCTTCGAAAATTGCCTAAGCAACGCAAATTCTAGTTGCAATTGCGATCGTCTCCAGCAGGTTGAAAGCAAACAGCGAATGGGATCTGGAAGTGTAGTTTTTCTAGGACCACTGAAGTCCCAGGGGGCAGTGATATTTGGCAAATCTGAATCTTCATTCCTTCTCGGAAGAAGTCGAACAAGAAGCATGAGAAAAGGCAATAAGCAAAACAACCTACCGGAGCCGCATACAAATTTTCCTAGCCTACCGAGCGTAGAAAGCCCCCTCCGTTGTGGGAGGTCTCCACTCAAACCGAGAAAACCGGAACCGATTCCGCGCCAAGCTGTCGAAGCCGACAAAGAAGATGTCAAAGACCGTTCTAAAGCCATACATGGAATGGAACAAGAGGTGCCTGATCGACTTTCTAAGGAGTTTCATGAAGGATCTGAAAACATGTACCCGAGGACTTCAGAGGCTCGGCGCCCATTTCCTCTGCGAGTGCAGGAACAGAAACAAGATGTACAGCAATCCCCCAACGGATACAAGTCTGGGATGGCGACTAGATTCTGATGTATCGCCTCTCCCTCTACCATCGACGACAATAACGACCTGACCACGATGAATCACTGCGCTACAGCGCTGGCTCCAGGGCACGCGTCGGGTCCACATGTAGTGCCTCTCAGACCTACTCTGCAAGAGCGGACTGTTCAGCACCGCCATCTAGCAGTGAATTTAAAAACCAAGTAGATCGAGGCGTACAAGATTATCAATATATGCAGCGTTGTGACGCGAGCGCCGCCCTTGGGGAGAGCCTCTCACGGCAACGTGTCTCGACCTGTCGGACGGGCAGGTCATCTACGCACATCTACATCTTCTCCGACGAGTCTCTCTCCATTGGTGACAGACTCTTCGGGTTCCGGTACAACGTGCAGCCTTCCTCCACCGAGAGATCATGTGCCCGCCACGAACTTCAAGCCAACTCAAGATCGCCAAACCGAGATGCTACATTTGTCATTTATGATGCGATAAAGCAGGTTACGGAGGTAATAGGGAATACGATTCACAATCGTAAGTTGCAAAGTCGATTTCGCAGAGTTAAGCTCGCGTATCCAATACAGAATTTGATTTCATGGTCTGACGTGCAGATAGGAACTTTTGCAGATGCAAGTGCTCAATTCTCGATTAGTGATCTTTGTCAAAAGTGGCAACGAGAAAATTCGGTTCCGAGTTTTCAATACTTTATTGCGATCCCTTAGACTTGAGTATCGCGCATCGCAAACTGTGGAGAACTGGGTTTGTACCGTTGGGGAATGGTAGTAGGCTTGGGAGTTCGATATTGGATTTCATGTTGGGGTATAATCAAAAGTAAAGATCTGCTTTTTTACATACGATCATCGACTGAGGATAATTTGTTAATGTAACGGGTTAGAACCCGGTTTTATTCTTCCCAGGCGCCTTCGCCTGGTCACATGAACTCGAGAATTCCCGATATCATGTGTCTTCGTTCTCTCTGCTCTTCGTTCTCTCTTCTCTCCTCAGAGAATTCTACTTAGTTAATCAAACCACTAGTCTTCTTTGTGTAAGGGCCTAGCCCGTCACAGTTAGTTGCCATTCGCGTGATACTCCCTTACTAGGTTAGCTTAACTACAGAGGCAAATACACCCTCTACTGGCTCGTACTTCTTATGCTTCAAACATCTCAATCTATATTAACTTTAATATTATATTTGAAGCCTATTTACATGCAAAACACTGCTTTATTCATGCAATTAGCAAATTGGGCTATGGCCTTGCACTAATGCTAATGCAGATCACGCAAGTATATGGTAAATAGGAGCTAAGTGTATGATCCTAGATGTTGAGCAGGTTCTCCTACTTGAATAGTACAGATGCGAACAAGATCCTGTTTTCGAGTTTTAGGTTCTTGGTTCTTGGCGCTTGGTTCTTGGCCTTCAAGCCAGAAATCGCCGATAATGAATACCCACTCTTTGAGAATAGGAGTCAGAACCCTGCGCTGACAGACGGTGTACGTAAAGATAGAGCAGTAATAATTAATGGTCATTCATTTATCCATTTATCCATTTGTCCGAGTACGAAATCTAAATTAAGGGAAGAAGAAACGAATTAGGCCATATCATCAAGCGCCAGTCTACATGCTTGGTATGCCGTCCCGGAGCAGGGCAATCGCAGCATTGGGAGCTGAGGTTGGAAGCCCTGGGCATTGTATCGCCATAATATGCCCTTTTATTTAATGGCCAGATACTTGCTATTGAGCGACATGCTATGGCACAAAGGAAGAGACCATTTAGCTAGAAGGATAGTAGATTTGAATTATAAGAATAGAGTAAGAGGCACCGGCTAAGGTCTCATGTTTTCACAGATCTCTAGGCTTCATGTGATATATTTCCAGACAAGCTATGATATTACTTATTGAATAGTCACTAAGAGCCTTTTTCCATATGATCAAGAAACTATGTAAAATATAATTCAGCATGGTAAAAGCTTTAATTAGGGTTAGTATACTGGTGCCCCAGCGAGTAACAACCTTGACCTCTAACGATGATTGCATCCTGTGATCATTCCGTTACGAAGATAAAGAAGCACTTTAATAGTTTCTGTTGATGTGGCAATAAATGTTGCCAATTAAACTATAATTGATCTCTCCGCCAAAATCATGGCTAACAATCATCAACGCAATTGTCTTCACGCAAGCCACATGTCTTGTTAAGCAACCTCACGCGAAACCCAACGGGCTCCCCCGCCACTCAACATCCAGCACATTCGCACTTGCGCTTGCCTGTGAAAGTTCCGCAATCAAGTCTCTACATGGGTTGTGCCCATTCTCCTCCGCTAGTTCCATCGCCCTCCGACATTGCTTTTCATCAAAGCCAGCTACACCAAAGCCAGCCAATTTGTTCTTCCACAGAAACTCAATCATGTCAAGACGGCCATGTTCTGCCGCCCCCTCAAGCGGCCATCGGCCGTTAACAACAGCTGGTGGAGCGGAAAGGTCTGCCCCGCATTCGAGCAATTTTGCAGCGATGTTGCAATTGCCCTGGATGGCCGCGAGTTGGAGAGCAGTCCCACCACCACGAGTCGCTGGTTTGCCGTTGGCGTCAGCATTAACACCAAGAAGTAGCGCGACGAGTTCGAGGCTGTTCACCTCTACCGCCCTTTGTAGCGGGGTTCTCTTCAGTCCCATGGTAGCCTTTCTGTTGATATCAGCACCGTGATCAATCATGAGTTGAACCAGACCATTGCTTTTTGTCTCAATGGCCATCAGGAATGCTGTCTCATTGGCACCTCGTAGGTAACCAGCCTTCCCGGTAATGCAATTTGGATCGCAGCCGCTGTCGAGAAGCTTCCTAATCACCGCAAAATTGGCATGATTGCCATTCTGACTCATTCTGATTGCTTCCACCAGAGGCAATTCACCGTCTGAATAGCTTTCTGTGTCAACAAGTCTGCAACCAAGGAGGATATTGACTGCCTCGAGTCCCTCAAGGCCTTGGTTTATTACTGCTTTCAATGCAGAAGTTCCGAAGTCAGGCACTGCGCAATCACTGTTTCGAGAGGGGTGTTGCTCCAAGAGCCACGGGAGCATCTTAGGACGGCTCCTCGCACAATGCTGAAGTATGGAGTTTTCTATGGGATTGGCGCCTCGTTTGATGAGATCACGGAACAGCCGCTCGTCGCCTCTTTCAATAGCAACGTTAAGGCAATCCGTAAGAGCATAACCTGAGAACATCTTCGTGCTGAGGATGAAATCGAACCACTCCATATGACCCTGCTCTAAAACTTTCGACAGTTGATTCCCATTTAACCATGTCCCAGGAAAAGTAGATTGAAGATCCGCGATGATCGATTTGTCCCCCCACTCAATCGCCTCCTGGAACACCCTTATCTTGATAGGAGATGACGGCTTGATGTCCGCATTCAGAATTTCACGAACCATATAAGAATTCCTGCAAACCATAGCAGCATACAGTAAGTTTAGTTCATCATTATAGTTATCGTACTCTTCATTGACTTCGGCTCCCGCTGCAAGCAATGTCCGGAAAATCTGCTCTTGATTGTTTCGGATAGCGTGAAATACCGCCTTCCTCATGTGTGAAGGTTCGGGAGAAGGACAGTGTTCCAATAGCTTCTGCACATATATCGCATTGCCTGTTTTTGATGCCGCAGTGATTGCAGCTTGGAAACGTCCTCCTTCATTTAAGTGTGCCAGCGAACCTGCACCTTCTATCATCCGAATAAGGCTTTCATCTCTGGACTTAATTGCCTCCGCGAGCGATGTTGTCTCACCATCCTCATCTTCATCGCCGCCCCGCTTCTGCCCGAAAATCGAACTCGACTCATAGATGCTGTGCGCAGGAGCATCCATATCTGGTTTCAAAGTGAGGATAGTGTCTATTAACTCGCGTTTACCGCATTGTATTGCAGCGCTCAGGGCTCTGTGGGGGGTTGTTGAGTAACGCAAGAGGAGTCCAACAAGTTGCGAATGGCCGCGTTTTGCACCTTGTACCAGAGCCGAATCCATATGACCTTGGAATTGGCTCAAGCATCTTCTGCAATTCGTCCGCTGACAGGCCAAAATGAGCTTGTTGGTAACCTCTGCGGCCTGTCGGTCACTAAGGCTGAGTGCGATGTACTCAAGAACCCGACTACCCATGAATTCCGCATGATCAGAGTCGGATACGCTAGAAACAATAAGATAAGCCAGCTCTCGGTAGTTGAGAAGCTCCAAGGCGTGCTTGGCAACGCTAGCATTAACCCTGGCACCAGCTCGTAATAGCAATTTGCCAAGTTCAAAAGCTTCTGAGGTAGTCGTCCTGCACCCCAAAATAAAATTTCCAAGTGCCCCTCTCGAGTATATCCTACGTGGATGCAACGGTGGTGAATGCAACGTTGGGTTCACAGTGTTTGGGAATGTCTTATTCACATCGGCCTTGGCAATGAGCAATAGCTCAACTATTCCTAGTTCTTGAAGGTATGCAGCTCGCTCAACAGGAGTCAACTTTTCGCCATTGGCAATGCACATCGTGGTGTTAACGTCAAGTGAGCCAATGGAGAGCAGGCTTTTAAGAACATGCTCATCATTTGCTTCGATGGCTGCTCGAAAAAGATTTTGTGCCAAAGCCTTTGCGGAATGACTTTGACTTGCTTGCAACGACTGCAGCAACAAAGAGGCCATGCCGCCAGCTCGGTTCCAATACTTGAGCATGCTCTCGACAGGAACATCCTCGAGACCGGCAAAGTTGTTGGCAATTGAAAACACCAAGAGCTGGTTGAATTTAGTTTGAAATACCTCATCTTCGGTGATTAGACTCTGTCTGCTATCATAGCCTGGCTGGAGTTTCCCGTCGGGCAGAAGAGTTTCAAGTGATGACAACAGGTGCTTCGCATATATTGGCCATCGATCCCCTTGATTTTTATCCCCTTCTGACATGGAAGATCTGAGATCTTCCAGGAAGAGCGTGACTGGGGTTTGAGCTGTAGAAACCAAGTGGGCCCCAGCCATATTAGAGGATCGGCTCTGATGAATTACTAAACAGAGGTTAGGCATATAGTTTTTTTCTCTCGCATATATATTGATGGGAATAATATTTTGGAATATCTGAGCCCTAAGAAAGAATGGAATACATACCTAGATCTTCTCTGAATCGCTTGAATGGCAAGTTGTTCAGCAGATCCGTAGGTGTCCAAAAATACTGGTAGTTGGGAGCCTCTACCCAACCTGTCGAGTCCCAGTTGGACGACCCGAAGTCGATATCACCAAAATTAGATACTCCCCATTGCGAAGGCGATTGCATGATAGCCCTTGACAGGTTGGAAGGTAACAACCCTCTTGTGGGCGATGGCAAAGTCTCTTCGCCGACAATTTCCCCACCGAAGACTTGTGAATCAAAGTTGTGTAAGAAGCCTGACCGCAGAAATGTGGTCCCTATGTTGAAGGTAGTGATCTCATCATCCATGTGCCCGCCTTGCCACTCGCCGTTATCAGGAATAGCACTTCCAGATGGGCCGCTGTCGTTAGCCGGAGAGATTGGCAAGTGAATTCCATTATCGGTTTGGTTGTGGGAATGGTCCGACACATTCATGTCGTCGAGGTAGTTATAGGCGGTCCACCTTCCATCAGCCGCTAAAGTCTCGATAGAAACGTTCTGGAGGTTGGTAGACCGTCGTTCTGCCACTGTCAGCAAAAATTCAGTGCACTCGATGGCAATATTTTACCCTTTATTACCGCCGCTCTACGGCATTTTGCACCCCCCAATTTAGCTACGCAATGCCGTCTTGCCCTCTCGATTCTAGCGGCAGGAACGGGATGGCCCGATATAAGTACCCTGCAATTTTCATATCGAGAATTAAGTTTGTCAATAATCATGAGTATATCTGCCCACTCATCCACTTTGAGATTCTTGCGATTTTCCCAGACATTAAGCTGTGTTTCGTATTGAGACTGGCTGAGACATGGGGTTATTCAGCGGAAAATTGTAGGGTACGGGGCTGTGATTGAGTACCTCGCACTAAATCCATGCACATCCCTCATAAGAGCCATCGCCTCTTTGAGGGTCTTGCCACGCCTGAGAGCCAAGATGGTATCTTTCCAGCGGTTCCACTCGCTCGGAGGGATATGTCGCGGTCTTGAATCCATGATGAGCGTGGTAGTGGGCGCGCGTATATTGAAGTCAAGGATGTTTTTGATATATTTTGCTGGGCACCTTATCAGGCTGGTACTGAAGAAAAATTGGGCGGGCACCTCGAAAAGAGGATTGCTGGCAGCTCACCTTAAATATGCAAGGCTACTTACCTTTACCACCGGTGCTGAAAGTGCCTTGCCGGGCAGCCCAACACAGCCTCACCCCCAAATCTGACAAAACCTGATGCCCGCCAATGTTGTGTCACCAGATTTTGTCGGATCAACAGGGGTGACCTCAATGCATGTGCCCTTCGCTTAGGCAGAGCTGTCCGATTTTGTCAAACGTGCTTTGGATCAACCTAGCCCCTATCTCATGAAGTGATTGGTTCAACTCTCTACACCTCTTGATTGGCCGTGTCACTGATACGGATAGTGGGTTGCAGCATCGCAGATTGCTGGTCATTTACAAGTACATTTCCCGCAAGAAAATTCACATAAAATTTTGACTTGACATTACATTTTCTGGTTACACCAGGCTTCAGGAAAGAATCGTTCTGGGGATAAAGTAATATATTATTAGCAAGTGAGAAACAGCCTTGCAACGTGAGAGGCTGTCGTTCCCCATGGCTAACCTCTATTGGGAAGGCTGGGGCTTACACCGCCTTCTGACAAAATATGGCAGGACCAAATCAGATACTGTGAGCCAACCTTTCAAACCACACTAGGACGGAGTTACTGACATTCTTGTGACACAGCATGGCGCCGCTTAAGGGGCATCTAGAATTTTTCTTTAATTTCAGCTTGATTCTGACATTTCTGGAGTGCCACCAAGTATTGTATGTGCGTATCCAGTTTCCAGTCCGACAAACACAGATTGACAGAACCTTGAATAACTACTTGACATTTCCTTGATATTCACGCCACCTGCGCTCACTTTGCAGATCCTTGGCTTCCCGCCCATATTTTGTCGAAGTTCTCCACCTGCTTCTTGGCCATGTGTGACCGAGCATCCTTGCTTGCGCGGGTTTTGTCTGCTTGAGTCGCCCCAGAACAATACTCTGAGACGGTTGGATCTGCCTGGAGATATTCTTGCAACATGTACGAAGACTCCTGGTTGCTTTCGCTACTGATAAATATTTAGTTTAGATACTTGGGGTTAATTCAATGAGCTATTAGGTACAAAACGGGATTGCATACTTTCTATTCTCTCCCGACACCTGAAAACGTGAAGTTGACGGAGAAGACATTGTTAGAATGTCTTAGTATGTCTTGTCGTTTGATTGAAAATCTTCGGTGAGACTAGTGTCCTAAATTGCGGCATTGGGTTTCTCAAGGAATAGGAACAATGAACCCTTTAAAGTTTGGATTTTCCAGGAGTGATGTTGCATTGCCCCCTTCTTATAGATATTTGTAGGCAGTACTGGATTCCTTTTCCAGGCAAAAGCTTGGGGGTATGCTTCTTCGGATAATCGGATTTTGGCATTGACATCTGGCTGAAGCCGGACTTAATACATACTTCGCTTTGGTTTTCCTCATGTTTTGGTTTGTAGTAGGCTGTGTTTGTCAAACGGGCTGATTTTGCGTTATATGTTTTTGCTTCTGGATTTTATATTGAGATTTTGTCATCTTCAAAAAATGAAAGAACAAGCCGGATAACTAACATAACTCTTTTAGGTTTAATACAATTCTTAGGTTATCAAATCTACTAGGAAGTCTAGGGCCAGGAAGATAGAATAAAAGAGTAGGGTTGTCTTCATGCTCTGAGTTATCTCTACAAAATTGTTAGGAAGTCACTTTATAAATCATGAACATAAGATAAAGATTAACTAGTAAAAGAAGTCTATAGTTGTATCACATAGGAAGTCTAATAATTTGAAAATTTTCTAAAAGTCTTCTTGACTCAACAAAGTTAATAATGTTAAACAGGCTCCTCTTGTAATACTAATCAAGGCTATCTGATGTTTGGTCAATGTACTGTAACATATTTTTCGGGACAAGTCATACTACTAACCGCATGTCTTTCGATTTCACACTCAACAGGGGAGCATTCGTATTGGAGATATTAAGCCCCAGAGTGGTGTGTCTGAAATATACGAAGCCCATGGGCGGTTTGAAAGGATTGTCAGAGCCTGGGGCACGTAACTTGGGCCAACTTGCATGCGCGACGCTTGGCGATCCTCCTAGGCGAGGGAATCTGTTCCGCTCAGCTCATGCACGCCGCAAGGGAGTATCTGCGTTGCCCCGCATCTACTCGATCCCGATCTCGGCGCCGAGGATTAATCACCTGCGATCCCGTGGCCGACTTTCGCGAAAAGGCTTCGGGATTAGCCGTCGGCCGATGTGAGGCAACAGCGTTGGCAGCCCCACGTGCTCGACTCTGTGTTCTCAATGGTTACGCCTGTAGAAAAGCGGGATCGCAAATCTCGGTTCAAGTTCTAGTCCTAGACATCCAACCACTGTGTTGACGATCTGATGCTGAGGCATCGTCGATTTTGCTGGATTTCTGTATTAATCTGCGGATTCTGTTGAAATTTGAACTTTATGTGGGCTATAGTGTCGAAGAGCAATATTGCTGTCACATACGGCCATAGATTGAGGAGAATTGGGCCATATCAACACCCCAACTTCAAGTCTATATGTTAGTACATTATTTTAAAAATGAGATCTAAGTTCTTAGATTTTGTTGTAAAATCTTCTATCAAGATCTTAGAATCAGGGCCCTAGACGTCCGAAAGCACTTTGATAAGGGAATCACTTTGCTTCGCAGTGATGCACAGTCTGGGGTTCGAGCTCTGGGAGTTTGATACACAGGGATCCAATTTTGAGTTTGAGAAATCGCAAGTCAAGCTGATCCCACCATTACTGAGAATTATAAAGCGGCCCGTTATTCTTCGAACCGCCATCTTATCCTTCTGAGATTTGCACATTTGTGAAGAAAAATCCACCATGACGCATATGTGGCCTGCCTGCAAAAAGAGTTTAGAGCAGGAAGTATTCATCGTTAGTGACCGTGGAAAAGATTCAGGAATCTTGACTCAATTATCAAATACCACCCCCCTAAGACCCCCACCCCTTGAATCTCAGAAGTTGCAGGGCACTGCCAGGTCTTAGCTTGCTATCTTTCGTCTCCAATACTGATTGTTATCATTGTTGAAACCTTGTCTCAGACCTAGGAGTATGCACTTCTCCGTATTCTTCAAGTCGCAGTCTGCTCCCGCGATCCCCCAATTCATCTCCTATTGTGGCGCCGTATTTGACAATTTGATGTTTGACATTATCGACGAGGTTCTCAACAGTATCGTTCGAATTGCACTTTGCAAGTAGAGGAGCCCCAAAGGCTTTTGCTGTTTCCAACGGCGAGAGCGTAGTTGCGCGACCAAGATTCCACCAGCCTCTGAGTCTATGTCACCCGAAATCAGCTGTTCGTCATCACTTGGAGTCTTGACTATGTGTAAATTTCCCAGATCTGAAACTCAGCAGGCTAAGTCTATTGAAAGGGAACTTACGTTGGCATAACGCTGAGAATCGCCAACATGATCACGGCCATGGCGCCTCCAAGGTATCTATACCTTGAGACATAGTAGTTCTCATTGAAAACGTAAGTGGCTGAGACGCTTCTCACGCTTGTATACGTTTTACCACCAAGTACAATTGGTCCAACGAGAGTTGCATTGGTTGCAGCACTCAAACCAAGTCGAAACATGATCTCATGATATGCAGCCAGGATGTCGGGTATAGGATCACGCCATACATAGCCCGAGAACTGCATGACATCCCAATCAGGATTTATGGCATGTGACCAAGTAAAAGAGTTCAGGCCATATAAGCTGTAGAGGGCGAGAGCGCCGTTGGAAATCATAGACACATTTGCATAAAATGGCCCTTCCGTAGGAGATTCACCAAAATCGTTTACATTCCCAATGAGGCTGAACCCTCCGAGAGTGGTAGCCCCTGTGAGACCCATACCGGGAGCTGTGCTGGCGATGGGGAGATCATAGAGAACCTCAGGATTTGTGCCATTTGGCAAAGTCAAGCTGACCGTGTTGTTCACTATTTGAAGTGGATATGAAACCATGGCTAACGAGAGACTGCAAACTCGGTTGACGAAGAGGAGTGGGGTGACTGTATTAATGGCCCAGCCCGCTGACAAGGTGAGATACTCATATGATCCATTGGCAGCAATGGAATCGTAACCATCTGAGGTTTGTGCCCGCCAGGTAGTGCTGGCAGTAAACTGCGGTTTGGTGACACCACCACTGTAGACTTCCATGTCCCATGTTGTATTTGTATCTGGAGCACATGAGACCTTAAAGCCAACACCCGATGCGTTAGCTGTGCAAACTCCTGGACAGCCGTCAAAGCCATGGGTGATTGACACTCGGTTCGTGTAATTGTTAAAGACGCCCGAGAACGAGCTAGAAGGGGTGGTTGGCGTCCTGAACTCCCCTGTTACATCGGCCGTGTATCCCGGGGGAAGATCTACTGCAAGCGCAGCTTGGAGTGGCAGTGGTTTGGAAATTTCTCTGGTTGATATGGTGGATGCTTGCTGAATGAAGGGGCCCTCGGCGATAGCAGCAAGGGTAACGAGTAACTTTGCAATGGACAAAAAGCTGGACCGTCGCCCAGCTGTCACCGCGGCCCATATACTATTGCCATGGTCCCAGTAACGATGCGTCTGATCTAGAGGCGCGCCTTCAAGCATTTTACGCCACCAGGAAACATTAAGGCCGCTTGCAAGAGAGAAGCTTAAGGAGGCGGTTGATATTGCTGATAGGATGGCGAGGGCAACAGAAGGAGCGACTCGCCAGCTTGAGACTGCGTCGCCGTTAGAGACGACCAAGAGGATCGCACTCGCAATTGTTGAGGACAAGACAAGCATTAAGCTTCCGACCCCCAGCCAGGGAACATTTCGAAGGTAACCCGTCCGCCAAAGCTTTCCATGAAGAGGTGGATATAAATGAGTAATCGACGATTCATGAGTCTCGCGATTCGATTCTTGGCCACTATCCTCGACGGTGGTCCAGCTTCGTCGAGTATACTCGTAGGGAGGAGGACCAGAGGATAGGTGTCGACCCGCTCCCTGCATCCACAATGATGAACGGCTCTGATCATGCGAAGGTGACGAGACAAGCTGGTAAGTGTTATGTCTCAATGAGCTTGAGGCTGGCAGCGGTTTGCGTCTTGGAAAGTCCATGCCCGTGCTTGAGCTCACTCCAACACTCAAGTTACCAATACAAAGTTTGAAGATGGAGCAAATGATCTGAAAGGGAGATATTATAACTGTTTGAAAACGATTTTTATTGGAAAGAAGGACCGCGACATGGAGTGAAAAGAGAACACGGAGAAGTTGTATTTCCCAGCTAAGAATGTCGGCCCTGCCCTCAACAGAACAGCGTGCGGCCTCAGCCACAATCATTGAGTGCGAGATTGCAATACGGAGTACAGAAGCCGCATGAAAATGCCCAGCTTTGACCCGAAGTCTGTGCTGATTCGTCGACTCCATTGCTGTGTGCGGTTGCACTGCATCGGCCTGGCCATTCAAATCCTCCAGCCACCCAACTTTGGGACACGGTAAGGAGAATGAAGCACACTCGGTGCGCCAGTGTATGCACAAAGCCTGAAACCGGTGCCGTCCCTCACCCATCATCGAATGGAATACCCTCGCAAGCCGATTGCAATGAATATGCACGAAGTGCCCTGGTCGCATCCTTCCGAATAGACAAATACAGAACCTCAGTCCGGAGCTGCAGAAGCTGTAAATCTGTCTCTGTAGTTAACGCCTCCTGAAATGGTACTAGAATTGGCCCAGGAAAAAACTTGCTGCTTTTGCCTGCCCTCAATCCTCGTTGTGTGGTATCGAGTCACAAGATCCGAGAGCACGCCAAGCGGCTTCTGGAATCGGGATTCTGAATCTCAATAATTGAAGGCCCTGTGAACGGCGAAACTGGATTTGAAATCGAAGCCTCCGGTTGAGTCAATATTTGGGGCCGCGGGCTGCAGGTTCGATCTTTACTTATTAATATTTGTAGCTAACAATCTCAGTATATAATGATATATTTGCAGTTTAGCTAACTAAGAGGCCCTAGAGCTAAGAAGGGGAACTATTAGTAAAAAGATATTAAGGCTCGGTTTATTTACTTAAATAAAAATTACCTGACTTCTTAAGTTAAGCTATAATATAAGTCAATGCCTAAATTAAAAAGAGAAAAAAATTACAAGAATAACTTACTTTAATTAATATAATCTTGCTTTAATTTAGCTAAGAGCTTCTTATTTACTAAAAGCTTATATTACTTAATAATTATATATTTATTATATAATATTTTCTTTTAGTATTCTTTATATTATAGCTCTATAAAAAAAGTCTATAAATAAGACATTTATAGGAGAATTATTTATTAAAAAAAACTAAGCTAAGAAAGAAAAGAAATCTCGAGTTAAGGTCCCTTAAGTATTTATAGTTTCTCGCTTATAGCTTAGCCTAATAGGGCTTAGTATCCTAAATTTCCCAGAATATAGCTTCCCTTAGCTCTATTACATATAACTATTAAATAATTTCAGATATTCAAATACCAGATACCAGATACCAAGCTCAGATACCAGATACTAGATACTAGGCTCAGATACCAGGCTAGGCGGAGTATGGAATTGTAATACTTTAATTCTTTATATTAATCTTAAAGTAATAATCTTTCTCAAATAAAAGAATTAATATTATTATATAAAAGAAATATCTTTTCTTTTCTTAAAGAAAATTACTTGAAAGTAATAATTAAGCTTTTTAAATACTTAAAAGAATTAGCTAAATATATTATATATTATATAATTAAAAACATTTATATAATACTAAATAATATTACAAAAAATAAATATTAATAATAATATAAATTTAAATCCCTTAATAATACTAGTATAATAAGAATTAGTTTTAAAGTTATATAGTTTACTTATATATTATATTATATTATATTATTTTTTTATTTATTAATTCTATATTTTATTTATATATTATAATCTTATATTATAAAAGCTTATTTTTCTTTAAATATTATTTTATATTTTATATTTTAATTATTTTAATTTATTATTTTAATTAAGTTTACTTTTTAGCCTTTAATTTCCTTATAGTTTAACTTCTCTTATATAATATTTATAAGCTATTAATACTTTTATTATTATTCTCTAAATATATAATAAATATATATAAATAAATATTAAATATTATAAATTTAGTTTCTTATTTTAAGTATTACTTATATTAAATTATACTAAATTATATTTCCTAATTAAGTAAAAAACTTATATATATTTAGCTAAATATTATATAAAAAAAAATTTAGAATTACTTTTTAGAATTAGTTATATTTATAAGTATTATTTTATAAATATAAGATTTAATTCTCTTAATTTTAAGAGATTTATTTTTCTTATTATATAATATATTTTATTTAAAGAAAGCTCGTTTAAGTATTTTTAACTTATTTTTGACTTATAAGATTCTTATTATTTTATTTAAAATTTCAGGAATTATATACTTCTTAGAAAGTTAATTAAAAATTTCGTTTCTATAAGATTTAAAATTAATTTTTAGAGATATTTAAGTATTATATAATGCGTGTAATATATTAAAAGTAAAATAATAGAAGTAAGTTATAATAGAGAATAAAAAAACTAATATTGCAAAATTTAATACTAACTCTTTTAATTACTAAAGTTACTTATTATACCAAGTTATAAGTTAAAAGTTAAAAGTTTGCTTGATTTTTTAATTCTTATAGCTTTTTATAACCTTATAGCTTTCTATACAATAATTACTAATTAATAAGTATTAATAATAATTTATTAGAGCCCATACTATAGAAGTAGACTCCCTAAAAAGTTCTATTCAAGGCATAACTCTAACTAGTGCGTCCCTGGAAAGATCTGACTCAGTTCGGTGCAATGCTAAAGAAATAGCTCTATTATATCAATGTCGATTCTGTTTATATGAAACTTGCTTGGTTAAAAAGGAAATCCAGCAATGGACATCCTTGTCTTTCCTGTTACTTATAGCCAGAAGATTCGATTTCCTTACGGACAAATTTGAATAAGGGCATACAGAGACAAATGCAGAGCAAATCCATATTCCATAGTGCTCTGTCAGGTTGAAGATGTGTTCCTGAAGGCTTTGGATTAATAGCAGTGGGCCAAGTATACTAGTAAAACGTCATGTACCACATACTGCAACTTAAAAAACGGATTCGAAGAAAGACAAAAATAATAAGATAATTCAAACTATACTATTCTTGCATAAAACATTACTCTTGCATAAAACATTCCTGCCCTCAAATCAACTTTAATATTTTCTTTCTAATCTCTCTAGAACAAAAATCACATCTCTTTCAAAAGCAACCTGCAGTGCGGGGTCTTCCAAATCGTTATCTTTCCCAAAGTCGCAATGTATACACTGTCGAACCACGGCCCTATAGTCTGTTCCAAGCGCCATAAACATAGATTTGCTAACTCTGCTAGAGATGTTGAATCTCGTTTCTTGGCCATCTTCGCCATCTACTATGTCACCTGGCTCCTGGAGATCACTCAATGGGCCTTGATGTTCCAGCTCGATCAATAGACAACCAAGACTAAAGGTATATGGATTCCGAATACATCGAATAGCCGCGCTTGTACTTGGTCGAATATCAGCACTGGGGTTAGTGTTGACTTTTAGGTGGGGTTGCTGGTACCAAGTACTTTTCTCTGTTTCGAAGAAAACTATGTTTCTACCAGACCAGTCAGGTGTTAGCAGTGGCGTTGTATGAAAGTGAAGAAGTGCCAGAGCGGCTCGCTTCGCCAGGTGGAGAATTTCGTGCGGAAGTAGCCCTACCCCATAGTTGTCCTCTGGTCGTTTCAGAAGTAGATCTGGTAATGACAACGGGGATTGGTATGGCGTAGGTTCTCGCGGAGAGCAGACTCGAAGTTCAGGATAAGGTTTTATGTTCAGACACCCTATCTCATCTAGTCGTGGAAGATTCTGTGGATAGCGTCGAATCTGCTTACAGAAATCACGGCCTATGGTGAGATCCACCGAAATACGACTTTCTTCTGAGCTGCGGAGAAGACTTTGTCCGATGTCGAGCATTTGGATATCGAGGAGACTGGGTTCTTTAAGGTCAGAAAGGCCGGTTTTTTCCAAAGGCCCTTCATGCTTGAGCTTCTTGTTTTCCTGGTCGTCTATCGGTAGTGGATCTGGCTTTCTTTTTCGTTTGGACGTCCATTTTAGTTCTGTTCTGTCTTGTTCATCTTCGCGTACGAAAGCCACTGCTGTGGGATTTCTTTCCCGAGAACCAAGCATGGACCGCACGACGAAGCGGATCGGTGGCTCAATCGAGATGTCGTGTGGGTCGGTTGTAGGCTGTAGACCCACGTTAATCCCATGTGAAAGAGGGCTGTTGCGGCTTTGAATCTGAAGGTCCTCTAAGCTCAGATATACAAAATGCCCATTATGGGCACTACAAGCACGCCGAAGAGAATTGTAAACCCTCATTGCCGCGGTGCGAGTTTGATGACCTTGGGTCACCCCCGAAGGTGCGGAACTTAGGGTAGCTTGAATGGTTGTGTTGTGCATTCGCTGCACCTGGGCCAAAATCAATTGAAGGCTATTATTATGTTCGATTAGGTCCGAGAGCCTTTTCTTGAATTGTTGACCTGAGAAACTGAACCCCAATCTCGCCTTAGCAGATTGGGGTTCGAGATGATTCTAGCAGCCACATCAGCCCTTGTTATCTGTATGAAATTAGTACTGTATTATGGCTAGGTATAGCTGAAAGCAGAAGTTATATGCTAACTTACAGGTGTGTTTTCACAGGACCCCTTGAGCCTCTCGACCTTATTCTTCAGAAATTCCAACTCCCGTTTGATCGCTTTAATTGTTGTCAACACCACGGCGCCGTTGTCTTCGCCGAGATAGCTCACGAAATTCGCCTCTAGATCATCCGTAACCCATTCCTGATCGTGTCCAGATTCCAGTCTTCGGTGAGACTCGTTTAAATTCCAGCCCGTGACTGAGCTCAGTAAAATATCAAACTCGTTGCGAAAGATACATTCCTGAGTATATAACTCCTCCCTAAGTCGTTTGGCCTCAGTGTCGTATTCCTTCCAACGGTGGAGTACATTGCCGGTAGCTTGGTAATATTCTGCCACTGAGATTATGAGGGGGATTATGCCGAGAATCAAACCCACAACACCTTCGACGCCAGACATTATTAAGTTGGTCTGAGAGCAACAAAGACTGGAAGCGAGAATATCGAAGGACTTATGCAACTCTCTGATCGCAGTTCAATAATTTAATAGATTAATTAAAGCATCGTCCCAATCGCTCCAAATGCGTCAGGTGTAGGGCCCAGACTGCTGGCTCATCCCAATTCATTTAATTACAAGCCTTAGCGTTTACAATAAGGGGCCGCGACCGGAATTTGAAACGGCCACAGAAGCGGTCACGCTATTCTTCCTCCAGTGTCGTCAAAGCGGAAGTCGGGCGCTTGCTGTCCCAAAACGTGGCAGACACGACAACCTCAAAACTATAGGCTTATAATTGATATGTTCGATATGCATGTTTTTGCTAAAAAAAAATAAAAAAAGGCAAGAAGTTACGGACAGCCGCGCGGTTTTAAACGCGCCATTATTTGCCAGTCATCACTTGAATTTGCCATGGTGGCCTAGTCCGGGCCGCATGCAAGTGGGTCAAGCGGCGAGGTATATTTTTAGTCGTCTCAGCCTTCTTACACTCATTCCATTCCGCAATTCGCACTGGGTTTGAATTTGTCATAGGTCATGCAATGATATTAATAGTCTTTGGAGTCTCTGTATTACTTCGTTCTCAGTAACAACATTGGCAACCTTCTGTGTCGGCAACATGGACCAGACTACATCGACATATTCCTGCAGCAAAATTTACAATCGTTGTCTGCATCTGTTGAAGGCCACAGTGTCGGCATGCTCGACTATAGATCAAAAACCGAAGGATGTCTTTATTCTGGAGCAATCTTGGGGTAGATTGGTGCTTTGGGACGAAGTTTTTAAAGACCAAAATTTGGATGAAACCTTGAACAAGTCACCCATTTTGAGAGACACTGCTCTACGGCTTTTCTATGGAATTGGGGTGACGTTATCAAAAGGTAAGCTGTTCCCGCTGTGCTCCAATCCTCTAACTAATTCGTTTTCTCTTGCAGATGTCCTTCCCTTGGTCTTGTCAAGGAGATCAGAGACCCAGGAAGATGATTTGCAAGATCTCGCTGACAAGATGAGCACGGAGCTTAAGGAAGCCACAATGGTAAGTCGAGAATACTACGAAATGGCGTTGGGTGACGCTGAAGAGAATAAGGACTGGGGTGAACTTGAGACGAATAGAAATCCACCGTATACTCTCAGCATTGCCGCAGAAGCGATCAGCTTCTATGTCTTACACTTGCTCAGCCTGCAGCCAACCATAGAATCATTGTTGAGATTTTATTTGTGCAATAGGGCATTACGTGAGGATGCGCATAAGTCCGCAGAACTTACCCTCAGCTCTGTTCCACTACACGGAGAAATCACTCATGAGCGAGACGACAACGACTACGAAATTAGGGATGGCCTGGAAGGTGATTCGGCCCCTGCCACCAGTTCTTCAACGCAGTATTTACAACCCGAACTCTGCGTACAGAACAGAGCCGAGACTTCAGAAATGGTAGAAATGGTACCAAGGTACATCAAGTCAGTTTTTGGATACCAAAATGAGTTACGCTGACGGTTAAAGGAGTCCTGACCTTAATCATCCCCATCGCCCAGTGCTGGTTATACCTACCTCAAAACCGCGAAGTCTGCAGTGTTTCAGCTCTCCCAACTCTCCATTCGTGGTGGTCCCTGATTCCGTGCCGAGTAATACTCAAGTTCAGATGCCGCAGCGCTCCTTCTCGTTTTGTGGGAGCTTGGAAGGGATGGAATGTTCAAGTCCTCTCGTTATGGTCCACAGTATGCCGTAGATTTGCAATATTATATCGGCTCTGTCTAAACTTTCAAAGGTTTCAAATTGATATTTTTGTAGACATAGGCTATGGGACCTTCATATTCATTCTCTTGCGCGTCCAACTCTGCTCTCTTCCTCAAATTTTCAAATCCATGTAGTTCTACGGCCATTGTTTGTTTTTCAGCACAACTCTCCCCAAAATCTCCATAAATGTACTCCCTGCTACAGTAGCTCCTCTAATATCCGTGTCTCCGTCTTCGTCTCTACACCTTCTCCAATTCTAGTCATAGCTTTGAGAATTTGACTGCGTCGCCACGGCTGTTGAAAGGTGTCAAGCTTATGGGCCTAAGGCAGCTAGGGGGCTGGGAGACTAGTGGGAGACTAATGGATTTTGTACGTATTAAGGGGCTTCCCAGCCTTCAATAATCAGAGAATCTCTTTTCCCAAGCGGCAGGTCAATTTTCGTCCGCGAGGAGCAGACACCCAATCACGAGATCCACGATTTGATAGTTGACGGAAAAGTGGTCATTGAGCTCAGGACTATAAATTTCAATACTGCATTCTGCTTCCACATACGACCACAGACTGAGGAGAATTGGGCATCCCGTCCGCTCTGCCATACACAAGCCTCAGATCGGCAGATTAGTAGTTGGGTGGGTGACCACCAGCGAATACCTGCTGTTGTATGTCTTTTTTGGGTCGATTTCCTCTTTTTGCAGATTCTGTGGAACCCCTGAATTGGCGAAGCGAGAGCCCCTGAAAATTTCGCTTAGGTCTTCGCAGCCGACGAAATTTGCTGCAACCCCAATCTCCACGTCCGTCTGTCTTCTTTTGATATTTCCTTCGAATCTCCCACCATTTCCTATTAGGACTTGAAGACCCACTATATTTGATGTCGTTTTGATCCTGACATAAAGTAGACGCCAAGACCCCAAACTTTACAATCGGCTATTCCTGCCTGACTCTGTCATGTGACGTAAGCCTTGGTAGTATAGAAGGCGAGACTTGGGGCTTATTTCATGGGGTACAGACCGCCGAATCGTTAATGAACCGTTTCCGTATACGCTCACTCTCGCCTTATGCTTGTCCAATCATCAGAGCCAACATGAACTTTTGATTGGGGCCAATCATTCTTACTGCACTATGTCATCAAGCACAACAAACCGTCAACCCTGCACAGCGGCGCAGAAGAAGTTTCTAACCAGGTCATGAGGTTGATAGTTTTAAAAGTATTAAATCACTTTCCCTAGCATCTGTAAGGAAATGTAAAGTACGCTATCGTGTCTACCTTAGGTTAAGATCGTAGATAGATTTCACTTGAAGAAGCCATTGCTGTCCTACCAGTTGATGGCAGTAATGAAATTTTCACAGCCAACATCCCGTGGGACTGGCGCGGCGAATTATCCCTCTCTACTCGCTCAATCGCTCCCACACTAACAAACCCAGTGGCGCATTCGGAGGCTATGCCGCAGCCCTCCTCTGCCAGTGCGCGCGCACTTACCTCTTACCACCCGCCCGTTGTCAAAACCAGCACAACCTGACCCCATTGACTCTCCCTTCCAGCTCTTTCCCCCCAACTCCCCGGGTCCCATCCGTCTAACCGCTACCCTCCTGAAACCCGGCTCCCGGATTTCTGTGGTCCAGATCGAGATCCAGAGGCCCGCCGCCTTTCCTAGGGTTCCCGGCCAAATCACGTACAAAACCTGTGCAATTCGAATAATAAACATGTCGTACGTTTTTCTCGAAACTGGGCTGACCTTACCAACGGATCGTGTAATACTAAAAGAAGATATCCCGGATCGTGAAAGAGAATGCAAGCAATGGAACTTTGAAAATGATGCCGTGATGGAAGAGATATCTCTTCGTTCACCGGTAAAAGACAAATTTAAAACTTGGAGAGTTAAAGGATATCAGGATGGCGTGTGTAGTGACAGTCGGTTTAGATTCTCTGTGAAGGGGAGGTCGATTTATAGGCCTGAAGAGCTGGAGTTTAATATCTCGTCTATTATTGCGCGTTATAATTTGGTAAGTCCCCCCCTCTTTACATTCTGAGTTCTTGTTCTGTGTTGGAAAAGAAGTCGATTGCAAGTGACGCCTCGTAGGCCCACCCAGCACCAGGAAACTTCAGCCCTGAACATACGGACTTGAAAGTTGGCGTGCTGTACGCGACGATGAGTATGACGACGGAGATCAAGAAAATACCTAAAAGCGCAAAATTTCTTTTGTGAGATCTAGGGTAAATGCCATTAAGAATGGGAGGTTTGATATGGAGATTCATATAGTTGATGAGAGTGGGAATTGGTGGCTATCTATAAACATTGTACCGTGGTAGTTGAGGGTCCGTTGGCTGGGAGGTCGGGCGAAATTAGGAAGTTGTACAAGCTTTAATTAGGGAGGTGTGAAGAATTCTAGCAAGCAAAATAGGTCTTTTGGGAAAGTGCTGGAGCCGCAGAGTCGTGTTGATAACCTGATATCACTCGAACTGGACTTGGTGAAATACATTCCAAAAACGTTCAGTGCAACCACGCTTCATAGTTCGGGTGTAAATATCGTCTTATATTCTCATAGTGGAGATCCTCAGGGATCTATTTCCAAGAAAGCAGTACATGCCTGGTATCACTCATCAACTTCTCCCCGAGCACTCCCCCAAGGCCTTCAAAGCGCCACTTCCCCACCCTCCCCAAACTCTCGCGATACCCTCTTCTTGATAATGACAGCATAAGCCATGCTCGACCAAAACGGTGCCCTGTCTCGCGCATCAGTAAATGTTCACCCCCCCCCCAGGAAAGCCAACTTACACAAATATCAACATCCTCCAAAATGTTGCCCAGACCCACGCAGCTCCACTGACGTTCCCCTCCATCGGCAGACTCAACCCAGAGCACAACACCACAACCACAATAAATAAGAAGTACAGACTCTTTACGACCTGTATCTTAAAGTATTTCGTCGGCACAAACGCAGAGCCCCATTCGTATAAAATCGTGCAAAGGATCGCGGCGTTGGACAAGAGGATAAATATCATCGTGGTTAATCTAATTCATTCCTATTAGCGGGATGAAGTCGAGGGGGAGCAGGAGGGAGAGGTACAAGAGGTAGTTTGAGGGCGGCGCTGGACGCCTCCCGCTACCATTTCCGCCATTGGTTGCAGCTGCAAGGAGCATCCAGACGAGGAAGATCGTGATCAGTTGGAAGATGCCGAGGGTAATGAACTGGAAGAACCAGTGCAGGCCCAGGATGGTCTTGCTCCATTTGGGGCGCCGGGCGGCGGGGTCTGCGACGAGGGCGATTGGCATGGTGGGGTAGGCCTTGAACGAGTGGTGCCTTTGCGGGTGTACGTGACAATGGTAGAGATGCGTCGAGCGCTGAAGAGGTTTCTATCGTGACCGAGCTGGAAATGAGGTCTCCGGGAGAATTACACAGATGTGCGATGAGGGGATGATGAGCCTCTCGTGTTGTCTGCGGCACAGCACGATCTCGCCTGCCAGCCGAATGAGGTTACAATTGCGGGGATGGGTTGTTATTTCCGGGTAAACAGAACCCTGAAACCTACTCTGACCTCTTTTTGAAACTTGACAACACCATCAACTTTGCTTGCTTCACGCTTCTCATCAGCCTACTAATTTTTCTGCTTAGAACGAAGTCTTTCATAAATACAAGGTCTGGCAGGAAGGAAGTCTCGATGATCATTCCAAGAAATCTGCTCCTTCATCAAGATTTTACCTGTAACGGGTTTGTAAGATCACTTCGCCAGTCGCGTCGCATGCCCTGCAAGCTTCACTGGGGAAGTCCCGCAGAAGCCTCGCAGAATAGTACTGGAATTAATAGCAAAGCCTCTTGCAGTCCTGAATTAATAGATAAAATGAATGGTTGGAATTTTAGAGTCCATTAATGACGTTGAGTTTATCCTCGTTCATTTCAGCTCATCTCGAAAACCTTGTCCAGCTAAGTCTACACTTCAAATGGAGAGAATAACAAGAAGTTGGAAATTGGATGCAATTGCTGTGAGTTTAATTCCGACTTCCGATAGTCATCATCACTCCCTTTTTTTCACCCTCTTCAATTGAGGAAGGGTGAAATTTTTGGAAGTGAAGGTTTGGCCCTTCGTCAGGTTCTCTCTACATCGCGGGGTCAGGGACAAGACCTTGTTTGGGGACACTACGCCGAACGCAAAGTTTTCAAATACTCTCGACAGGGCAGCGAAACTTCATAATTTCCCAACCCCCTCTCCTCTCTACACGGCCGATTTGAGCGAAAATGGTTTGGCCAATTAGGAAAGATATCCTGCTTTTGAAGATGTCCACCCTTTCCAGCTCAAACAAGTTAATCCTCTCAGCCGGAACAAAGTCAGGACGCCAGAGGACTTCGTCTCTCTCTGGGTTCATTTTGAAACGCAAGAATCTGCTCAGCATCCTCAGTCAAGATGGAAGAATGATTCCATCACGAGCCGTTGACGAGGAGAGGAAGTGACCGGCTGTTGACACTCGTTCCAGCTGAGGACCATATCCAACCTCTAACATGCAAGCCTGGCGAAGTCCGCCTTGGCAATGGGGTGATTTTCAAAGCTCTCTCATATGTTTGGAGTGGTCAAACACTTAATAGGGGATGGTTTTCTATTCCACCACGCCACTCTCGATAACTCAATACTATGACGCTTCTCTCCAACGTCTCCGGCACCCAACCCAACAACGAGTTTTGTGGGTTGATTCGATATGCATCCACCGAACTTCCTTGGACGCGAGGAATAAGCAGGTGCTGCTTATGACACTTTTCTATGGCTTTGCTGAAAGGGCGTCGCTTGGTTGGGGGAGGGGTCGGTGGCCACAGGCATGTGGCAAGAAGCCGCCCGTGAATCACTATAAGTTGCCCAATAAATGCAAGATATGCACGAGGGTGGAAGAAAAGCAAGCTCGCATCCGGCAGCAGGAAGCGAGGATTGGGCGCTACAGGGAGGAGATAGACGGAGGAAATTCGATTGTAGAGGCTGAAGAAAAGACCAGTAAACCGATAACTCGCGTTGAGGAATTTCGACATAAAACACGGGGTGAAGCCCGGACTCTGTCTTCTTAGAAGTTAAGACGCTCTACAGAATACAATTGGACCAAAACTGGTCTCAGTGAACTGGTCCACACATACCAGTGCTTCATACGCCTCGATTTCACAACAGACTGGGGAAACAATCAGACATACTGAGAAGGTAATTCAATCTGGGCAACTACTTGCTTTCGGGTGGAGTCACAGAGGACGGAAAGACCTTGACGCAATCGGATCTCAAATCTTGATCCACAACTTTGTTCGAAGGGAAATGAGGACACTCAGAAAGAGGTGTCTTGAGTTTTAATCTGGATGAATACCGCAAGCAATTTGTACCGGTAAGTTCCTGGCTTTAATTTCACAAACTTCACAAACTCTCTCAGCCAGCACGCCCATTCCGTCCGTCATCTCCAGCCCCTCAACATCCTTCTCATGAGCCCAAACCGCAACAGAATGTTCTTCCACATCGACTCTGGCCTCACCACCTTCTACCACTACTAGAAAATTAACCTGAACACACATCTTCCTAACCTCAACCCCTCCAACCATTGTGTTCGTCTCATGCTCAAAAGGTGGCAAAAGCTCTTGCACTACACGGATGACCTTGAGACCCGTCTCCTCTCCAATCTCTCGTGCCAGTGCATGAGCCAAAGTTGGATCAGTAGAGTCAACGTGTCACTTGGGGGCTCGAACACGTTCGGGTAGTAGATCTCGTGAGCGGCATGCTTGAGAAGGAGGAGTTTGCTGATTTTGAGGATTATTGAGCTGATGACAATCTTGTCGAACATGAGAACCCCGCTGGAGAGGTTCGTTTGCTGAACTTGGGAACAGGTCATGTGGAGGTTGGTGAAGGAGGAAGCTGAGAGCGTGCCTGCAAGATATGGTCCTGAGATGATGCCTGCTGGTTTTTGTTGGTTTTGAGGTATCCATGTTCGCGAAAGTGGTATTCTCTTGATGCGCCGAAGAGAAAATTCGGAGATTTGTGCAGAGTTGAAGAGAGTGCAAGTGTTTGGGAGAGGTTTTCAATTTTGATATCGGCAAGCTGAACGTTGGGGGGTTTGGGTCCTGGTTTATTAACGACCAAACAGTTGCAGGCTAATCACCTTTCTCCTTCCTGACTACCTTCCGCAGTTTAACGATGCATCGATTGACTGCGGGACTTGAGCTCATTCTTCGATTAGAGTTATAGCCCCCGCAAATGCGGTGCTGCAATGAAAGTAGCGAAATATTTGTACTCCTCTCCGCAATAGGGGCTCGCTCAGGGCAATTGTTAGAGTGCGGGGTAATATTTGGGGGCCAAAATAGCGGGGCTTCATTGTGTCACCTCGAGACAGCAGTACGTACGGTGCCAGTTATACTGGCAGAGGGGCAAAGCTGGAATTGAGGAGGGAATTTATTGGTGGTGGGAGAAGATGGATTATACGGTGATTATGAGCGCATTGGTCATGCTGAAGGAGGTTGATCGGAGGAGGCACATGGACGGATTCAACTTGTTTGGTCCTTTTCATGAGGAAAACCCCAGTATTTGATGGCAACGAAAGCTGACAAAGAGCGGCCAGAAATTAATATTTCAGTTTGCCAGGCCTAATGTGGCTGAAATCCTTGTGAGTTTGATGCACCTCGAATGCACTTCATCGGAACACCGAGTGCCAGAATAGAAATGTGGCGCCCCCTGACAGCACCCAAGTGTAAAAATTCTCGCCTCCCTCCTCCCTGCTCCCTTACATCTTCTGAACTCTTTCAAAGGACCTTCAGCTCAACTTTCTCTCGAGGATGGCTTTCGAACGTTTGGCAACCGAAACTTTGATTGATATAGTCAAGTACGCGGGGATCGATGGGACGACATCCTCATGGCTCAGTCTAGCAAGCTGTAACCAAAATCTCAACCGCATCGTGACTCCGATGCTATACCTAAACTTCACCGAGATGGGACGCAGTTCTGTTCCCAAACTATTGCGAACAGTCCTGGCGACCACTCAACTAGCTACCTACGTGCGGAGGTACACTGGCCCCGGATTTCCGAATAGAGAGTTCTTGGATGTCTCCGAACTAGCACAAGCTGACTTCGCTGCCTGTCAAGAAAGAATGAATGCCTTCCAAGATACCTTGAAGGGAACAGGCGCTGCACTAGAAGACATCGAGAATTGGATGCCTCGCATCCGACAAGGGAGGTGGCATGCTGTGACTAGCATGCTTCTTCTTCTCCTCCCCAATTTAGAGGGCATTGAGATGATCGACTATCGACATGACGAGGCAGGAGATATGGAGCACGCTCTGGGAATAGCGGCCCGTCTTCAAGTGTCCGGGATATCAACTCAATCCTCACTGGAGCATCTCACCGACCTTTCTCTCTCCCCCTTCGCACAACCAGACGTGGCAGAGGCCGACGACCCCCTCGGCTTCTACCTTTGGCCGGAGTCAGAATACCTGCATTTTTCAGATATAATGCCTTTCTTGAGGCTCCCATCTGTCCAGTCTGTAGCCGTTTCCAGACTAGCCGTCGATAACGCTCGCGATCGCCGGCTGGTCTACCCACCAGAAAACTACCAATTCAGCACCAAGAAGCTAGAAATCGCCAATTCCTGCTTAGATGCGTGGTGGCTAATCACATTTCTCCGCCTCTTCACATCTCTGCGCAAATTCTCCTACAATCACGTCGCCAGGGAGCAAGAAGACCCCGACTTCCTGCCGCAGGAGATCGGGCAGGCAATCGCACATCTCCATCCTTGCTTGGAGGAATTGGAGATCTCTAATTCAGGCGAGGAGAACGGAGAGTGGACGACAGCGAGGGAAATCGGCTCCTTGGCTCAATTTGAAAGGCTGAAGAGCATAGATGTGGATTGGTCCATTTTGTTTGGGTTCCCAAGCGGTTTGGATGGGTCAACGCTGGTGGTGCGGCTATGTGAAGTTCTTCCGAGAGCGTTGGAGAGGTTGGTCTTGCGTCACAGTGGTGGCCTGTGCTGTGAAGAGGATTTGAGAGAGTTGCTGTGGGTGGTAGAGGAGAGATTTCCGGAGTTGAAGAGGATTGAGATGAAGGGATCGCATTGTAACGATTCTGGAGCACTGACAAGGGATTTCAAGGCCAAGGGCGTAGAACTTTTGGCACACCCTCCCAAGTGTAACTTTGGGACAAAGAAAGTCAATTTTGAATAGACTTCCGGCAGCGTTTTATCGTTCACGCTCACCGTACTTTGGTCAAAGAGACTTAATGCCTTGCTCCTTCTACTTTTAAAGCAGGAACAAGTAGCATAGTCTCGTAGATACAGCATTCTTTGTCGAATGCACCGCTCGCATCGAATGGTTAAGAACACAAACGAGAACCTTACTCGTTCATCAACAAGACAAACTTTCCTCAAAAAAATATATGAAGAGATTCAAGACTGAGAGATGCATTGTAGTAGTAGGCCATGAGGTGCGTTTCCTCAACTGTGCTCTATATTAACCCGAAGTTTTACAGAATTTGAGTATACTCGTCGTCAATGACGTAGAAGAAGGCAAATTGCTGTAAAATAAGACGCAAAAGAATGACAACAACAAGGACCTTGACGATAAAATTGGACGTGTAAAACGGTCCAGTCTCACGCTCGTCGAGGATGAATTAAACCTAGGAGGTGTACCCTTGTACAACGATCCAAACCAAAGGGCAGCTGTTGCCCACCCCTTCCCCCTTCTCCCTTGTACTACCATGTTATCTTGAGAGACGCCTTTGTCTCGGAAGTGCCGACAAGGCGATGCTTTTGAAAGACAAGCGAATACGCACCTTCCCTGACTGTACTACATGCAAAGCCCCCAGGCCGCGATAGGGGCGCTTCAGTCGCTTGACTCGACCGAACCAGATGATTGTGCTACCTCACCTCTATGCATTCAATCGCGATCTCCTCCCAACACCACTCCACCCCAGCATCCCCTCCCCTGCTTAATCTTCTTCTTCCAACAACCTCCTCATACACACAGACCCACGGTATCTGACGGCCTCTCACCCGTCAAACCCCGACACGTATAGCAACACGTCCGACCCGATCCTTGAAACCTGATTCCCCAAACTCTATTCACCCATTTCGCCAGCCACCCCGCGTTTCCCACATGCATACGGAACAATCCGAGGCAAGCCCCGTTTCGGTTGCCACTCCACAAAGGTGTGCCCGTAACGAGAACAGAGTTTCTGCGGCGACTTGAAGAAAGGTTTATCGGGTAAATGAATAGCAGATACCGGTACCGAGTTACCGTACCTCCGGATCATACTGTACTTCGAGATGTTGAGGGCTAAGTGGGGAAACAAGGAAGGGCGAGAATTTGAACGAGTTCAGTGTATATAAACAGGGCAATATGTAGAGACTAGAAAATCATAGATACAATTTGGATATCGAACGCCACGCCAATGATGCAGGCTCTTGTAAGCCCATAACGCCGGCCACTCAGTTATGAATACAAGCATCAGCCCTTTTCAGTCTGTCTCCAAATCCTGAATGCAAAATCCAAAGCGCCGATCATATGCTCCGTCCCAACGTATATGGTATGTATTTCAGACAGCTTTTCCCATGCTACAAAAAGTATAATGCATAATATCCAGCCGTTACACTTCATCAAAACGACACACGTCCCTGAATTCCGGGTACTTATCCGCAAACGGTTTCTTCATGCTCATATTGCTGATATCGCTCAGATGGCGATCCAGCATCGGACTGACCATGATCTGGCCCTCTTGGAAAATGAGTGCTTTCATCGGATCGTGTGGGAAGTTGACGCTCAGGTTTGCGGCGTAATCGCTTTGAAATTCCACGTTGTTGTATTTATCTTGGTTCTCGATGACCTTGTCGCGGAACTTGCCCCAGGGAGGGAGATCCATCCACGCGGGGTGGGCAATCATGAGTTGTGAGGGTCGAGGAGCTTGCCATTCGTGTAAGGTTTGGTAGGTTCTGTAGGTTGGTGATATTTGCCATTGTACGAATCTGTACATACACATGAATGAGGCAAGTTTCTCAGGTATGAGGGCAAAACCGCGTCTTGAGAGGACTGCGGAGTAGCGGGCCATGACCTCGGTGAGAGTGGACGGCTTCTTTTCTGGTGGTCCTGGCTGGTTGAAGAGGAGATGCACCGAAGGGAAAGCTGGCCCGACCAAATCTGTGCCGCTGAGACCGTCTGCCATTGCCATGCGGCGTTGAGAGTGAATCACACCGAACATCAGCTGATCAACAAGCGTAATAGGGGCTTTGAGCTTGGTCGAGATCTGCCAGGCGTAGATCGAAGGTTGAGACTGCCAACATGTTGTGTTGAACGCAGGTTGGTTGCTGATCACTTCCTCGAACCCAGAGGGTTGAAGATCGGCGAATCGGGAGGGTTGGGAAAGGGCCGGATGAAAAGGAGCCCAAGCTGGAACTGGTTTCGTTAGACTCTGTGAAGCTTGTGATCCGAAGACCAGAGGGTCATCCCAGATGGGAATGGCATTTGGGGTGTACATTTGCTGTGACACTTCATCGTCATACGACGAGGTTGTAGGATATGATGCAGCAACCGTGGACGTGTATCCCGCTACGGAACATGGCATCGAGCTGCCCATCTCGGCCATATGTGACGGCACCTCCCCAGACCAATGTGACGACTCGGCTGGCATCCAGTCCAGGGAGACTTTCTGTGGTATTAAGAGCTCCTCCGGTATTTCTGGCGGGACCTGCGCCGGAGCAACAGATGGCTGGTGTGTGGCGACTTGAGCCCGCAGTCTCTCGATCTCCTCCTCAAGTTCTTTGTTCCTCTTGATCACCCGCTCCATGCTGCTCGATCGGCCGCCATGCTCCAGCTCTTGCACCTTCTTCTCCAGATTGGCAATGTGTTCCTTGGTTCTCTGTCGGATATTTCGTTGGGCCTCTCGGTCATTCGCTCGTTTCCGTGCCAGCTGGGCTTTGCTCAAGTGACTGACTGACCTCTTTCCGCCTCGGGAACCTCGACAGAGCTGTCAGCATAGGTAGGCACCGGTTGGGGCAGAACGCCACAAACCTTTTTTCCTGGGCTCGTCGTCCTCCATCGCGGCTGGGCTGTTTGAACTTCGACTACTTGACATTGGTGTAGTGGACATAATGTGCACGGCCAGAACTGGCAGATATGTTTGTTGATGTAGGGACGCGTCGGGTGGGTAATGCCCGTCAAAGTGAACTGCAGCTAAAGGATCTGAAATATGGGGCGCCCAAGGGAAGTCCAAGATGTGGTGCGAAACTCTGGAAGCGTTTGCGGGGCACGACAGATATATCCCGAACTGCGGGCGTATCTCCCCCAGGCAGGGGCGGATGCGCGAGCTTTGATATTGTGAGATGTCTGAAATTGAGGCAAGTCCCGTAGAGACATTAATCAGTTAGAGGTAGCGGCTTGGGCAATCCTCGGGATCAGCAGCCATGCCCCAATAAGGGTCTGTCGGACTCGGCGTCTCTTCAGATGGCTATCGAGTCGCTAGTGATGGCGCTGGCGATGGCGAATTGGCACGACGCTGGGTCAAGCCGGACGGGAGAGGGGCGAGGTTGGAGGGATATCCAAGCACCGCTAGGGCGTGTCGTGTGGGCATCGCATCGCAATCACAATAATAATGCAATGGCATCGACGGAGGCTGTCGAGGAAGGCCTTTCCCAATCCGGGGGTCTGGCGTCGATAGTGCACAGGTGCAGGTCGGTGGGTGCAGTGGCTCGATCGTGTCTCACTCAAAAATGTCGTCCTGAAGGCAGAATCCTGAATCCTGGCCGGTTATTCAGCCTTTTCTGCGAGAGAGCTGATTGGGGAGAGGAGGGCGAGAGGAGGGCGAGAGGGAGAGAGGTGTTGCTTTAGCAGAATAGGGTTTGCAAGGCCCTGCGAAAGACCCTGCTCTTGCGCCCTCTCTGGCGGAACCCTGCTTACTGAGGGACGTTGGACGGGCCAATCACACGCGCCAGGGACATGGCAACGAATCGAAACGGCAGCAAAAGGGGGTCTGGGGCAGGGGCAAGGGCAGAGGCAGGGGCAGGGGCAGGAACGACGTCAAAGGGACGGTGAGCTGGACTTACACTTCCCCTCCTTCGGCCAGGAGGCCCTGGAGACCAACACCGCTCTCCTGCTTCAAATCGACCTTCCATTGTTTCGAGAAGACTTCCACCAAACTCTGTCCCGCTCTCAACCATGCGCCACGTGCTGGGGTTGAAAGACGTGCAACAAAATCACTCCGGACGGCATGGAAAAGGCGACTGACTGATCCCGGGAAGGCAAAGGATGACCTGGAAGGCATGCTCTCCCCTGTATCGAACATTCCCTCTGCATCTACTCCGTATTCAAACGCTATGCAATGCATGAAGTCGGGCATGAAACAGGGCACCACGTTGGAACGATCAGATGCGCGAAGCGGGGGAGGGACGGTGGATGGGATGGCGCGGGATGGGATGGGGTTGGAAGAGTTCCTGGCACATCAAGAGAACGTTTGCCTGAAGCTCCCCTCCGTCAGCCCAGGTTGCTAGCCGTGAATGTCGGATGCTGCCCCTGCATTCCAAGAACCAGCTGGTGTTGACAGAGGAATCCCTTCACTTCGAAGACTCAATATGGCGACAACTGCATGCCATGGAACCCAACAAGAGTATATGCCCCGTCTCGTGTGGAAAATCTCCGGGACATCATTCCTCCACCGCTTTCAATAGCATTCTTTCGTCTTGAACAGCTATTGTGACACTTCACCGTCTTTCTGCAATCCACATAGTTACCCTTCTAAGCAAGTTATTGCCAAACTTCCAGGAACAAGACCAAGGTCTTTCCTTATATCGTTGAAAGCCTCCATACCGCACTGGATCGCATCGGGTCTTCTCTTCTCACGTACCTTGATGAGGCTCTGCTTCGGAAAGGACAACTTCACATGCTACTTTCTAAACAATTTCCCTACGCACAGCATTTTGACGGCCGCGCATAGCAGCACGAGATCACGCTTTGATTCATGCCTCTGTCAAGAAGTAATTTTTGCAAATTATCTCCCCTTTCCAAGCACGGATGAACAACAATATCTTGGTACACAGTCGAAACATATTCAGCAACACGCATCTTCGATCTGAGTCATTAAGATCGAGGAGCACACCACAACTCATACACGGAGATTTCGCTGCTCGCATACCGCGCCAACGAAGCACCTCGAGACTACATATGCATCTCACCCGGCTTCCACTTCAAACAGTTTCCGGTGGTAAACCCTAAATAATTTGCTCCCGCTCCCAGCTGACTGTTACTTCTGGCTGTGTTACAGCCAAACCTCCGGTTGGAGACCACGCAGGTGTCGGCCGCTGAGCCGTCAAAGTGAGAACCAACAACTTCGCTCGAGCCCCTTTTCTACTCCGACCGCTGTTCTCCGAGAATCGAATGGGAAGGCCCTTGAAAACACTCATTATTTGGATCAATTAACCACACGCCCTGAAAGTCTACCTCTGATTGCTGCTCTGTCTTGCTCTGACGGGAATTCCGGATCGGATTGTGGTTGCGAAGCACACGGTGACGGCGCCTCTATTCCGCTCGCACAGCCTCAGAGCTACCAAAATAGCCTCTCTCAAACCTTATTTGCTTTGTGATACTTCGGCGACTATTACATTCAACATGCCAACTCAAATTTGAAGTTTAACACTGCCTTTGAACAAGGTCCGGTCAGCTCTCATGGAACGCAAGGCATCCTGAGAAGAGGCCAATATTTCCGAGCTGTCTCCGTCCCGAGCCTGCGACGCCAAGCTGCTCCTAGTGCTCCTAGTGCTCCTTCGTGCAAACTCAGGCGGTCCGGCTCGACTCTAGCCACCTCAGCCTCAGAAGCAACGCACTCATCTCGATGCCGAGCCATGTTGGTGCGAACCATTGCACGGTTTTAGTGAACCATATTTCCCGAGCACTGGGAGTCGAAGCCAGTGCGCAAGAAAGTATGCAAATTCTTTTCTGAGCCCTCGATCTTAAGTTCTTCCCCATGCACGCTAACGCGGGAATTTCTGATTCCTATGCATTTCCGAGATTCCTGTCTCGAAAGCTCTCGAAACGCCGTGACATCCTACGTGCTAGCAGTTAAGCAGGGGTAAGGTCAGTCCTGTAACAGTTTGGGATGATGCAACCGATATCTAGATATCTCAAGCGGTAGTTTTGGCATCTGTCAACTAATCGTCGGGAAGGAAAACCCCCCCTCCCCCGGGCCCAAGTTCGAATCCCCACAAGGCGAGGCCGGCAGTGAGAAAGCTCCACACAGCGAGACTCCTCCGAATTTTGGACGCCAAGTCTAACTAACAGTCCAAAACAACCAACGAGAAAGCGCAACAACCGATCAGGACAACAACATTACCAAGCAAAGTACTCATGCTCATCTCCCCAAAAGCATCGATCGCATCACCACTTCAAAACGAGCATTTCCTAAGGTTATTGGCCTTGGCACCGGACAGCTCGCCGATGCCAGGCAAATAAACTTTCCTAGCTCCCTTGTTTCCATGATCGGCAACCTTAATTCCCTTTTGACACTGCTCCTCGATGCTATCGTGACTATCTGTATCCCATTATTTCCGTTATCAGCGTTCGGAACTTCGGGGGTTGAAGAGTCGGCATGCTGCTGCAGGACTAGGTTTGATACCCCTGGGGCTAGCCTCTGTATAATCTGCCTTTCCGCGTAGCTTCATGTACGCGATCGGTGGTTGTTGCACTGATTGTCAGGTGCCCATTACTCGTTCACTTCCTTCTACTCATGTCGACGGGGTGAACGTTTTCCTCCAACTCTTCCATAGCTGCCATAGCTTTGTATCTAGGGTACAGAAGTCCAGGCTTCGCTACAACGGCTGATCTCTCATATCAGAATACTTTCCGCGCCCTTTTGTAGTCCTACTCCCTTACGGACCTGCTTCCGGCACTTCCCACTTCCATAAGTGTGCTATCGATCTCTGGTTTTCTCTGTTCCTTGGCCATCCCCTGTTGACATCTCCGGCAGGGCATCCGAGACGAGTGCGCTAAAACCCCACGATTATTCCACGAAGCCGCTAGAACTTGAAGCAGATCTCCTCTCGTGTCTTCCACCCCTTTGCATCTTGCATGAGATGGTGATGTTCAACCAGGATACACCGCTCAAACTTCGGCTCGGTGTGAAAGAACCCTTCCACAGTGACGTGGTCATACCTCTCCCAATCCCCTCACACCCCTCAGTACTCAAACTCAATCCAACTTTTTCGATTCCGTCAAATCCCGACTTTCAAAGGCCGACAGAGTCAACGCACGCAGACAGAAACAGCCATCTCTTTCCTACGATTAAATCTTCAGGTTGATTCTTCCACACGGTGTGCCTGCAACTGCTGCCACCACCAACACCAAGCCATTGTCAAAAAGCGCCATAACACCACACCACACCACCCACCTCTGTATTTCTACAGATTCACAGGTACCAATAACCCCCCTTTAGTCACACCGACAAGAATCTTAGCGTCCATGTCCTGAGATATTCCTCGGCTCCACCCCCGAGCCATCCACCGAAAGAAGACAGGTTAGCCGATGTTCTCACCGCAATAAGCCACCTCTCCACTCAGTTCCCGAGCTTTCCTAGTTCTGTAGCCAATCATCCCGCCTAACAAGAACATTCAGTTTAGCTCGACGCGTCCGAGGCTACAGCCTTGTTTTCTCAATTTACGGTGAGACAGCCAGTGGTGCTGTGACGCTCGGGCATGAATGTCGGAAAACCTCTTTTCCACTTCAGTGCATTGACTTGCTGCTCTCACTCGCTCTCTACTCTCGTCAAGTCCAATCACCTCTTCGTCGTTTCTGATTATTGTAGCATCCCCCACAGAGTCTTTTCCTTCCGCTCAGCTCATCGAAGCTCACGTGAGTGACGGATTCCCTCTTTGATGGCCTCCCCTCCGACATTACCCTCCATCCCTCAGCAGCTCTCGAAATCCCAATCCCAGGGCCTAGCGTCACCCGTCCAAGCCTCCTCGATATTCTTCTTGCTTTCTCCCAGCTCCCAACTTCTCCCTCTGTTCCAGATTTCCCATTAGCGCATCTCGTCTCATCCATCCGTCCATCCGTCCGTCCGTCCATCTAGCCCAATTTCTTTGAAGCTGCTTGCCTCCAGGCTCCAGCTGACCATCTACCTGATCTAGAGCTCATCCGTCTGGCCGCAGCCTCATATGATCCACTATAATGCGGGCCATAATGCTACCGCCAAGTAGCCGGTATATAGCCGACCTATGCCCCCAATCTAGACACATCCACTCTCCTCTCCCAGCTTCCTGGCAAAATTGTCTGTCTAGATTTCACGCGTGCTTGTGTTCCAGCCTTGAGCTCGTACTTACTCACATACAAAAGCCGACTCCAGACTCCAGACTTTAGAGTCTGGATCAAAGAGCCTCCACAGCAATCCCAACCTCTTCATTTTCTAATATCGATAGCGGCTGTCATGTTGGAGACGGCTCAGGCCTCATCTCCATGTACAATACAGTGCCTCATGACTGACTGGCCTTGGAGCGAGAGCGTTCTGAAAACAGAGCAGCTTCGGTACAATGAAAGTCAACAACCAAGGCGCTTGGCTCTCATTTGCATTTTCATTTTCATTATCACTCCTCTCACTTCACGTCCCCACAAACAGAGCATCACAGCAAGATGTTGAAAAGAGGAAGCTTTATTACTGTCACTCCACTACCACGTACTCTTCTACCGCTTCTCTCTCATAATTCATCCTTTTCAATCAAACCAAACCGCGTAAAAATCAAAACAGAAAACTCCAAAAAAAAAACCCCCCAGCCAGAAAAGCAGGGCGTTAACTAAAGCCTCAACGCCGGTGTCAACCCCGCACGCAAGCCCGGCACCGGGCGCCTCGAGACTGCCTCCAAGGAACCGAACAGCAAGCAACAAAACGTAATTTCATACAACCATTCATCTCCTTCCCTCTCTATCCAATCTGGTCCAGTGCCCCCCTCTCAATGCTTTCAAAGCAAGAGGGTCCATCTAGCCAGTCCTTGGACTCCTCCGCCTCCCCATACTCTGCGCAAGGATATTCGTATTCTCTCTCCCTTCGGCCGGAACAACACTCTTTTTACCACTCTTCAACACGGGAAGATTGCCTCTATTCGCAGTAACACTTCTCTTGAAGCTCGGGATCGAGGTGACTTGTTCCTCATTTGAACTCGCGCTTGGTGCAGGGACGGAAGTGACGTTGATATCCATCTCTCGCAGTCCTGTGGAGCCGCTTGTGGTTGGTCTTTGGTCGTGCTCGCGAGGACGGGATGAGCCGGCTGGGACGGAAGCGGAGAATTCTCGCAACTGGGAGTGCAAGGTGGATGGTGTGTCATTGAAGATGACGGGGACCGTGGAGGTGGTGCTTTTGCTGGGGCTTCGCATGCCTGAGCTGGAGCTTGAGGGTCTGCGGAGGACGGCTAGAAGGGTTTCGTGGGCTTCAGTTCGGGGAAGGGTGGTCGGGTATGAGTATTGGACCTTTTGGGGCGTCTCGCCTGTCGGTTGGTAATCTTGGAGTTGCGTGCTTGTAATGTTTTCGCGCAACGTGCTCAGTGGTTTCCGGAGGACTGAGTCCAGCGGCTCGAGGCTGTCTTGTAGCGTGGCCGTCTTGGTTGACATCTCATCTCCCAGGGCACGCACTCGTTCGTGTGTGGATGTGAAGTGTGAGCCAATGTTCGAGTACGACGACTTGACTGTGCCCGAGAGGCTTTGCAAAGACTGAGCGTGGCTGTCGTGGTGTTGGGCGTTCTGCGAGCGGGCACGTGTGACGAAATCATCCAGAGCGCGCATTTGCGATTCTATGTCCTTCATCTGCTCGTCCACAATACGGACTGTTTCGGCGTGGACGGATTTAGTAGCCTGTTGGAGGGATGCGTTGTGCTTGTTTGCAGCCTATGAATGTCAGAAAGATCAAAATATAAGCAACACTGCAGTCACTTACCACCCAGTCTTCCTTCAATTTGCTCTTCAAGGTCTCCCGTGACCGGAGGACTTCCTCGACAAGCTTGCCTTCTTTGTCGTTCCAGGCGTCCATTCCTTGGCCATATTGTACTCGAGATGCCTCAAATGATTCCTTCGAAGACAGAACATCCTTCTGGACCTCTCCAATCTTTGCGGTCAGTCGTGCATCTTGGGTCTCACCCTGGGCCATGACCAGGCTCGTGATTTGGCAAAGCAGAGTCTGACGGTCGGCAGCCGCTTGCTCTTTCTCCTCTCGGAGGATATCCTCAAGTTTCGTAGAGGCGGCGGCATTGGCTTGCATTGCAAGCTCACTTGCCGTATTCAATTGATGCCGGAGTGCATCTGCCTCGGTTTTCTGTGCATCGATGTGCTTCAGAAGATCCTCAAACAGACTCTTAAAGTCGCGACCAAGGGAGCTGTAGGACGTGTGCAGCTACCAACGGTTAGTGCTGATAAAAAATAGTTCATGGCATATATGAAATTACCTGAGTGTGGAAAGCACCAAGCTCACTGATCACCTCTGCTGAGATACGTTCTGCAGCGGCTGAAAGTCCTTGAAGCCCCTCTCCAACGCGATCTTTGACACCCTCTCGAAGAGTCTTTATTTCTTCCAGAACAGCATCCATCTCCTCCTTGGCAGACTTTGTTTGTTCCGAAACCTCCTTTTCGGATCCCTCGAATGCAGAAACATTTGCTTCCAGGAATGCTTGGGTGGAAGACAACTTCTCCAGTTCGCCAGCCACAAACGATTGCATCCTGCTGGAAACCGCTCCCATGAGCTCTTGCTGTTGGATGCGGAACTCCTCGACTCGGCTCTCGACTATGCTGGTAACCTCTGACACTTGAGCTTGTGAAAGACCCCAAGTATTTCGGTTCAGCATGTGAAGATCTGACTTCCTCCTGTTCTTCTCATGCAGCCCTCCAACATCATTGACCGTCTTGCTTAAAGTGGACATCAGCTCAGTACCAACAGTGCTGAGTTGTTCTTCAGTCTCCTGGTGAGCTTTCCGAAGCATCTTCTCTTCTGCGAGCGCCTGGCGGGTATTGGCGAGCACGAATTCAGTTTGCTCAAGCACACCCTTCGTCTCATCGAGAACAGCTTTCGTGCCATCGTTATCCTTCTTCAAGGTCATAAAGCTCGATGTCAAAGTATACAATTCCTGCACTTTATTTCGAAGGTTGATCTCCATCGTCTCAATCTTTGCGGCTTGTTCTTCACTGAGGATACGCCGCGATTCGCTCTCAACTGTTATCTCTTCAAAGTTCTCATTTGTGAGGTAGACGCCGTTCTTTTGTCGAGTTGCGATGAGCTCGCTCTTCAATCTCTCGATTTCGAGAGTGAAATCCTTCAGTAAAGTTTTTTTGTTGATCATTTGGTTGACCTGAGGCTTGTTGCGGATGTTCTTCGCTCGGAATGCGTAGTCCAGAGTCGATATCGTCTCTTCAAGATTGCTCTTCGCGGGAGAAACAGTTGCAATAATGCAGGTTTTCGTACGTCCGCCCAGAGAGTCTTGGAGTAGTCTAGTCAATTTCGATTCGCGGTACGGAATGTGAGAACTCCGGTCAACGAGGGCATTAATAACTCGACCTAGAGTCAACAAACTCTTGTTGATCAACCCAGCTTCAGCAGCACGCTTGTTCTCTGCTCCGCTTCGTTGAATGTTCTCACTCCCTGCCAAATCCACGAGATTGAGCTTTCCCGCGCTGACATAGTCCTCGCCGTTTTCTGCTGTTCGCTTGATGTATGCCGTAATCGTGAAGACTGTATGACTACGACTGCTCAAGTCGTTACATTTGGTAGCAGCGACCTGTCGCTTGTGACTTCCCTGCTGCAGTAATTTCAGTCCTTCATTGGCAGTCTTGATGTGAGATTCCTCCATTCCTTGAACGACAGTGCTCACACCCCGCTTGCCGCTGTTATCGTCGTAAATTTTCAGTTTTGCAGTCTCGTCGGCGGAAATCAGGTCGCGGAGCTCTTCGTTGTAGAGTTCGATAAAGGAGCATTTCACTGAAGATTCGGCGTCGTCAATCTCCAGTTTATTAAACAGCGATTGGAGAACTCGAGGTATTATTCCGGCAGCTTCAGAAAGCATCCCAAATGTCTCAGTCATGTCACCGGACATTGTGTATGTCTTTCCAGTACCTGTTTGTCCATAGGCGAATATCGTGCAGTTGTACCCTGCAATCATCTAGAAAATGTTGGTATCATCAATGAAGCTACATAGAGAAGAACTTACTTCGTCCAAGATGGGTGTCACAACATCATCGTAAATCATGGCCTGATCCGCTGCTGAAGAGAAAACTTTATCGAAGTGATAGGTCTTGTTGCTGAGAGCGCTGGGGCCCATTGAGAGTTCCAAACTCTTGGCCTTGACCCCTTCTGTTGACAATACAACACCACTATTTTCTCGAACTTCGCGCTCATTGCGACCTCTACATCGTACCACGACATTGATATTGGTTTCTTCATCTTCTTGTTCAAAATCCCGCTCTTTTCGTTTCGTTCCCCCCTGCGTGGTGGCTATCGAGACCATAGACTCTGCTGGTGATGCTGCGCCAGATCGATCGATTCGTGATGAGGGTGGCGCAACTGAATGTGATCTGGTCGTCGAAGGCCTTGGTGGTGGTCGCATACTGCTTTTTCTCGTGGGCACGACAGATGCCGGCCGAGGGAGTCCTGCCATATAATTGTAGACGGTTTTGTTGATATCTCGAGGGTTGAGATGCGCCGATATCGAATGCGCGTCGCTGATTGCTCAAGATGATATTTTCGTGTTGATTTGTAATCCCAAGGTCGAAAATGTGAGATTAATTATGGGTTCTAATTCGGTATTCGAGAGTGAGTTCGAATACTGTTTTCGAGAGTTCGTTGGCGATGTCGTCGGTTGTTGATGGCAGTAGAACGGGAATGAAAACCCGAGGTGACTTCCTGCTCTCGTTGACCCAGCAACCCTGCCTGCAGGGATATTGCCCCTCCACGTTCGCGGGATGCACCTTCAACAATGACACAGCTCTAGACCGCACAAAGAGCAGGGAGCTACTCTTCTTCTCCCAATGCAGCCAGAATGTCACTTTTTGCAGCCCAAATCTATCCAGGGCAGGGTTTGGGTTTTCTAGGTGAGGTCTCTCCTAAAGCCTGGAGGCGCAAGAGCTCACAACAGATCAAGTGCTGGGAGCTTCACTCCACGATATCCTCACACGACTGAAAGCCGAACCGCAACGATTTCCAAAGTTAGATCTGGTCTACGAGTATACATCGCCCGTCAAGGAGCCAGTGGTGCTCAACCTTCCCACCAACGGCCTCCGTTTGCGATTCGATGGGCCACAGCAGCGGCTACGGTTGATTGAGGTCCTGGACTTCACGAAGAGCCAGCTCACCTACAAGGACAAAGATGTCTTGCGACCACCAACCGCGGCACAGACGGCTTCTGTGCAACCAGAAATCTTGTCGGGGCCGACGTTTCGACATATATACAACCGTTTGCTTGGCCCTACATTTCCTGGGGAGTACATCCAGCCCGAGACAGGCGATGAAACTGGAATGGGAGTCTACGTGCTATCATACCCAGGGATTGCTTTCACGTTCCCTCTGTCCGGCTCCTCGTGGTCTCCAAAGAAAGATGTCGTATCATTGCTGTCCTCTTCTACAAGCCATCCTGCTTCCTCGATGGCCATTTTCAAGGGAGATTCCTGGCCAGATGCACGGGAACGATTGTATGTGCAGACAATAGACCCCCGAGACACCTTTGCTGCTATATTCAAGGGTAAGGAGCCTGTTGCAGATGAAGTGCGACTTGTACGAATACATGGAGAAGGACATCTAGAGGTTGTGAGACCGGACGCGGTTCCTCCATTCTGGATCAAGCTGGGCTTGACATCCCCCCAAGAACTTGTTGCAGTTCTTGGGCCTCCAGATGCGATATATCGAAAGAATGACCAACGAATGTCTATTCATAAAGCTCGGCCAGCCTCCCGGACATATAGTCGAACAGATGAGAGGTTGCAAGATGATTCGACGGACACGGATCAGTCCTCGGCTCACACTGCAACCGATGACTCGGATGAAGAAAATGAGGATGGAGAGGTAGCAGGAAATGTGTCTGGAGAGTGTTTCTATAACTATTTCTATCACGGCTTCGACATATTGATTTCCACTCCCGCAACTCCATCACAATGTCCGCCATCCAAAAAGCCAGCAAATCCAGAGGGTATTGTTCCTACCAATGCACCAAGTCGTCTGGTTGCTTCCAAGGTAATACTACACGGAAACGTACCTGGATCATATCCCTTCAATCGGCATCGACGGTGCCGATGGGAGATCGTATATTTGAAGCCTGAGAAGGGCCAAGATGTTGTCAATTCAGAGAGCCCTTTTGAGGAGGTCGAAGAACGATTGCACCAGGAGTGGAAGAGTATCTACAAGAACACCGAAGAAGCCAAAGTTCGTCAGCGCGGGATGGTGTTGAACCGTGACTGGGGTGATAGCCCGGGTAGTAGCTGCGAATTGCTGGGTGGATGGGAAGAAAGTGTTGGAGGAAAGAGGACAAATCCTTCTGGAACGGAGGATGTCAGGGGATTGGGCAACACAACCCTCTTTGGATTTCCCGGGCTGGTATTTGAGGTGTTGAAGAACGGTACAGTGAGCGGACTTACGGTCTTTTGATACTGCATTGGAATTTTGTCTGGATCTTGCATGGATTAAGGCGTTTCTTGACTGGGATTATCGAGTTTTGCAAGCAAATCGGCGTCCCCGGGGATCATCAAGGCTTTATCGCATCTATTAGAAAGATACAATGACTCAATGAAGAGAGCGAATGTTACATTTCCATCCCAATGAGTCAATATCCCCATCTATATATGTGACTCGGCCCCCCTCGATTCCGGTTGCTGCCTCACCAAAAAATTTGAGCCTGAGTCGCGTCCTCCAAATGTCGAACCTCGAGAAAAAAGATCCAGCAGCTCCAAAACATGAGACCATGCCAGTACGACCAGCCAAGTCCTGGTCTTCGACATTACGATTGCCCAAATCTTCCTTTCCGTAAACTAATCCCCGAAATCCAGATCAATTGAGATACTGACAGTGAATCCAGACCTCGACCACAGCCCGCGGATCAACCCAAATACCTGAAGCGATGCGCCGATAACCTGTATGAGTGGCAGAGCCGCGAGCGAGCTGCCCAGAAGCCGTTTTTACTTCATGATGGTCCGCCATATGCGAATGGGGCACTGCATATTGGGCATGCGTTGAATAAGATTTTGAAGGATGTCATTTGCAGGGTAAAGGTGCAACAAGGTGAGTCAATCCACACTTCGCAGCTTCTGGCTCCTCCCATGAAGCTCTGTGAGGTCGGTGAACAGGCAATTGATACTGACATGGTTATTGTGCAGGTCGAAGAGTAGTCTATGTCCCCGGATGGGACTGCCACGGCCTCCCCATTGAGATCAAAGCCCTCGAGAAGCAACGAGAACTACACAAGGATGGAGAGGGCGTGCTGGATGCTGTTGGTGTGCGGCGAGCAGCTCGGTCACTTGCTACTAAGACTGTCAAGGAACAGATGAAGGGATTCCGAGAATGGGGCGTCATGGCAGATTGGGACAAGGCCTGGACGACAATGGATAAAGGTTTCGAAATCAAGCAACTTGGTGTCTTTCAGGAGATGGTGAAGAAGGGGCTGATCTTCAGACGGCACAAGCCGGTATATTGGTCGCCATCTTCGAGGACCGCTCTTGCTGAAGCGGAGCTGGAATACAAAGACGATCATGTGTCGACGGCAGCTTATGTGAAGTTTCCTGTTACAGGTGTACCAGAGGGACTGAAAGGCAAATTACCGGACGGTCAACTCTATGCGGTCATCTGGACAACTACACCGTGGACCTTGCCCGCGAATAGGGCGATTGCTGTACATCATGATCTGGAATATTCGGTTGTCGAGAGCGGTTCAGACCTCCTGCTCATTGCGAGCACGAGGTTGTCGCAGCTTACTGGGATGCTCTTTGGAGAAACGGAGGTGGAGTTGGTCCTTGATTCCCTCCGAGGAAGCGACTTGGTGGGGGCACAGTACGTCAATGTTCTCCGAGGCAAAGAATCAGTTCCTCAGCCGGTCGTTCACGCAGATTATGTTTCTGCTGAATCAGGATCCGGCCTCGTTCACATGGCTCCTGGTCACGGAATAGAAGACTATGATGTCTGCACTCCATTGGGAATCAAGGCCGATGCACCGGTCAACGACCTTGGCTGCTTCACCTCTTCTGCTCTTCCCGATGATCCGCATGCTCTGGAAGGCAAGTCAGTGCTTCATGGTGGAAGCTCCGAAGTGCTAAAGATTCTCGGAGACAAAGTGCTTGCCGTTCACAAGTACAAGCACAAGTACCCGTATGATTGGCGAACAAAGCTTCCAGTCATCTTGCGGGCCACGGAACAGTGGTTTGCTGATGTTGGAAGCGTGAAAGATCACGCTTTGAGTTCACTCGAGGAAGTCAGATTTATCCCTGAAGGGGGCCGTGCGAGACTGGAGAGTTTCGTGAAGGGAAGAAGTGAGTGGTGTATCTCGAGACAACGCGCTTGGGGTGTTCCCATCCCAGCACTTTACAATGAAGACGGAGTGGCAGTCCTCACTGACGAAAGTGTCGCCCACGTCATCTCTGTCATCAATGAGAGAGGTATCGATGCCTGGTGGACCGACTTACAGGATGACCCAGCTTGGGTTGTCCCAGGATTGGAGGGACAATACAGAAGAGGAACGGATACGATGGACGTTTGGTTTGACAGTGGTACCAGCTGGACCCAGTCAGATCAGCAAGCTGATGTTTATCTCGAGGGCACAGATCAACACAGAGGCTGGTTCCAGTCGAGTCTGCTAACCCATGTCAATGCATCTGGGAGAGAAGGAGCTCCATTTAAGACTTGCATCACTCATGGCTTCACGCTGGATCAAGATGGCAAGAAAATGTCCAAATCTATCGGGAACATCATTGCTCCCCGTCAGATCGTTGACGGGTCATTGCTCCCCCCGGTACAATCTCCATTCAATCTTCCTTAGCGAATTTGCTGACAGCTCAAAGGTGAAGACAAAGAAGAAAACCAGCGGGCCCATCCCTCAAGCGCTCGGCCCAGATGCACTCAGGTTATGGGTAGCCACCAGCGATTACACACGAGACTTGATCATCGGGCAACCCGTTCTTCAATTCAATCACACGGCACTACTAAAGTATCGCATGACTCTGAAGATGTTATTGGGATCCATGCACCCCAGCGCCCGTACAGCACCCATCACCAAGCTGGACCAAATTGCACTCGCTCAGCTCCAGATCGTGATGACCGAGGTCGCCTCCTCGTACGATAATTTAGAGTTCTACAAAGGCATCAACGCCATTAACAAATGGATCAGCAGCGACCTCTCCGCCTTCTACCTCGAAGCGATGAAAGATAGGCTCTACTGCGGTGATGGCGGTGGAGTGGTAGAAGAGATCTTCCACGGTGTCCTCCGAATGCTGACGCCCATTACTCCCATCCTCGTCGAGGAAGCCTGGGACCACCGTCCCGAATGGATGAAAGCAGAGCCTCAAATCCACCCATTCCACCGCACGCTCGATGACCCGATCATCTCCCCTGATCGCACTGTCCGCGACGACAACCTCCTCACCGATCTTCCTTGGCTCCTCAATGCCAACACGGCTGTCAAAACAGCGCAGGAAGAAGCCAGAGGTAAGAAGATCATCGGATCCTCCCTCGAATCTTCAGTTGTGCTTCAACTCCCTTCACAAGCTCTTGGTGTGTTTGAGCGCTATGCAGATGAACTTGAGACGATCTTCGTTGTCTCATCTGTGAAGTCAGGTGGAGAGGTGGAGGGAGCGTGGAAATACTGCTATGATTTTGACGTTCCGGGTGGGAAGGGGACGGCGTGGGTGGTACCGCCGAAGGAGCATAAATGCCCGAGGTGTTGGAGGTATGTTGCTCCATTTGAGGATGAGCTTTGTGGGAGGTGTGAGGAGGTTGTTAGTGTATCATAGTGCGTGGATTGTGCATAAGTTTTATGGTAAAGGGATACCCATCTCAACTTGATTTTGTGTTTCCACCTTTGGCTGATGCTCAAGTCTTGAAATGCCCACGAGCGAGGGATGCTTCAATATCATCCAACTTCTCGCGATCCTCACTGACAGTGAGATCGAGGCTGCCCATCAGCTCCTGTCCGTTGTAGAACTCCAGAGTTCTCCGGATACGGTACCGCAGACGCCCATAACTCGGTCCATTTATCCTTGCTGTCGTAGGCGCGGCAATAATAAAGCCCCATGTTCGGTGGCAGTCTGCTTGGAGGCACCTCCCAACATGGTCGGCGGTGTCGAGAATGCTCAAACATAAGGGACATTATGGTGGTTCGAGGTGATGCATGAGTTCACCAATTTAGAGGCTTTCTCTGATGAAGCTACGTCGTGACGAGAACATTTATGAAACTGATGATATATTTATTAACCTTCTGCTCGTCTGGCCGTGTAACTCACGACATATTGCAATGTTGACGGGGCAATCGAATTGGGACATGGTATATTTGAAGAGTACCCATCAAAATTTTGCGTACATCTACCTACTTCGTATATTAAAATGTCCATAAGTTTGTGCATTCCCAAATCTCCAGCTCAAAGCTAAGAATTCGAATGTACAACATTTCGAGGAACTTTTGAATAGCAGGCAATAATGGATGTACAATCACCTCTTTTCTATACATTGTATTATCTAGAACCGCGTTACACGCAGAGCAATGACAGTAGTTCTTGCGGTTAAGAAGGAGAGAAAATTTTGCGTCTGATGAAACCAGGAGACCCAACAGGACTCTCTTAGTGAATGGCAGACAATATGAATGTATATAGAAGACATTGGGGTATTCAAAACTTAAGGTTAAATAGTCAATGATTTAGAGTCTCTCTTCGCTCTTCCACCTGATTCTTTTTCTTCCTCGATCTCTCAAGACGGAAGTATAAATTTACCCATGGATTCCTCTTCTTGCCTGATTTCTGGTCCCCAACATCCTTTCAGTTTCTCACGTCTATATCCAACTACCAAACCCATTGTGAAGAGAAAAGCTTGCTTTCAGGAAAGGAACAGAAGATCTTCCCGACTGCTACGATGCCCTACTCAAGCCACCCAAATGGACAATTCTTCACCATCAACTCCAACACACCAGGCCAAGGCATAATCGCCTTTAACCCAGCACGGCCATACGCAAATGGCCAGTTCCTTAACCCGAATAATACAGGGGTGTTTTATGAAGGTTTTAAAAACAGAATCGATGATACCTGGAGGTTTGCTGGAGGGCCAAATGCCGGCCGGGGGAATCCTGGATCTGTTTGTGACATTTGTGGAAGACAGTTCGCAACTCAAAGGGGTATGCTAGTTCATCGGCATTGGCAGCACATCAGATGATATTGCCATAAGATAATGCATAGTGGCTTGGCGGTGGATAGAAAATGATGGTACTAACAATGTGGAACTCTCTCAGATTGTACATACCATCCACCAATAATTAGATTCCTCTTATTTTGGAGGGGTGGGAAGGGCCGTTCTCTAAGCAAAACTGGTCTGGCAGTTCGAATGGCATGGCCATCACGATAGCTTAGTGGTAGGCAGGAAGTGATGCATCAATAGTGGGCATGAAGTGCCCAGACTGGACATAGCAATCGATGGATATTGATATACTCTGTATTATTTAGAGACTGGCCGTTTCGCAAGTGAAACTACCCTTACCCAATTATCGATCGATAAAGTGATTGTATTCCTTGACCGTACCAAAAAGTAGATCTCTATTAGGTCTGGATAGGCAGCACGGAAATGCGCCCGATCAACCTCCGCTGATTTCCTCTCCAGGTCATATATAACCCCTCTCCCCACAACTGCCGATCCTATGACTGCTAAAGCAATATCTGAACCGTCAAAGCAAATAATTTCGTATTCCTGCTCAATCGGATATGGAATTAATAGACAATATCTCTTTCCAAGAACTACAGAGACTTGCAAACTGTAGTTCAAATCCGTGCTGGTCATCGAGAGTTCAAATTTCTTTGTGCGTTCCAGGTCATTGGTGGCAAAGTAGGATAATGTCAGCTCCAGGCTATCTATAGCTGTTCTAGAGTGGTCAATCCTTGGAATAGACTTATGCCAGTCAAGAATGTGTCCGTAATCTTGCGTCAGGGGAGACCATGCGGGGCTGGACGCAAAGTCTCCAACAATTTGAGCTGCTGATATCCGGTAACCTCCGCAAGTGATATTCCCTTTGATTCGTGGTTCCAGTGGCTCTAGCTCCATGCCCAATAAGTATGGTATTCCCGTTGGTTCCGTTATCTTCTTAGCATGTGCATGATCCGAGTCAAAATAGTCTCGTAGATCTAGCACCTCCTGCAGTAACTGCATCCATTGCACATGCTCCCGCCTACTCCCCCATCTAGACATGCTGGTCAAATAGGCATTCTCGTACAAAAGTACCAAGCTCCGGAATATGTGCAGGGCTGGTTTCGAGTAATCAACCACGATCCAATCATCCCCCTTCTTAATTGGCTCGGAGTCCGTTCTCAACTTCCTTTGCGCAAGGCCAACCAAGGCATAGACCTTATCTCTAGGGTCACTGCTACGGCAGCTTTTGTAAGCCTTCAACAAATCCTCGAGGCAATGCTTCTGAGATGTTCTGTGCTCAGTGAGACTTTTGGCTGGACTTGTGCACGCTTCCAGAAGCGACTCGTACTTTTGCCTGTCGCCTCGGCGCTTAATGAACTCTGTCTGCGCGGGCTGCCGGCTGAGATATCGAAAGAATTTCGATAGACTTGACCACCTCACCGTATCGTGACCACAGTGTACTGTAACCAACCGTGCTCGGAATATCTCCTGAATAATCCAGACACGATGCCAATACTCCCGTGCCATAATTTTAGGGATAGCCAATAGCTCCAATTCAGAAGCTCCGACCAAAAGTTCATCCATCGGCATATCCTTCACCCTTGGACCGGAGGATGGATGGAAGTTCTGTTCGATGAAATCGATGGCTAGCTTACTATCCTCGTCCGCCGGCCCCAACCATACAATAACCTCCTTCGCTATCCCATATATAGCACTCATCCTCGAAACCTGAGAGCCCCTCTCTTGTAAATCATTCTGATTTATACAAAGCGCATCGATCCAAATCGTCAACTCATGCTCCTCGGACCTCAGATGATATAAAGCCTGCCAGAGATTTTCCCTGACCTGAACTTGCATTCCATCTAAAGAGATAGTCTTTGGCGCTTCAGCAGTACCCCACGTGTAGGACAACGCTTTGTAGATCGGTTTGTTGGATTTGCTATTCGTTGTAATGTGCGTCAAAGAACAGTGGATTGGTGTCGTCCGAATTCCTGGATGCAAGGTGATTACTCTGATCTCGAGTTTGCTTGTGTCAAGGGGCTGGTAGGGGAATTGTCCTTCGGCTGGAAAGTTGCTAAGAGAGGCGTCACTAGGTCCATGTATTATTGACAGATTGGCCACCTGAGAGGCACATGCTTCGCTCCCAACTTCCTTCGTGCCATCCTTTGAGCTTGCGATGGGAATCGTTTCCTCACTTGGCTGTGAGACACCTTCTTCTGGTGCTGAACGGAGCTTCTTTCGTCCTGCGATAGCGATACCACTGTCCATCATCGCTGCAACTTCACAATTCATCGCATCTCGCGCTCGCGGTGTGGCGCAGCGTGACGGGCTGCTTTCTCCCTCCTTGACAAGGCCCGGAATGCTGTCTCCATTCCCAGATGCTCGAAGACATGGCTCAGACGTGGAATCTAACGTCCTTTTCATGATTTGGGGATCCAGGATCCGCCTTCGCTCATGAAGTAAGGTTTTCATGTGTTGAAATTAGGGGCCTGAGGCCCCTAATAGGCTTAGTAAGCCCTGGAACCGAGCCTTAGGGGCTGTGTACTAATGGGGCTTAAGCCATAGGCTTATTACTGAGTAAATTATGCCCTGTAAGGTTGATACAGGGCATAATATGCCCTGTGAGGCTAAATCGGTTCAGCTGAGGTTGAATGGTTCAGTATAAGGCTCTCTGGTTTAGGGGTTTAGTGCATGTGACTTAGGGGGTTCAGGGCTATATATACGGTCTACTTACCACTGTAGAACAGCAGTCAATTGAGTACGTTTTACTTGGTTTACATTGCAAGCACGTGACCCTAGCTATATTGCTTTAGCTAGTTCAACATCATGAAGGTGGATTTCTGGTCTTGTGAGTGTGCGATGAGGGGTTAGGTGGCTCAGCCCAACCGACAACCACAATGGGGCTGAGCAATTTTGTGACAGGATTACATTATTCGTCAGGGGAACATGACCATCTTACAGTGCTTAGAACCCTGCCAGCTAAGGTCAAAAAAAGAGACCAGCCCTTCGCTAGCATTCCTGCTCATTGAAAATACGCCAAAGTTCGTTCACCGCCCAAAGCTTCGCTTCTCCAAATTTGACGCTGTAGAATATAGCAGTTAGAGCAATCTTTTAATTCGAAAGTAGAAAAAGACAAGGCCCTAACAATTGAAGATATACACCATTTTCCATGGTCATCCCAGCACTCCACACCCAATTTCTTCCCCTTCACCATCATTATTTCTCTGTTGAAACTCATAAGGGGCTTTGCTTCGAATCCTCAAAGAGATGATTCTGACATAACTTACTCTTAAATTACCACATATTCGTCTTCTATCTCACCGAGAATACCCGAGCCTAGGAACTCCGATTCCGCCCCAAGGTCGAGGCCAAACCACTCGGAAAGTTCCTCGGGTATTGGCTGTTGCGAGCTTTCATTGTGTAGCTCTTCGTTTTGTCCTGATAGCTCATCATCCTGGCTTGCATGAGAATCATATCTATCCCCTTGCGTGTTGTCGTGAGGACTATATTCGACGACTTTCAACTGTAAGATATTGTTTCTATTCTCAACCGTCCGTTTGAAGCTAGCGCTGAGTTTATTGACCGGGGCAGCTCCTCTAGCTCTTCGGTTAGGAGCATGATTTTTGGTCGTGATTCCTTGGACAAAACTATATCATCCTCCTCATTAGCGTTTGTTCAAGTATCATGCGCAATTCGTACTCACTATCCCGGATCTATGAGACCCGCCCTCCTCCATGTATGCCATATTTAGCCAATTTCCCCGACCTTATCCACAAAAGCCAGATTTTGCCGATACACTCGTGCCGGAATCTTATCATACGCTTCTGCGATGCAATCGCGGGACGGTGGTGAGTCTCAGTTTGGTAGCTTCGGCATTCGTCTGTGATTCCACGCAAACCATCGATCCCAATATCGAGGTTCATTCTCTGTTCTAAAACGGCCTTCACCTGGTACCCGGTTGGTTTTTTTGTGAGGACTGGGTTTCGGATTTGAACATTTGCTTCCAGGTTGTTGGATGCGTCTCGCCGAATTTCGTTGTGACATGACTGCCCTTCGATCGTTTTGTCTCTTTGCTGTTATGTAATGTAAAAGGTGAGCAGAATCCTGGGGAAATAGTGAAGTATATCGATTTTGCTCTTCAAATGTGGCGATGCAGTGAGTCATGCGGGGAGTGGCTTGCCTTTCTCACAGTGCGGCTGTGCTAGACTTGATTTAGGTCCCATGTTTGACATCAAACTGACAGCATAGATGAGATTAGCTTTCAATGTTACTTCTTGTAATATTTATATTATAATGTTGAAATATATTGCAATGAAGTACGGAGGTACAGCCCATAATGATAGTAATAGCTCTAGCAGGGGTCCGAACTTTTCAACCTGGTATCGCATTAATAACGTATTGCAAAAACTTGAAAAAAGGTAGCACTACTATACGGCACTGTGATGGATATTTACAGCGTTTAAATGAGCTTTTTATGTTTTGTATAGCAAAAGTTATCGAGTATTGAATTCACGAGTTTTCTATTGACCCCTGCTAGCGCTATTACTATCATTATGGGCTGTACCTCCGTAGCAAGAGACGATCAATTGTTCAAAGTGTTAGAATGCACCTATTTGAAGCGAGAATGAGAAGCGAGACGTACAACGCATGGGGTACAGAACACATCCCGTACAAAAGACATCTCGTACAAAAGACATCTCGTACAGAACACCTCTTGCTTCATGCTGGGAAGAATGCGGTCATACAAGAGACACGACTCAATCCAGGTCCCGTAGAACTTCTTCATCACATGCTAAATTCTGGAGACCAACAAAGTAAGGACAGTCGCCCGTCTTCGAACCCGCTGTTGGGTAAACACTTAAAATGGAAAGAGGAATTTGACGTGCTAAATAATTGGGGGTCCCATGTTTTACCATTATTCGTATTTCCTAGCGTGACACCTTGGCGGCTAGGGCAGGATTTTACAGCGATATTAGTAACAATCGTCTAAATCACATTTACTGCGGTTGAATGTTGTTTTTGTATTTTTTAGAAGGAGAGTTATATGCCCGGGTAGTCACAACTGACAAAAGCTCCGCAGTCTACCCTAAACCAAGGCCATAGAGGTGTTCCCCAGCCACCGTATTCAAGAGTACCTGCAGTCTATACCCTAATATCGCTTTGCCCTTTATATAGTTATCGGAGAATATGAGATATTTCAATTAATACAGGTTTAGATACGCCGACCCTATAGCTAGTAATATACTAGTCTCTATAGTATTTAGTATATATAGAGAAAATAGAAATATAGTATATATCCTATACTTCCTCTTTTTAGCCTATAGGACTTTATATAGTATCCCAAAACTATCTATCTATCTATTATATATACTATAGCAAAAGCCAAAACTAGGAGAAATAAGAAAAAGACAACTATTCTCGATTTTTTCTAGATATCTATATAATTACTAGTACTATAAGTAATAGCCATTAATTAAGCTATAGAGAACTATTACTTTATTAGACCTTGAGTCTTCTTTTTATCTAATAAATATATATATTAACTATAAAGAAAGATATTATTATTAATTCGAATTCGGAATAAAAATAAAAGAATTAATAATAAGAGAAAAATATTTAATATTATATAGTAGTAATATAAAGTTCTTCTATTTCTAAAGAGATTTATAGATCCCTATTAGTAGCTATAAGCTCTTATAAGCTTTCTTTAGATTATTTCTAGATATCTAGAGTAATTCTCTATATCTTTTCTTCTAAGAAGAATTCCTAAAGAGCTACTTCTAGTAATTACCTGCTTAATCTCGGCTTTATAGACTCTCTTCTATTTCCTAAAAGTAATATAATATTAGGAATATAGGATATAAGTTGCGGATTTATACGAGATATTATAAATAGGTATTAAATAAGTTTCCTTAAATTATATTTTAAGTAAGAGTATAAAAAGGGTCAGGAATATTAAACCTATAATATTAATTATATTAACTATATTATTATTTATTAATAGAACTTTATAATTTTAATCAAAATAAATATAGATATTAGTATAATTAATTTAAGTTATTATAGTTCTATTCTGGGCTTATAATTATTAAGTTATTTGAGATCGGGCAAAAATGCAATTTTCTAGTTTTATATATTAAGCTTTATTAAACTTAGCTTCTCGATTTTCGATTTTTATATTTCTCTAACTTATTTTTTTTTAAATAACTTTTAAACTATATTTCTAAATTTAGTATATAAGGCTTAAATAGATTATATAAATATTCTATTACTTTCTTTAAGAGCTTATATTATTTTAATAAGATTTGAAACTATAGTAATAAATTAATACTATTTTATATTAAAATTAAAAGTAAAAATTATTCTTTTTTAAAATATATAATTAATTTGCTTCTAGCTAAAGAATTCTTTTATCTAAAGAAAGCTCTAAATATTTCTTTATTTTATCTAAGAGCTTAAACTATAATTAATTGTCGTATATACGGGTACTAGAGAGCTTAGCTTTACTTACTTAGCGGCCTCCTTTTATTTCCAGAGGCTTCTTTTAGAGCTTCTTTTAATTAGATAACTATTTATATAAATTACTATTTCTTACTATTTTGCAATATTAATAAAGTAATATTATTTTATATTAAAATTAAAAATAGAATTATTATTTACTAAATTATATAATTAATCTATATCTAGCTAAATAAACTTCTTATATAAAGAAAGCCTCAAATACTTTTATTAATTTGAGCTTATTACTATTTTAATTAAGGCTATTATTATTAAGAAATTATAAAACATAATTTTATAGTTTTAATATTTTTGCCTTTTTTTCTACTTTTATTTAAAATATAATTATTAGTTTACTAGGAATATATAGTACCGTTATATAGATATAAAAATACTATTTATATAAGGTTAGTAAAGTTATTCTTTAGAAGTAGGAATTATAGTATTATAGTATTAATATATAATCCCTAAATCTGCTAAGCCTAAAGGGGTCTAGTCTACTAGTCGAGTTACTAATAGGATACGAGGTTATATAGCCATATTCCGTATCCCATATCTCATTACCTATATCTTATTACCTATTACCTATATCCCGTATCCCGTATCCCGTAATTATATATATAACTCCCAGAGGAATAGCTATACTAATATTAGAAACTCTCTAAAAACACGAAAAATAGTATCTCTCTCTAATTATATATAAATTCCCTAATCCGGCCTAGTACCAGATTTCCCAAACGCTCTATATATCTATATTACTTCTAAGGTTTTGGTTATATACTAAAGGCCGCGGCCTTTTATATATAACTTCCCCTCCTATAATATCCTCCTATTTCATATATCCATTTTCCGCCCTATTTATACTTAACTTATTTCTCTATATCTAATTATATAGTATTCGTATTAATTAGATACTTAAGGGTATTTATTAGCTTCGATTTCATTATAG